GTAGGTTTTCAGACAACTTTTAGGGTGTCAATATACAAGTATTTACAGACTTACAGCTGGGTATCTCAAATTCCGAGATTCTTACCTAATTTAAGCTTAAATGACTGGAGTATTTGATGTATTTATTTAAAAACAATTCAAGAGCTTGGTTGGGCAGATGTGTCGTGAGTTAACCTAACTCTAACCGAAAAATTTTCATATTCTGAGAAAACACGATATTTTGAGATCTAACTGGAATTGATTAAGCGAGATAATATAGGGAATTTATCTAAAGACAAAACATTTCTCATGCATATCTATTATGACTAAATTAGGAAACAGAAAAGCAACAGTTTTACTCATATTTCATTCCATTCAAGATCAAGAGTTACGTGCTGTGTATCATCAAAAAAGAATCAACATTTATAATTACACTGTAGACTGTAATTATTCTTGAGATATAACCTCTCAGGTATTTGACTTGTAAGAATTTTGTACTCGGGCGTAACCTAAATTTGTTGGCAATATAAACGCCATGTTGTTTGAGGATCTATTGGTTCCTCCATTCATAGCATCGAAGTTGGCCAACAAACCCTCATGCTACACACGGTCAAAGGCCTTAGAAATAACAAGCGCAATGATTTCATATACTTTTCATTCAATAACACCGGCCAATTTATACTACCATCAACGGTGAAGCAAATTGAAGTACCCACGTCGGCTACATCTGAGGATAAACTCCACCAATTCATTAGAGGATATTGAACAATTTGAAATCGACTTATTTATAGATGAAAGTTATATTTAAAACCTAAAGCAGAGCACACCATAACGCTGTATTGAATTTGTACTCAACATTACGTTCAATTATGTAAACAACGGGATTTTACTCACCCACAATAACGGAACAATCATTCAATCTTGCTTTATGAATCAACAGCTAGCTAGCAAAACATGAACGAGTTTCTTGGTTGGATGAGAAAAACAAAAAACAAACTAGGTACCAGTAAAAAGAACAAAATGATTAAGGAAAATATTTTCAACTGGATATTCATTGTTAATTCATTGTTATTACATTATAAATATTCTTTAAATGGAACTTAAAAATATATGACTGATAATTTGTAAAGGAAACAAATTATTGAGATTGAAATGGAAATCAATTAATAATAATAAATAGGTTAAATAATAACCGAATAGTTATTAGTATACAACAACAAGAATCATTTTTATTTTTTGTATTATATTGATATTACACTCATTATTAAATCCATTTATAAATCAATTTCCATCTCATCTCAATCATAATTTGTTTTTTCATAAGTTACCATTTTCATATTTTTGAATTTCAAATTCATTATTTATGTCTTCTCATTTTTTGATATACAGTGTGTCTCACTTCTCATGGAAACACCCCCGTATTTTCCTCCGTAATAATTGAGGTAGAATGATGAAACTCTCAGGACTGATAGAAATGCTCAAAATGCACATACCACCTAAATGGGGTTGGCCAAAGTGGCACTGCCCACCACTCGCGATGGAACAACCCATTAGAGAGTTTCATCATTCTTCCTCGATTATTACGAAAGATACGGGAGTGTTTCCATGAGAAGTGAAACACACTGTATATTCCTTCTTTACTGACTAAATAGTTCGGTTCTGGTATTTTCAGTACTTTTAATGCTTCACTCATTTCTTCCTTCTTCCCATCGATTTCAAACGTTTTTTAAAGAATGGAAATCCAAATTTCTAACTTGGATATTCATTTTTCAGATTCTTTAAACTTTGATCTATGAGGTATTTTTTTCATAACCGTAATATATTGGAAGTTCTGAAATAATTATTCTAACGGCTAAAGATGTCTAAGTTTCCTGGTAGCACGTTCTTCCATGTCAAGGGGTTTTAGTAATACTCCTCAGAGGATCAAAATCTCAGATCAGCACTTTTCATTCGTAATCGATAGAGAATTTTGTACTCTATACATTTTTCACCCAAATTTCAAGTTTTTGCTTCTTTTCAGTTTATTACTATATGATGTATTTATGATACACTGTTTGGAACCTTTGGTGTAGTGATTTAACAGTTAAATCTTCCTCTTGAAGATGATCACTTGGTGATCTAAACACGTGTCCAGGTGTTAAAAATAACGATTTGGTGTTGGGAAAAAACTCCAGTAATATTCTTTACTATATGATGTCGTTAAGCGATTATCAGTCAATTTTCCTCTACGATTTCAAATTAAACCAACCGAAGCAGCCCAAAAACTTAAACAGAGTTGTTTTCTAGTATGAATATTTTTTGTTTCAAGTTAGTATCAGATTTTTGGTACGAAGGAAGAATACAAAATTGCCAAAAATGGAACAAGCTAATATGAATATGGTAGAGAAGCCCAGTTGATGAATTTATTCAGGAACTGAACTTTGCCTTTATTTTCAAAACTAATTTATTTCCTCCTTTGTTTTTTGAAAGTAATAAACACGCTGGTAAACACGTTTATTTTTTTACACGCTTTTTATTAGCTGCACCTGTATGTATGTATGTTTGTAACTCTCAAGGTCGGGATCTGTATTTGTCAGAATTATCGACATTATTGCTTGATCTATTCGCGGCAGATGGCGCTGTGCGTAACCTCCTTGATATATCGACATTGTTGCTCGATCTAGTCGCGGGCAGATGGCGCTGTAAGTAACCTCCTTGATATAATTCTAACTCACTTTACATGTATTTCTTCATTTGAAAAAAGTCTTTTTTTAACACGTGCGCCAGTTGCCTTATTTGTAACCCTTCTTTGCGCGCCTGCTGCTTTGGGCTTGGTAGCTAATTTTCAGGCTCCCTCTCCGGAATCGGAAAATATCAATGGTCATTTTTCTAATCAATATACGGCTGATTGATCCCAAAGTTTAGATAAAATAAATATAGTTTAAAAAGACTATATATAACACGCTTTTATAGCATACGAAACTAAAAAATTAAAAATAAATATCTATAGCTTAAAAAACTAATTTTAAAATATTTTTTTAAATAAGCTTAAAACAGTAACGAACGAAAAATACTAGTATTATTGTGAAAAAGCGTGGGCGCTTTGTGCCATATTTTTTGTATATGAAGTGCCCGTCGCTTCCACAAACAAGAATCGGTTTTAAACTCGAACAAAAAACTGGATAAATTTCAAATGTTTTCACCAAAAGCTCTGGGGTCCAATTTGATATTAACAAAAATGTTATAATTGAAATTCCATACTAATACTTTCATTCATTAGGTTCTATTATACGAATGTTTAGTAAATGAAATCGAGAAAAAACGTGATTTCTGTGTAATTCAATGTCCCTCAGGAAAAGTAGTTGTTTTAGATAAGAAGAAACAAATGAAGGACCTATTTCAGTACCAAGCAATTATAAAAAGTGACATGTTTTTAAGAAGCGTATTTAGTTTTCGAAAGTTTTTTGCCCAGGTGTTCAAAAAAAGTAGCAGGTACAACCATTTCTGTCTCCTAGAGAGCAGAAAATATCGGGTATAAGTAAAAAACAATCGAGTATAAATTTTAAAGATACATCATTTATCGTCACTTCAACCTTGAATTTCGGATTGGAAATGTAGAAACTATTTATCAATTCAGAAGGGTCAAAAAACTTGGCTAGAATGGAATAAATAGCAAATGACCTTGACAAACACTTTCCAACATTAAAGGCGATATACCTAATAAATGGGCTAATAATAATTCAAAGGAAGTTGAAATGCCCTCACCCCACAGTAGGTAAATCCCTTTTCAGTTTATGAATTGCAATGAGAGAGACCCCTTTCAAATCGATAAAATAAAACACGACCATTTACTTGCAACCTCATCATCTTTCATCTCCGGAGAGTAGCGCCCATGCAAGATTCTCATGGTCAGACTGTACCTGGCAGATGGCTGTTTCGTTCTCTGATCAAGGGGAACCGGAAAGATACCGAAGGGTGCGATGGTGAGCCGAATGAGGGTATAATTTTCACCAACCTGCGTTCAGGCAATATAAAGGACAAAACGTGGCCGAATATTTGTATATAATTTAAAAAAAATAAACATACCGAGATAGGCATCTACTTATTCAACACTTACATTTCATCTCAAGTGAGATTTATTATCTTAATATTTACTCAACAGTAAATTTTAACATTTTCCCAATACTAATGTAGGTATAATAAAAATAAATTCTAGCTTGTGAAAGGAATATAGAATACGTTAACCTTCCAAAAACCTAATTATACCTCTCGGTTGAGGTGTTATTTACTTTTCAAATTACTTCTTGATAACACTTTTGATGAGATCCTAATTAGACCACTTGATAACCAAATATAAAATTTTAATGTCAAATTCGTAGTTGGAGAAACATTCAACTTTGCAAAAGACTATCTTGGAACATCTATCAGGATTTACTATTTTATATCTATAGAAAACTACTTATTTACAGTAAAACGTAACGCCACGGTTAGTTATTTAATTAATCATATCAAATTCTAGACTAGACAAATTACCTAACTCAACTTGTAACTCTCTTAAGGGCATTGAATCCTTCAGATGAATCCATTCTTATCAAAACTTCTATTTGACCTTGAAAGCTACATATATTTCTCTTCCCGCCTAGACGAAAAAATGTTAATTTTTTTCAATTTAGTTACTATTTCCTCAAGTAAAAAGCCTACGAGTTTACCTATAACGGTATCTGAAATTAGCAAATGTACATCGAAAAAGTTCCAGTGGGTGTACCCATGGTATTTCTCAGCAACCAATTTAAGTCCATGAGTATAGTCACCCAGCAACAAAAGTTAAACGTTTTTGTTGAAAATGACAATGAATTCATGAACAAAAATAATAGTTTTTATGTTAGATGAGATAACATGCGCCTACTCAAAAGAGCGGGATTCGTACGTTGGGCCGAGTCCATTCTTACTTGGATCATTATAAAAATCGTTTTGGCACATTTACCTCGATTTTTAACAGAAATGACCCCGTCAAAGTAAACAAAAAGTAGCATGTTACTTACCTGCTTATTTTCTTAGAGATTTTCGTTGTGTCCGGCAATATTTTCATCAAAATCGAACAAAAATAGGATTTTAACACTGACAGCACCAGTACACCCAACGAATGTATACAAAACTTGCAGCGAGCCACAAAGAACGAAGAGGGAATTCAAATCGCGCGCTGTTGATTGGTTGACGCAAGTCACGAGTACTTCCCGCGCGACTACCATTGGTCCATGGATTCACAGGAAAAAGACGTTCGGAACATCGAACAACCGTGCACATGGCAATGGCGCCTGACATTTAATTTAACCTAAGATTACGAAAAAATAAAACTATAACGCGAAGTGCAACTCCTTCTAAAATATGCCAAATTTTTCGAGGAAAATTTTGATACCAAACTCATGTTCTATTATACTCTCCAAGCTTCACACTGGGTTGAAACGTATTTCGTAATTGTCCCGTTTTTACCGGGAATAACTTTCCATTCAGTGTCATGGCAGCCGCGCAAATTTAAACCTTTGTTATTGTTTTGTAAAGATCAAGGTTATTTTGCCGGGCGATTTAATTCTTCAGGAGCGTTATTTATGAAATTCGGCTATAAAAAACGGAATTTTCTAATTTTTCAAGAAAATAATTGAACGAAATTAAAATCAATAATCAGAATGGTCGGGTCCATTTTCTATAATACAGGGGGAGTACGCCAAATCGTTCACTTTCCCATGAAAAATAAAATTATGGGCTATTTCTGATACAATTACGAGATTTATCGCTTTTTTATTTATTTGTAATAAAATTGGTTAAAAGCAACATTATTAGACAGACTTTATACGGGGACAAACAAATTTTTGTACTACCTACACTGACGATTTTTTTTAATAATTTAATAATGAGCCTCAGTTTTTTCCATATCTATATTTGATCAACTTCTCAAGATCAATATAGGTATGTTAATTATCAACTAACTACTATTTACAATTCTGGAAGTAACTTCTTCAAATAAGTTTCCTTTTTCAATGAAAGGTAGAAATGGAATCTGGCATAGAATAAATTCTAAACAAGCACTGTTCCCATACACCAGAACTACAACACTCTTTTCGACGCACGTTTCGTCAACCAATTTAGCGTCTTCATGAGATTGTAGTATTGCAGTAGCAGTGAATTGTCAACATTCTCGAGTCTTTTGCTTTGAATTGATATACATTTGATGAATACAAAGGTTGACAGGAAAGACAAAAGAAATGTTTTGTATTGTTTTTACCTTTGGAAAGCCCTTCATGTGGAAAAACAATTCATCTTCGTTAAAGTCCATCTTTGTATTTTGTGTTTAATATATTGTTGATTTCCGCATGCGATTATATGAGATACATAAAAATCCAAAGAATAGTTTTGTCAACAAAATTCATCTTTCACACCAAGTCTCTCGCAAGCAGTTCATCCACGAGCTCTTCAGTTTCCAGAAGCATCTATCAAGGTCAGTACTTCATTCAGTTCTATCAAATTTTGTTTTTGGTAGTCAATACATCCTTGATTTTTGATGTAGACGTTTCTAGACACTGATCGTATTCAATAACTTATTCATGTGAAAGATGTCAGTGAAATTTTTCGCTTCATATCATTTTTCCAGAAGCATTCATAAGATGTGCAGCTCCTTATCCAGATGTTACTTCAGTTGTATCAAATTTATTAAATTTATTTGTTGATGGGTAGTTAGTTCTTCAAGAATGATTCTGCTGAAAGCTCCATGTGAAAACATAGAATATAAATAGATAAGACTATTCGACATATGATGTGATTATAAAAATATATGAATTAATACCGTCACAGCAAATTGATCTATTACACAAAAATTGAAATATTAAGATTATCAACACCACATATACAGTCCAATCGGATATTTCTTCTGTACTTCACAGTTGCAGAGCTTTCAATAAATGGCTATATATTTCAATGCCCTTCAGAAAAACATCTTTACTCAGGTACTCGTCATGTCTATGAAAGTTTTGCGCTGTGTTTATCAAAGGTGAAAACCCCAAGGCGGGTAATCCATATTCCCTTATAAACCTGGCGTCCGTAATTGCTGGACATATGAGCGGATTCAACTTCATATCTCTGAAAATAAAAATGAACAACGTTCAAGACGAAAATGATATTTACAATCATATTCCACAATACAACTTCCTCTTTTCATTGAAGACATCAATGGTAATGTAGAATTTTCAATAAGGTCAAAACATTTTTATCAGACTTTTGCAATTTTGTCACTTCCGCTACCTGCTTACCAGTGTTTTTCATGTATAATTTTCAACTATATCTTCTTCACCTGATGCCTACATATGTTTCCCAAGAAAAGCACCAAACCTGATTCAAGTTTTCTCTCATCTGAGTAGTAATAATATTTACATAAATCAATCTCATGAAACTACAACTATTATAATGAATGATGCATTAAATAATGTTTTCATGATTTTATTATATAGAGTTTGTCCATATGATGAAACTTTTATAGAACCATAGTTTCCAGGACTGTCACTAAACAATAATATATCCCAATAGTGTCAGAGGTCTCTCAGGGCCAACAAATTTTAATTATCACTTTACTTTAGGAACCAAAATAAAATATTCATCATTCAGACAATAGCAAATATCATTATAAATTACTAATTTTTATTTCAGAGTTGAAGTGCTTTCAATAAATGGCAGTAAATCTCAACGCCCTGTAAAAATGTGTCCATATTTACGTATTCATCATTACTGTGCAATTTTGGAACGGTACTCGATAGAGGTGAAAAGCCAAAAGCTGGCAACCCACATTCTCTTATATATCGAGCGTCAGTTGATCCTGGGCAAACATAAGGTATCAATTTCATTTCTCTGAAAACAGAAATAAAAAATTCAGGATACGGGAATAATGAGATATTTCAAAAAATATTTTCCTTGGGAGGTATAACGTTGTAAAAGCTATTCTTGAAAACAAAGCATTTGTTAGCTGGGAAAACAAATTCATTCAAAAACTTTGTATTAGTTGAAAACTTTTGTACCCATTTATTATGGAATCACCTTTGAAATATTGCAAATATTTGTACATTGTCTTCCTAAAATTAGATATAATATGTTAGGTTAGGTGCAAAGTGAGTGGGTCTATTCAACCCTCCACCGCAACCCGCAAGGATTTATTGTGGCTCACACATATTCATACTCGACCAAATAAACCCAGCTTCCTAACGAAGCCGATTAGTTTGTATGGTGAGTGGTCTTTCAGGTCAGATGGTAAGAGTACGGCTCTGCCGAACTCTAAAAACCTGATTCTTCTCCAGCGGGGCAGGCACAAAGTATATGCCCTGCTGTTTCATCATTAATGAGGTAGTCGGATAGTCAAGGTGCAAGATTCCCATCTTGATACCCGCGACAACCATCCCATATGAGGGTTTTTGGGGGTTTGTTCCTCCACTCGATAAAGATTCTGCGTACGCCGCTCAAGAATTTTGTGGAAGGCGGTTTCATTAAACAACCCGCTCTTGAGGAGACGACTCAGTTGTTTCCTGGCTGTACCACTAAACCTTTTTTTTAGGTTCAGTTATTGGATCAGGAGATGGCGAGTTGAGAAGCTCTCGTTCCTGATCTAAATTTACAGGGAGGTCAGTTGGATTAAATGATATAGATAAAATACTTTGTCTAATTTCCACTTACTTAATGTATTGATATTAAAACGACCAAGGTTTCGGTTTTTACACGTATTAATATCAATACATTAAGTATCTTAAGTATTCTCAAGTATCTTAACACTACTCAGTAGTGTTAAGATACTTGAGACAAAGTATTTTATCTATATCATTTAATTGAAAATGAATTTCCACAAAATAAAGAAGTCATCAATATCACAAATTAGGTCAGTTGGAGTCGTAAGCTCGACATCCATCTCCTCTGTAGACTCGCTCCTGAACTAAATTTACAGAGAGGTCCGTTGGAGTCGTGAACTCGACATCCATCTCCTCTGTAGACTCGCTCCTGAACTAAATTTACAGAGAGGTCCGTTGGAGTCGTGAACTCGACATCCATCTCCTCTGTAGACTCGCTCCTGAACTAAATTCACAGGAAAGTCAGTTGGAGTCGTGAACTTGACATCCATCCCCTCTGAGGTCAGTTGGAGTCGTAAACTCGACATCCATCTCCTCTGAGGTCAGTTGGAGTTGTAAGCTCGACATCCATCTCCTCTGTAGACTCGCTCCTGATCTCAATTTACAGAGAGGTCAGTTCAAGTCATAAGCTCGACATCCATCTTCTTTGTAGGGCCCATCGCACAAAGACCGATGTAATATGTACAATAACTATTAATAAGATTTTCTTAGCAAAAACTGCGATTTTCAATGAAAATCAGAATAGTTTTCTTATTCAAATTATATACTAAAAATTCATACCACCAGATGATACTTTCGTCAATGTTTGAAAAAAATAACCTACTTTCTTTAAGAAATTAAGAAAGCACGTTAATAGGTGAAATTAAATCTAAAATGTTTCAAAGGATATTACTCAAAACTCGCAATTCAACCAATAATTTTATTTCAACCACAATTAAATTTCTCAAACTAAACAACAAGCAATAATGGCACAGTATAATAACGGAAAACCTTTGAAATGTATATATTTTTATTTCAGCTATTTTTTCATCTTAACCAGTACGGTCTTCGAGGTTACAAACTCTTGTCAGTATTTTGCAATAATACTCAATTCCTTTCAGGAACATCGTTTGGTTCAAATACTCATCGTTATCGTGTAAGAGTATAGGTGTGTTATTCATTGGGGAGAATCCAATAGCCGGAAGGCCCACTTCACGAATGTACCTACTGTCCGTACCCCCAGGGAATACCTGAGTTTTTAGTTTGAGGCCGCTAAAAAAAATGTATAGTGTTGGGTGTGAAAATATGAAGAGAATAACCACACACAAATGTTATGAAAAAACAGCTCTATCAAAGTGACTGATAGAAGAAACTGTGATATTTAAATAGAAATTGTTATCGTATAAGAATGAGGTTGAAAAAATGACTAAAAGCCAGGTATGTTTCAATATTTCATTACTTCGAGTCCAAACACTGCATTTGAAATAAAAAAAAAATATTTATGTGTCCCGAGTAACATTTTTTTAGACTAGTTTAAATGCATTCAAATACTGATTGATTGTGTATTTCGTTCAAATTTTCAATTTACTTAAATACAATTTTCTTTTATTTCCAAATGAAATGAGACGAATTAATTTTAATTTTCACCAACACCTTATATTTCCATCATATATAATAATGGAAATAATTGAGAGAAAAAGGAGAAATGTCTTTATGAATGAAATTAATTTTACAAGTAGTGCTTTTATGAGGATTAGTTTTTTATCTAGTTTTTTAGTGATATCTTCCACAATTTGGAAAAACTAAAGGTTATGAGAGAATCTATACACAGTGTAAATTCAATATTATAGCAGGAAAATTGAATTAAACTACACAAAAAAATTCAATAGGATGATACCTTGTACGTACAACATATACATATAACTGTATTTCACTGATATAAAATCGAGTTTGTATTACTTTTCAATAATTTTCATTAACAAAATATTAAAAGGGGAACCCGAATCACTTTAAATTTTTTGTAATATTTTTTCAAGATTGCACTACATTTAAATGATTTTTATTCACAAAATATTGAAAGAACCCAAATCTATTGGGTTTTATGATATTTCTTGGAATAAAAACAAGGCTTCTTGTAAAAATAACAAATGACCATTGTAGTCGATGACGACGACACCAAGAAAAAAAACTCGAAAATGGAGAGGAAATGTTTTTTATCAGAAATGACCTCCTTCATCATCTCCTTCAGCTTATATAATAGTTTAAGAGATACCCTGTACAAATGCACCTAATCTATCAATATTCAGTCCCTCGCTGCATCAATTTGAAATTTTCAATTATATGAAATAACTAGTTACTTTTCTGTGCCGATTTCAGAACTTTCAATGAAATACAAACTTACATATTGTATAGAGGATAATATTCACGTTAAGAAGAGAATGACGTCACAAGATGATAAGTTACGGCGTTGCCAACATGTGCACTATTTCAAACTTTTGTACTGTTGATTTGTTTTATTGCTATTAACCTTACCTACTATTAATTTACTTAGTTGAAATACAATACAAGACTGACAGTTTTCGAGTTTGTTTTCGATTCAGCAACGTTTGAAATTTTACTATCAGTTGAGCAACTTACAAAATGAAATTTCACTAGTTTCATTGCTATAGAACGCATTTCATAACAAGTTGTTATGTTGGATATACAAAATCACCAAAAATGATGTCAGTCTCTTCTCAACGTAAATATCCTATATATGGTATAAATAGACAGTTAAACAAAAATAGAATAGAGGTTGGCCATCAATAAAAGAAAGGTAAAATATTGAAACTACCTGAAAAAATTGCTGCAATAATGAAAAATATGTTCTCAAGGAAGCAAACAAAACAACCAAAATTGACTCATTGAAAATTTGACTAAAACAAAATATATAAAAAAAACGAGACTATATTATCTTTATAAAAAGATCTTTCTCAATATTCATGACCTTGTCATTTTTCTGCCTCTGTGATTATTGAGGGAAGACATCACGTGAAAAAGTGAAATGACTGTTTGTTGAGTAAAATATCAGTTATCTGCCTTTTCTACTGTTAGTTCCAAAAAGAAAAAACCTCAAAATGGTATTTTGTTATTGAAATGCGTATGTTACATCTCACTTGTATACAAAAAAATATGTCAAAATTCTATAGAAATATTGGTTGAGATGAAGATCAATTTGTCAGTAGAAAAACTATATATTCCTTGCCTTTGTAAATGAACTGGATTTGAGAATTAGATGAATCATAAAAACAGACATAGTATATGCATTCACACATCGAATCAACGAACAGAATGTTCATTTTGGAGCTCTTAGGAGAAAATTACAAGGTTTCAAAACGTTGGAAAAGAATATACTGTGTCTAAGGTAAGTAGGACCAGCATGAAAAAATCAGAAACTGTGAAATACAAACTAGGGGAAAGTTGCCCATTTTAGAGCATAAAAATTAATCTCTCCTAAAAATATACCCCTTTCCGTTCGAATCTTTTAGTGTATATAATAAATATTCTTTTTCAAGAAACAAAACACGCTGGTACGAAGTTAACACGATATTAAATTTCGTTTTGTTAGTCTCAAAAGTAATGAAATGGTATTTATAACTAGTTTTTTAAACCATCATCTCAAAGCATTACTGTAAACCATAATTTTCAAGAATCATCTATTTCTTATTATAGAGACTGTCCAGTTACCTAGTTACCTTTTGTGAATTTGAAAACATGAGATAAACAAGCGCATACCAAAATAACTCTATAAATCACTTACAGTTCATCGGTGGCTCTCTTAAAGGCAATCCAATACGGATTCGAACAGTCAATTTTTGTCGCAGGAATTTGCAATTGCTTTTGCTCGTATTCGATGTAAACGCCTTGACCAGCTTCCTTACACCATCTGTTGAGAGTTTCTTCCCAAGATTTGAGGTCTGTCGTGACAGGAATGCGACAATCTACAACTATCACAAGTTCTGGAGGGATTACATTTGCTTGTACACCACCCTGAAAAATAAAAACATATATATAAGAAACAAAAAGCCAACATTAGATTCACAAGTTATCCGTCAGGACACCCGACAATTACGTTTGGTGGTAAGGGTCCCAACACCCATATGGGGTGAAGATTTAAGCTTGTAGCTCAACTACTGTGCTTCGGAGCAAGTGCATGTCCATACATACATTTTTTATGCATCATTTCTCTCAAAATTTTCATCTCTAATGTATCGTTTGTTATCTTGCTAAGTCTTTCATACAGCACATATGTCAAAAACTGATATCACCCTAAACTAATTTTTCCACACTGTATATTTATCAATTTCTTCGTTATATTTCATTGGTTTAATTTTTGACATCATCAATAATGCACAACTAACAGAAAAAAAAATTCTTGGAAAATAGTTTTCATTCCATTCCTAATATCACAATTTTTTTGGGATCTCTTCTTGGACCATATCACCTGAGGACTTCATTTGGAGCACATGTATTTTTGCGGAGTTGGCTACTGTGTGTATTTGTCATAGTTCACGACATTACTGCAACTAAATACTGAGAAAAGTAAATGTGAAATGAATACAATGAAAACAACAAATAGAATTGAGGAACAGACAATGTAAACATCAACTACATACTGACACTAATGACAAAGACACAAAGCAGTAAACTCAGAAAAACTGTATGTTCTCCAAACAAAATCCTTATTACGACTTTCACCAACAAATTCAACTCGAAAAATAGACAATACAGACATTTGTTTGAAAGTGGTTGATGTGTTTCATAGTTAATTTCATCAACCGAAGACGATTGGGGAACAATCGAAACGCCGTGAAGTAACTTGATTTGAAATCCTTTTCAATTTTCGATTTACTTTTAATTGTTGCTAACTTTCTATTTTAGTTTGTAGTCATTTTCATTTTGTATCTCGATTGATTTATTTGTATTATTGTATTTTCATTTCAGGTTTTATTGCTTAATATAATCGATATTTCAGCTATTCATTCTAAATTTATTTGTTCTTTCACAGATTTCGAATCATACTGAAATCATATTAGATAATGGAAGTCCGAACTAATAATAGGGGAGCCCAAGCGGGGATTTCGGGATTTACTAAAGCGCGGCAAATTAATATACAGGGGGATACCTTGTATCCGGTTCAGTACCTCCACCAAATATGAGCCCCATATATAAGGCCGTCCGTGAAGGATAAAGGATCAGATTAGTAAAAAAAAAATTGATCATTAGAAATTCTCGAGCGCGTCAGGTTAAGGTAGGGTGAGTTAATTACATGCTAAAAAGTGTATATTCTAGTAATCTGACAATTTGAGAGTGACGTAAAGAAAGGGAAGGGCAGCAAAGTTGTAAAAAAATAACGTCATTCCGACATTCTCGAGCGTAGCTAATTTTTTTTATTTTGAAGAAAATAGTTCAAGGATAACGAAAAATATATAATCTGAGGATTTCCGCAAGCCGAAATAACAACATTCGTAGATAAAGTTTAATGCGTGCAGCTGTGTGATACTTATATTTCCCTCTCCGAGTTTCTATTCCTTTTTCATTTTTTCTCTATCTATTACTCTCTCACTCCGTCCCCACTCTGAATTCTGTTGCCATGACGCCATCACAGCTGATCACAGAGACTCGTTCGTGATGAAGATGAATATGATGATTAATTAATCAATTGATTATAAAAAAATTTTTTGAGCATTTTTTAAAAATTATTTTCTTATAAATACAAGTATTCTACTTAAAAAACATACACTTATTTATTTGCATACTATTTCCTGAGCTTTTCAACTATCTAAGTTCAATGATATAAAAAAAAATAAAAAAAAAAAATTGTCAGATAAGGCGAATCCCTCTAGATAATCGTCAGATTATGAGACAGCACGTCTAGAACGTAAAGATAAACCATATATAGCTTAATCTGACGCGCTTGAGTATTTTAAAATGGCAAATTTTTTTTTGCACATTATAATAATGACCGCGATTTTGCGTCAGATCGAAATCGTCAGATTATTGGATGAGAGCTTTTTTTTGTTGCACTTGACAACCCCTTAGGAAATCTGACGCGCTCGATTAAATTTTTTTTCTTTTCACTTTTAACCCTTACAACCACCCGCATCATAACGATTAGATTACCATACGAACATTATTAAAAATACGTAGGACATTGATGGTATCAATATCTGACGCGCTCGAGTATGACCATGCAACAGTATTTTTTTACATATTTAAAAATATATAGCCGCTACCCCCACCGATGAAAAGGTATATATTATATAACATTTTTTTTTCTCATCATCTAAGCTTTGCAACCTAATATGTCTCTATGACGCTCGAGTAAATCCCCATTTTGTATCGTGGGCTCCCCTACTATAACGAAATTCAAGACAGACATTAATTACGCCATCTACATATGACAACTGACACTATTGACAAATTTACTGTGTGGCAGCATAGGAAAAATACATGTACTTCAAATGAAACTCGTATCTTATATGGCATAATGATTGAAAAATCAAAGAAAGATGTGGAATTGAAACCGAAAACAAAAAGAACGAGCTGGTAATGGCTGATACTCCATATCAGCCATTTGGCAAGTCCTGACAGCAATTAAATAGGTAAAATGCAGTGTGACATTCTATGAAAACTGTTCTATTTGAAAAAAAATTAAACTGTTTCAATTTCTTGTAATGAGCGTTATTTAACTTTCAAAAAACAATACCAGAGGATGTAGATGTAGAAAATATAAAAAAGCATGATTTTCTGAATTTTTCAAATATTTTATGAACTGTATATATCCACACATGTATACACATATGCCACATGTTCAATATATCACTTTATTTACCATATATTCAACAAACTGAAGTAGAATACAATATATACATTGGAAGGGGAGATATAAGAATGAATATTAAATTTTCTACATTTTACAGTAAAATAAAAATAAACTCACCTGCAATTGTGTCAGATTCACAGTAGTCACGTCTCCGATTGTCCAACTAGGATTGTCCTTCAATTTTTGTTGTTCTTGTTTTCTAAACTCATACAATTTATTCAAAAGATATGTAACTTTCTCGCCAGCGGTATTCTCCAACAATAAAGAGCCATGACCAGGATTTCCCGGGCAATGAAAGCGCATTTCTGAGAACAAAATGCATTTTCAACTCAACTTTGAAGGGCTTTTTTTCCAGAGATTACTTACGCCAAATGCATCTTTCCGCATAAAATAAGGCATATTCATTATTTTCACTAGCCATTCCTTCATCAAGAGCAAAACCAACATTCAAATCTTTAAAGTCATTTGTTTCGACAAACATTTTCATTCCTTCTACTCCACCAATTTCTTCATCTGCAACCAATATTTATGTTGATATCGAAAAAGCTTAAATTTATTGAATAAATTGAAATTTTAGGAATAACTGAATATTTGACTTTTTTTATATGTTTTTACATGAAGTGAAAGTAACTTTTCAGTTTTATCATACTTTATTGTGATAATCACTTGATCAAGTTTTTCATCTCTATTAACTATCTCTTTGAAATCTAACCAATTCAATATATTTATTGAATTGAAATGGGACAAAAACATTACCCTGTGGAACATATTATGGAATTATTTTGAATTACTCTAATTTCAGTCAATTCCTATTATGAAATTTCATGCATTCAAGGTATCTGTAAATGATAATAAATAATTAAGACCTATTACTAAAATGACTTGTAATCTGGATTGGGTTGTAAAAAAAATGAAATTCAAAATTCCTTATATACGACTGGCACATCATTTAATTATTCCAATTATAGGACGTGCTAGGAATCGCACGTTAAAAGGTAATACCTCTTTAATCTTCAGCTCGCACAAGTTTCTACTTTTAACGGTTGTCGTTTGCTGGTTAACAGAAAAAACAAATTTTAAACAGATAAATGACTCACCTGGTACAAAACTAACATGTATGGTCCTTTTTAAAGTTACACCCTGTATTTTCAGTCTTCTAATAGCTTCTAAATACTGTATTCCTACACATTTCATGTCTTGAGAACCCCTCGCATATATATTACCTTTGTCATCTACGTGGGCACTAAAAGGCTTGTACGTCCATTTATCCTACAAGATAATTATCAAATTAACTGCTAAGGGTTACGAAGACACACTACTTCTTCGATCATACTTTGTGTTTCAACCAAGAGGCGATAAGGAAACGATTCAAAACAACTCTATCATTAATACTGACCAACTAAAGTATTGATGATTATTTTATTCATGTTTATTTACTGAAACGTTTGATAGTTTTTCACAAAAATTACTCAAATTTATTCAAAAACCTGTTCTCAGTTTTCAGTATACAAATAACCTAGAACTGTTTTGAGGCTTCATAAATATATCTCAATTTTTCAGTGTCCTTTTCTAAAGCAATTTAGATATTATATTGTTAACCTGTTATCCTCAAGAGTCCAAAGGGTAACTATCACAAAGGGTGGGGTTACAAACATTTCAGATGTGTTGATTAATTCAACAGGAATTGCACAAGGTAGTGTTATAGGGCCGATTTTATTCATAATATACTTGAATGATTTATGCACCATTGCCAAGAACGTTGAGAAAACAGTAGTAAATTACGCAGATGACACAAATTTAATAATTGGTGCAGAAGAAAGCAATGACCTTATAAACCAGGGAAATGTTTTTTTTCTTGAGAGCGAAGAATTGGTTTGATAAAAATAAATTACCAATTTGATGATTTTTAGTACCGACAGGTGTAGAAAAGAAAAACCAGTGAGTATAAATTGGCAAGGCGAAGAAACAAATATCACAGAATATACTAAATTTTTAGGAGTATATATAGACAATTTCTTGAAATGGAATAGGCAAACTGACTCTGTTTATCAAAAATTGAACAAGGTATTAATGCAATCAGAACAATATCAAAATACATGAATGAAAAAACTGTTAAAATTCTGTACCATGCAAATTTTGAGTCAGTGTTGAGATATGTTCTGGGGAACAGAGCAGAATTTACAAAAAATATTCATTGTTCAAAAAAGAGTTTTGAGAACTATCTATAAAATGCCCTTTAGACAATCCTGCAGATGTTTATTCAAAGAAAAACAAATTTTAACAGTCACTGCACTATATTTATTAGAATGTTTAACATTCTTACATAGGCACAAAGAGGTTTTCACAGAAAATTACATGAATCCCGACTATTATAATACACGAACACTTAATATTAATTTCCCTATACACAGACTAACTCTCACAGAAAAAAATCCTTCATATATGTGCATTAGAATGTTTAATAAATTGCCAAATAGTCTCAAGTCGATCACAGTGCATAGGGTCTTTAAAAATGAAGTGAAACAACTTCTGTTGAATCTGAAACCGAATGATTTAAAAGAATATTTTGAAGTGAATCACTAAAATTATTGTTTTTTTATTTGACATCTTTTCTTTCAATGTTTGTATGTACCATATATATGTATATAGTGTGTTGTATATATAAATGTTTATATGAAATAAAGAATATATTATTATTAATAAAGTAATGAGTCTATTTATTGTTGACAATTTCTTTATTATTTCGCGTTAACTTGATAAGTGAATTGATAAATTATACCTTCAGTAAACAATTCTTATGCACCTCTCTTTGAATTTTTGTGAATATACTCCAGTTCGGAAAATTATATGTAATGTTAGAGTACTTCTTCATTGAACAAAAAATGTGAAAAACTTCCAAAGAGAGGAAGAAAATAATAACACTCAATGTTTTGGAATGCTTTGCAATGAATTGATTTGAGAATTCAGATCATTTATTGAATTGCCAAATAGAAGTCAATAATTTCCCTTTATTGGATCCGTTTTCTAATGTTGAAATTAGTACTTAGTGGACACATACATTCAGGTAATTTATTTTATGACATGTCCAGTTGCATGAGTTTATTATTAAAATTTCTCTCCTCATGTGTAGATCTGTGTTAATATATACATAAACTCAAGTAATTTAAGTCATTAGGTCGGTAGAAAAAGTAATATGATTCAAATAATAAATTTATATAAAGTACTGAATAGATAGAATATTGATTATATTTTGTATTTCAAGACTAAATATTTTTGTTCATAATTCAACCAAAATATGAACTATTAATGTTACAATGGAACTAAAGTCACTTCCTACTAATTTGTATAGTGAAAAAATAAAAAAAAGTTTGGTTTCCTCAAGCGGAATCAGCTGCCAGGAAAATTTTGAATAAAATAAAAGAGTTTTTCATTCACCATGCAAATATAACTATCATCATTTTCTGAAAACACAAAACAGTATTCTCTGATGCTAACAAAATGAAATTTGTGTTTTCAGCTGTATCAAAACTATTGAAAATAAACCAAAACGTAGAACACCTAACCCAGAAAAATATATGAGCATCAGATAAACAGATCTCTTCAATGAATAATTCTATTGTTCATCCTCACCTCAAAAACAGGCACAACGTCCATATGACTGTTAAGTAATATGGTTGGTAAACTGGGCTCCTTGCCAAGCCATGTTATTATCACAATAGGTTTGCCAGGCTTGACGGTTACAACCTTTATGGGAAGACTCAAACTTTTTGCTTGTTTTTCCAAAAATTCAACACACTCATCTGAAAAAAAAAAATTAATGTTTCTCAAAAAGGAAGACACTGAAAAACTGGGACAAAAGATGCGAACTAAGTTAAATGGTACACTGAAAAACAATTGGTTACTACAAAATTTATGTGTTAGGTGCATTCAGGACCAAAAAATCTAAAAGCATTGCACTGAATGCAGAATGGAAGCACTTTTTGAATCAATAAGGTGATATATTGTTTCAAGTCTTATTTCATATTTTAACGAATGAATAAAATATTTACTCAACCCATTTTAGAGGGCAATTTTCATTCTGATAATTGTGAGTTCCCTATATTCTTGCCTAACAACATACCAATTTTTTAATTTTATTGCAAAGTGATTTATATAGACGGAATTGGATTTGTCAAACTATGAGATTATATGGTGCAATTAATTATTCAATAAAGAAAAAAAATCTTCAATTTCATCTTGCATCTGGATTTTGGAATTACCGTCTACCACATTCAGTGATAAAGTGGTTTCGACCACTGGAAGCTGCTGGACGCAAGCATTGTCTTACAGCATTGTCTTACGAATGAAAATCACTATGGTTTTGTAAGTTTATATATGCTACACTTGGAAATCAGTCTGGTTTCGTAAGTTAATATATGCCGTATATGAAAATCAGTCTGGTTTTGTAACTTAAACTATATCATTTATGAAAATGAGTCTGGTATTGTAAGATGGTATGACTTAACAATTGACATGAAGGTGATAAACATGAAAATCAATCTGGTTTCATAAGTTATTATATGCTATATATGGAAATCAGTGTTTTTGTAAGTTATTATATGCTATTTATGAAGATCAGTTTGGTATTATAAACAGTATGACTTAACCATCGACTTAAAGGTGATAAATGTATGAAAATCAGTCTGATTCTGTAAGTTAATATATGCTAGATATAAAAATTGGTCTGCTTTTGTGAGTTAATATATGCTTTACATGTAAATCAGCATGGTTTTATATGATATTATGACTTAACCACTTAAAGGTGATAAATGTATACGTTTGAGAATCAATCTAATTTCTTAAGCTAATATATGCTATACATATTATTTAGTCTAGCTTTGTGAGTTAACATATGCTATATATAGAAGTCATCCTGATTTTGTCAGATAGAATGACTTAACCACTGACTTAAAGGTGATAAACATATGAAAATAATGTTTCGGCTCCTAATATGTGTAATTTCATTTCAAATTCATTCAAGTATGAAAATAAGTCTGATTTCGTAAATTAATATATGAAAATCAGTCTGGTTTTGTAAGTCATTATATGCTTTATATGGAATCAGTCTGATTATAAGTTAGTAAGACTGAAATATCAAAATTAAAGCTTCAATTAGGGACTTCTCAAATGTTTTTTTTATTGTCAAAAATATTTAGATTTAGATTATAAGCCTTTGTTTTTCATTGTTTTACTTTAAATTTACCATGACTGAAAGCTATGGGCAGCAAACTAAACCACAAAGAAGATTAAACAAAAAACAAAGATTATGAACATCATGATTCAAGGGTAGGTAGTTAGATTTTTAAGTCAAATGTCAAACTCAGTTGAAACCAGTAAATGTGAACATTAAATTTTTTATTGTTGCTATTACTGTAATAGCGTTACTATTGTTACTGTAATATTCCTCACTGAACTCAATCATAATGAGTTACAAGTCTTTAAAGGTATCACCTAGTTGGCTAGTGTTATAATGACGTTTCAAAAAAGAGTTTATACACAGCTTTCCACAATATCCAAAAATAGAAAATTAATGAAAAATTATAAGTCACTCAGGTAAAACGAACAACGAATTGATGTATTGAACAGTTCAACAGAGGTGATCTCACTCCAAGTAGCAAAACACTTTTATGTATGTATTCTATACAACCTATTTCATTTCAAATATCAGAGAATGGAAGTCGATATGACCCCAAAGGAATGGCCACTCTAAATGAAAAATGAGATACGAAAATAACCTTTCTTTTATCATCACTTAGTATTTCGATGCCACCTGGATACATCAGTGATTATGTCAAAACATTTGTATAGGTAGTAATTTTTTTTTATTGCTTGTTCTGCCAATCGGTCAATTGATGATATCGGAAAGGCAAAGCACTGATGTGATGTTAGTCTTGGTTTAACTTAATCAAAGTTAAGATTTTACATGCATCTTATTTCCAAACTTGAATACTGCTTTTTATTTTTTATTCCATATCATTCAAAAGACACTTATTCCATCATTTTCAAAAAGAATTGAAATCACAGTTGATTAATATGGGGTCTTGGTTCCATATGTATATCATTTTATAGGCTGGATAATTAGTATGTATTTGTTTTCTGAATATTCAAATAATAGCTAGGGGCGAAGATAGTCTTCGGTTAGCCCTATTGCCTATTTTTATTCTTTATCCAACAGTTCTGAAACACATAGGAATGCCTGATCACACCAGTGTATGCCCTGTATACTTATACATTTTTGGATTCGGAGGTTCTTTTCACAAACAAACATACTATTTTGGAGGTAAAACACTGCAAATTACTGTTTTGTAAAAATATTTGATTTGCTTCTGTGATCAATATGGAAATCAAATAAGTATTTCTTGTGATACCATTTGAACCACCAATACTCCACATTGATATCAGAAGAAGAAAGTTATTGGGGCAAGCCTGAACCGGTTTGTACACAGTAAAATCAAATAAACATGTTAAATTATCACGTTTCTGCTTTGACATTATTGCATTAAAACTTTCTCACTGTGCAATGATATAAAACACCTGGAGTCAAAAAATTGGTGCAATGAATATAATTAATTGTCCAATGTAAGGTACATAATGCATCGTATTAAAATGTATAAGGAAATAAGTGAATTTTATAGAATATTTTGTTGGCATTATAAAACATAACTTGGGAGTTTGGAGTGTCTCATAATGCCAGTGGTGTTGTTTCTTCTTTTCAAATAACAAGTAGATATTGTTATTCCATCACTAAAACACCTTGTGGAACATTTCTCAGGAAAGGATTGCAAACCATATCAGATCATGCTGATATGAAATGAATCTTAATGAGGGTAAGAGGGGCAATTCCCAGTATTAACTTGTGCTCAAACATTTTTGACCCCCACTGTATGTTCATCAGTAACGAAAAATCTCAATTTTCCTGATTAAAATTGTGGAATTCGAAAAGAGAAATTTGTCTTTAAACAAGCTGTGCTTGAACTTTGACACACCTTATATGGCTAAATGTTACTAGCCATGTTTAAACAAGAAATAGGAAAATTCAATGCAATTTGAACATATATAGTATTATTCAGAATACCAAATAAACGATAATTTAACTCAGGAAACTTCGAAAGAGTTAGATTACTTCATGCAAAATTTTCAATCGGATCAGTTGCCATACAATTGGGAAAAATAGATCTGACTAATAACACACCGCATTACTTGAACTATAAATAACTACAAGAAAAGAATAAATCAAACTTACGTCGGCAATATCCTAGAAAAAATCCAAATTATCGAACAAACTCCACACCCAAAAACCCAAGCCAAGCCAAAAGAATTTCTAAACAAATGACATACGACTACGCATTCCTGACCCAAATTACTTTTATACTCAACTCACACGTCGCTTATTGCATTAAAATAATAACAAAGTAATCAAAATCATCAATTCTTCAACTCACCGTAATTAATATCAGGATGAACAGAGGGGATTTGCAAATATTCACGAAAATTGTTGACAGCTTGCTTGTCCAACGCTTGCTTTTGATCAGCTGATAATGAAGACATCTTACGAGTTTTCAGTGAAATTGCAACGAAAACACACTGCTATAAACTGAAAGAGAACTAAATTTGATGTTAAAATCGCTTCAAATTTATATTACGAGTCTGGAAGGGCAAAGTAATTATTTAATCAAACACTGGTACTATTGTGATATGGCTTTATCTAGAGTGACTATACCACAAACATTCAGTTCACTAGGCAAATAATAAAAATAACATATTTATTTTGGAGTTCAGCGGTTTCCAAATCGAATTATATCTGAATATTTGTTGTTCTGATTTACTAGTATCAATAAAAGTAACAAAATAAAAGTGATAAATATTGGAGGAAAAATACCTGTGTTTTGAATTCTTCGTCATAGAAACGCCTTTAATACTGCATTATTTTGAATTTGGCGCTTCTTTTCAAACGCTAATCAGCTGTTCGAAATATTTTGAGTTCGCATCTCTAAAGGAATTCCGAATGGAGGGACATCTAGTATTCGAACACAAAATCGTGATGAAAATGAATAGAAGTGAAAAATAATTTCGAAGCAAAAGCCATAGATATTATAGAATAATATCTGAGAAAATCATAATTTGAAAAGGTTGAAAGAACTTTTCCACTACATACATAAAATTGAACACGTTGCTTCAAATGATTCTCAACTTTCATTTTAAAATGCCAAAGGCACTTTTATTGGAATGCCAAGTTATTTGTTATGATCACTTCAAAAAAGTCTCAACTTGAAAATCTATCACAAACTTCCTTGAATTCCTTCTCTAGACTAAAAGCAGTGACGTCAATGTCTATAACTAAAAGTAATGATGATGACATCTTATCTAAGGAGATGACATCTATGATATAGATATAAAAGACTTAATAACGAATATCAAAGATGAACGAAGTTCTCTATCCAAGCTATGACATCGCGTGACAGCCTAACGAAATTCGTCCTCTATGTTACGCTGCAAGGCAATTATAGTTGAAACCAGAGCCCGAAAACTCATCATTCGCGATTTAACGTCAGACAGCTGTATTTTGACTCTTCACAGATCTCACCAGTGGTGCTAAGCTGAACTATGAGAGAGTGATAATGATGACAAATCCCGTTATGAAGTGACTCTGGTTTCAACTAGTTGCCTTGCAGTGAAAGCTACATTAAAAAACAAAGAACGAATCTCATTTGGCGGTTGATATCAAAATTGTCTGTAAAGGGAGATGTCATTGGTATTACTTTACAGGCTTGTTCTTTAGTGAAAGTTGAGTTTAGAATTGAATTCGCGTTTCACCACTGAGACCTATGGCGGAACGAAAAAACATTGTTTTGGACTCTGCCTCTGGTTTCAATCTCTAGACCACTATATTTTTTGTCAAAGTTGGGAAAAAATATGACTGTATATCAGAAATATGCTCTCATAACACTTGCATTTTTTAAAAACGCAATAGAAAATAGAAATTTCTATTTTCTCTTTTATTGCGCTATTAAATCCATAAAATGTATTTGAAACTTTTTGGTTTTTTTTCAAATACCTATGATTTTTTGAATTATTTATTTTTGTTGATAATGACTTCAGCCATCGTTAATAATTCATGAAATGAATCGATTAGGCCCGATTGTAACACCGTGTTTCTCAAACATTTTTTAGCAATTTTACATGCAGGAGATATAAAAACTGATAAATCAGGTAAATACTACACTATTTACTGATCATTATTCGAGCTTTCGGAAAGTTTTAAATATTTCCTTTCACCGGAATATCTGCAATTCAAAAGATGATTGCAAAAAATAAATCAAAGAACACATGGAAATAACTCACCAGACTTAGTTTCGGAAAAGAAATGGTATTCATTTACACAAATAAAAACGGTGACAGATGAAAAATGTGACAAATGTTGAATAATCTCTCTTATCACCCGTAAAAATGGATCTGATCTAATTTATTTTTGGTATATGGAGGGTTTTCATAAACATAATTCCTAGCGAAAATGTAAAAAGTGAAAAATTTGTAATTATCATTTGTGAATTCCACTCAACTCGATTCAATTCGGGTATTTGGAAAGTTATTTCAATTTTTTTATTCACTCAAAAGATAAAATGTAATTATATTCAGATCCGTTTTCTCAGGTTTTAAAATTAAAGCAAATACTTATTAAGGACTAATCAAAACTACAACACATGTGAGTAACTTTATTTCATAATAAAATACTTGAATGCACAAAAAAGTTATGTGTATCAATTGTAAAAAAATGTATTTGAAAATATCTACACTGCATTTAACGCCAATAGTGAATGAAAAACCGTCAACAAATCAATTTCTATCTATCCACTACATTTCACATCTTTCTTCAAGAAAACCGACAAATCGCGTCATTGGCATTGATTTTTCGCTTTACTTTTAGGTTTGTGGTAATGACAAAATGAATCGAGTAACTTGGCTATCCTTTCGACGTGTATGATCACTTGATCACAGGTGAGAGCACAGAATTGTAACCAATTTGTATTGTGTTCTGTAGTATGGGTGTGTTTAACCTTAGGAATACCGGGAAAATATTGATTTTTAATTTTTTTTCTCACGAAAATGTTCGTCGGTCAATTCATGTTTCCGATATTCTTGTTTATATCTTCTTCAAATGCAGCCGTTTTTATATGGAGCAACCGACCAGTACAAATATCCCCGTTGCTTCCCTTTACTTCAGAGGAATTTTCTGAACTAATAGAAAAATTTGAAAATCGTGAAGTTCACATTTTCAAGAGTCCTACTGCACTACCTGATACTATCAAACATATCACTGAAGGGTTTTACACGGCGTACAGTCCTAATGAAGATTTAACACCAGATAATATAACAGGTTGGTAAGAAAAATAAGATATACAATAATAATAATGAATATGTTTTCTAAGATCTTTCTGGTAATGAGGAATTGGACTTGAGTAAGATACAAGAAATTTTGAGTAATCATCGACAAAGCGATTTCATATCGATGATCTTGATTCCTGATAAAGACAGTCGATTCAAAAGAGAAGTTGAAAATATCACAGATTCAACTGATTTGGATAAAACAACTCAATCTAAAGGAGCTGTAATATACAGGGCTCAAAATGCCAAAACCAAATTGTATGCTTTACTTTATTCATCACAACCCCTCATGTTGAGAAGAAATGAAGCAGCTTCCGATCTTTACTTGGGAAACACAAATGATGACATGATTATTTATGACAATAGATTGAATGTTAATATTCCAATGAAAAGAGGAAAAATAACTCTGAGGTTCAGTTTCATAGAGTTGAATGGTTACTGGTACATGCCTTCAGTCAAAATAGCAGACGACACTGAAACTCATAGAGATTATAATTTAACCACCGAAGAAGAAATAATGGCTTCAAGAAACTTCTCATATCACTGTAATGGAGTTTCGATATACTCTGATTCCAATGGTACTGAATTACATATCTATGACTTACAAGTGCAAATGGATACTCCTAATGGCAAGTTTGGGGATGCTTATGACTGTGTGCCATTTATAACAGCCCCGATTTGGTCAGGGTTGCTAGTAACTTCACTTTTTGGTTTAGGGTTGATTGTTGCCCTGACTGCTATCATGGATATCAAGACAATGGATAGGTTCGATAACTACAAGACAAAAAATCTTAATATCACTGTTTCCGAATAGAAACAGATATGAATTCATATCAATATCTCTATGTTGTGCAGCTTGTACCTTCCCTCTTCAGAACCACTATTATTCTACCTTGTCTGTGATGTAATTTATTATAGATGCTTAGCATCAAGCAAATTTGTAAATTTTCGTGAACTTAATTTTTATTGAATGTTTTCATGTTATTTTTTTCAATTTTGGACTGAAATATATTACGTTTGCTCTGTCCAGTTTTTTTGTTGGAGAAAAAATTAAACAGTCGTTGGGTTAGGTTCAAAATGAGTGTTTGTTGTGACACACCAATTCAATCCACCAAAAAAGTCGAGCTTAGTTTGTGTGCAATTCATTCCAAAATGTCCTTATAGGACGAAACTGCAGTTACGTTAGTTACAATTACAGGTGGAATAAAAACATAGCAAGTTTTAATACTCATTTTTCATGTTTACATAAGTGTTGACGACGATGACTATCGGGGTTGTGTTATATGATTTCTCGATCTATCAATTTGGTAGATCATGCAATACTGCTCTGAAATTTGAACTGTTATGGGTTCAGAGAAATTGCAAACAAATGGCTGGAATCATAACTCTACATAACTCAGGTTGAATATTACTGGGGTTTTATTCCAGCACCAAACCGTAATTTTCACACTTCGGCACATGTTTCGATCACCAGGTGATCATCTTCAGGAAGACGATTGAATTAAGTATACATACAAGGCTAAATTGGTTAAGGCTGAAGATTATTCTTATTCATACCATAGATACATCTGCCAGGGACCTGTAATTGTTTTCATTTGATTTTACAATGTTGCCTAATCTACTAATCTTTACAATGTGGCGTTTGATAATAGGTAGATCTGATAATCAAAATATTATTTCAACAAGCTCTATAGTATACTATCAGGTATTGGTTCACTATCATTATTCATAATATTATTATGGTTATCAATATATGCTCCTTACATAATATACTATTATATAATTTATATTAATTCAATAATCTATGTACTGATATCAGTTTGAATTTTTTTAAAATATTTAATTGAAATGAAAATACAAATATTTACTAATTAAATACAATTTAATATTGCATTGCTGAAGGATGTAAATAAATAATGAATGATAAATTAAATGAACCTACATTCAAGTATGTACACAAATGATTCAATGTTTTTAGATGCAAAAACTCAACAGTATGAGGAAATCATCAACTGTGGAATGCCACTTATCAACGGCTTTTCCCCCTTCGGGCATACGGATATCCTGAAATAAAATAAGTCAAACAAGTTAACTGAGTACATGAAAAAACTCAACCTTTTATCGATTTCCAGGGCCTCTACTAGAACCCTCTTCAAATATATCCGCGGAGCAGTTAAAAGTCTCCACGTTAACGGATTGAACAAACTGCTGTCATATTTCCATTCTATTTCAACCGCTTTCAAATTCGGGATTCCGTCTGTAGCGATTACTCCCCTGTACAAACCCCCCGGTTCATAAAATCCATTGATGAACCCAACAGGCGCAGACTTCTGACCTTTACCATCGCTTGTACTATGCATGGTGAAAACTAATTGGCCGATTTCCCCTCCATGTATTTTGCTATGGTTAGAGTCGGATATCTGCGCTGTTATTCTGTAGTGGCTTTCTGGAAAATGGTAATAAATGAAGGTTTGATTAAAAATGAAGAGTAGAATACAATGGGGAATGTTCCTCCTGACGAAAACCTTTTTCTTTAAAAAATTATTTAAATACCTCATTATTTCACCACAAATTATTTACTAAATATTTTTATAATTGGGTTCTTGTAGAAATTCAAATTTGGGGTGGTTACCTGTACAAAGGTGGTCGTTCTTACTCTCGTTCTCACTCCTACTCTAGACAACTACTAATAATATTTCAAACAATAACCAATTCAGCATATACAACGTTTATGGAAATAATAATAACAGAAGGTCATTAGCCATCAGTGTTCTGTGACTTTGCTAAAAACTTTTAACAGTGTAGATCACGGAATAATGCTGAATATCGGTGACATCTGTGGAATCACTTATAAATGGTTTGAGAATTATCTTACCGGCAGAAGTCAAATTGAAAAAAACCTCGTCATTCTCATCAGAAGGCGAAATAAAAAATGGCATACCACAAGGTTCAATAATGGGACCGATACTTTTCTTGCTGGGGTTATAAACGATTATCACATATTGATATAGGAGAATTCACACTATTCGCCCGTGATACAAAAATATAACGAAACAGAGCTATGTAATCCCCACGAGATTAAAATCTCAGATATAAAAAAAATTGACGACTGGTGTGACTTCAAGCTGCTTTCATTTAGTGTTCCCAAAACAAACTTAATATGATTTCACTGATCTATATACAGCATACCATTTTCAACAAAAGGCGACGACAAAATGATTGATAACAGGGCTAATTCTAAATTTCTGACAATAAATTTGAATTTGTTCATATTTCTCAGATAGGGTAGTCGTAAATAAACTGTTCTGCCTTTTAGTGTGAATACTGTGAATAAAGAACATAGACGTGGTGTATAGTATAGTACTAAAAAAATCAATTTTCAAGTGAAAAACGACACCTAATCTATCAGGTAAAATCAATACTAGAAACAAACAAGAAATAACAGTCACGGATTCCATGAGTGAATTTTTGCTTGATAGGATTCATCAGTCAACTATAAGAGAGAAGATAGCTGAGAGAACAACAAATTAGAGGAGGTAAAAATTCATAAATAAAGGATTGACAAATTAGAATAAAAAGTAGATAGTTTTCAGCAAAAAATTGATAATACTCGTCAACAAACAAAAGTAAACATTATATGTGTATACGGGGTGGCTGAAGAATATGATTCATCAGGTTTTCAAATATGCTGAATAAGATACTGAGCATATAAATTCAAAATCAAATATGAAACTAGACACTAACGATGTTCAAGTTGCCTAATTTCCAAAGACATGAAATCAACAATTACTCACTGCAGAAAGGCTTTGTATTTCCAGTGATCAAATACTGTACTCTGCTTGTATGTTTCCACCGATCACCCAGTTGGCTTTCGTAGTACTTTCTTCCATGGAAACCAAACGGAAGACACCTCTCTTTGTTCTTGATGCAATCAAAACAGTTTCCGTTTGTGAAATCCTGAAAAAATTGTTTTTATAATGAAAACATACATACATATCATTCAAAAAAAATGTAAGGAAATTCCAAAAACTATTCTCTATCAAAAATTTACCCCCTTTCAATTTGAACAAAAAAATTCTTCTGTAAAACTAAAATTCCAGTGAAATCAACGAATCAATATTATTACGATTTTTTTACTGAAATGGAATTGTATAAAATTCGCACATTTCGGATCACATTGACAATGAAAGGAATATTCAATTCCTGATTCCTGTAAAATACATGTAAAATAAACCAATGAGACCAACCTTACGCTGATAAAGTTCCCATTTGCCAGTTATTATTTAAAAAGATACCTATTTTGGAATATTCTCATTCAAACTTTTCAAGTTGTACAACTTTTAGCGACAACTTCACTGCTGTAATATCATAATCGTTCAATTGATACATTTTGAAACAGTTCAAATAAACTCTAAAACTTTGTATCTCTGTTTCCCAGTATGTTACAAGTGATCCCAGCCAAGAAATGCATATAGAACCAACGACCGGAATAGTGCATAATAGGTCTTCAATAGATCGATAGATAGACAGATATAGATAGATATATTTATTTGATCATGTTATGTATAAAATACATACAAGTCTATAAAATAAAATAAACAGTAAAAATTTGTAACAAGTTCACAGGGTATATTAACATATTCAAATTAAATGTGGAGGTTCGGCGAGCGTCTTCCTTGCGTCAAAAGTGTGCGTTTACGCACATGTTCTAAATATTCTGAAGTGGAATAAAAACAGTTTTTTTTAAATATTTTTTTATAACTTTTTTGAAACGAAACATATTCATATTTTTAATATTGGCAGGAAGTGCATTATACAATAAATTTGCTGTTACGTGTATCATAATCGTGTAAACTGGATTGCTTGGGAAACAAGGGGGCTCTTTTGTGAATTTCTAACAGGCTTGAGTCAACATACAAGGAAGGCACCGACATAATTTCATGAGTGATGAATGATTCACGGCAAGAATCCCTAAAACCGATTCCAGCAAGAATTTTCAGAGCTTTTTTCTGTAATATAAAAATGCATTGGGCATCACTAGAATTTCCCCAAAGTAGAATACCGTACGAAATGTGAAACTGTATGAGCGAGCAAAATACTTTTTTCAGCGTAGTGAAATTTGTTATTGGTTTCAGCTGTCTAAGTAAAAATAAGGCACTCGATAGCTTACTTTTCAAACTTGAAATGTGGCTTGACCAATTTAGCCTATTGTCCAGAGTAAAACCCAATAAGTTGACACACTGGAATTCAGGTAATGGCAGAGCCATAGAAACAACTATGTTTTGTGATTTTTCCTTATTCATCATGGGTTTGTTGACACTGAACCAGTGCTCCGCTTTTTCTTGTATTTCCATAGACTTATCAACAAGAGCTGAATAATTCATAGAAGAGTATATCAAGTATATCAATAAAACTTCAACACTAACACTTTTGCGCAAAGATAGGTTGCGCTTCATAGTTTTTTTGCTAAGTAGTCAGGATGAGTCAAGCATTTCTTCAAAAAGTTTCACATTTGACTTCACCTCCATGTCAATTTCTAAGATAAAAAAACTAAATAGTCACTTTGAGAGTTTTTGAACCGAGCTCTTAACATTTGAACAAGTCATCAACCTTCAACTGTGCCTCTCTGATTTTCTTCCCTAATATAAAAATGGAAAAATTGATTTCAATCAATGTTGTATCATCAGCGAAAAGGACTACCTCTGTAATCCCGCAGGTAAGCAATTGATGTAGATCAAGAACAGTAACGGACCCGGTACCGAGACCTGAGGAACCCCATACTCCATCGTTGATGAATGAGAACGTTGTTTATTGAAGTACGTAACTTGCTTTCTGTCACACAGGTATGTATAAGTTATGAGCTTGTATTAGTTTTTCATCAAATGCATACATATTCAGTTTTGACCTGTTACACAACAGATATCCAATTTTTTTTATTTTCAAAATCAAATTAACAGGAGCCATTAAGTTACTTATTGCGAGAGTTGAAGATCTGGCCGTATTTCAAAAACCAAATTGTCAATTTGTGAATAGATTATTTTGCTAGAGATGATTATTCATTTTAGATTTCAGTATTTTTTCATAAATTTTTAACAACTTAGGGAGTAATTATATTGGTCTGTGATCACCCAGCCCTATCATTTAGATCTCCTTTTTTAACAGGGGCACAACTTTTGAAATTTTCGGGCAATTCAGATGAATGCCTTGTTCGATACTTTTGTTCAGAAATTTACGTAACGGGGGTATTTTTTTATTTTCACTGATTTAAAAAAGTTCACATTTAGTTCATGAAAATTCCCACTTTCATTGTAAGAAAATTGACGAAATGTACACGACAACTCTCGTCCGCACGTTTCACAATACTCCCCAGACCTCTTGCTAACTGACTACCACATTTTCAAGCACATCGATAACTTTCTCGCCGTTGTAACCTTCGCCAATCAGTACCAGGCAGAAACGGCCTTCGTCGACTTCATCCAATCCCCAGCCGAGTACGCGGTTCTTATAGTGACAGAGTTAATCGACTTGTGTACGTTGGCAAGCGTACATTGATTCTAATGGCGATTATCTCGATTAAATTACATGTATTTTAACGTATCAGAGCAACATATTTTTAAAATCGTGCAAAAATAAATGAAGGCAATACCTGAAAGGAGGAACATTCTACTGTCATGAATTGACACTTCGGATTCACAGTCAGACTTTCCAGGAAAAGTTGATGGCTTCTCATATGATTACAGCTCAAATATTTCTTGACACCTAAAATCGAAAAAAGAATTCTCTCTGCATCATTTTCCATCCAATAAATTCCTACCATAGAAGAAACTGCCGTTAGCCTCTTTGATGTATTGTACAACACCGTCAGTGCAGCCAGGTTGATCCGTGCCTCCATTGGGATAGTAATCGACGTGTCCTATGCTTTCGAGCATTCCTAAGCCTCCTCGGATGAACTGACTCGCATCAGTATGAATAATATCCACGTATTTCGCTGCTGATCTGTCCAGCCTCACGGGAGGTTTTGCTTTCGAGAAGTGAGGCTCTGCTGGGTCCAGTCCCGTGATGCGACCAAGGGTTAGATTGAATTCCTGGAAGATGGCAATGGTTTAGATTGAAATTTGAAACAAATCAAATGCATTGAAGGTGAAAGTTCAACCAGACCCACCACCAGCAGCAGGGGTATATCGCATACCGTGCACTTGTGGGAAGGTATACATCGGAACCACCAAAAGATTCATGGGAATCAGGCTAAAGGAGCACGAAAGAAACTGTAGACTAGGCCAATCAAGTTTTTGAATTTTGGAGGCATTCTAAATTGCTTGGAAAAAATCCCAGAACATTGTTATTTTATTCCATACCTTTTGTAATGTATATCCTATGTATCCACACATGTGTGCCCCAAGAGAGTGTCCAATCGCATGCACGTGGTCTAGCTTTAGGTCTCCAGTAAGTCGAGCTATATCGTTCAACAGATATGCTGTTATGGCTCCTACTAGCCTTATGTTGGCTACTGCTTGGGTATAAGGGGGTCGAGAGCCCCTTTGCCAGTCGATTATTATGACGTTGCAATCTTCTTGTGCTAACAGAGTTTGGGTAATACTGTATATCTGAAAAATATGCACCAAAATCAGTATACTTTATGTTTCTTGATTTTTGTTTAGGTTGTTTAACCTTTCCCCAGTGAAAAATGAATGAAGCTAAATCGATGAGAATTTGCTGAAGTGTCGTAATGGAATGCAAACTACGAAAAGTAACTGCGAAATATAGGGACGTATCACTGGCTATCAGACAATTACATCGAGACCAATATGCATACAGGTCAGGTATGTCAACAGAAACGGCTCTATGTCGGGTAACAGAAAAAGTAGAATATAGGTACTTACAAAAACAAGGAAGTACTTTTAGCTGCTTTCTTGGACATTGAGGACGCATTTGATAATACGTCGTTAGAATCAATCATCCAGGCGTCGAGGAGAATAGGGATCGACAAGACAAGCTGTAGGTGGATAGGATGCATGCTTAGGGGAAGATTGGTATATACAACCATTATGGGGAAAACAGTCGTGGCACGGGTAGCAAGGGGCTGTCCTCAGGGGGGGTTCTATCTCCTTTGTTATGGAACCTTGTAATGGACAAGCTACTATGTCTCTTGGACCATAATGGGTATAAAGCACTGGGCTATGCATACGACTTAGTCATCTTAGTCCAGGGTAAATACAATAATGTAGTGAAGGGATGCATGCAGCAGGGCCTGAACATTATAACAAGATAGTAGCATTCACCAAGAGGACTAAAACGGAGGGTCTCGGACCTCTAAAACTTTGAGGTGAAGACATACAAGTGTCGGTGGAGGTTAAATATCTGGGAGTAATCCTAGATTCCAAACTGACCTGGAACCAACACTTGGACAGGATAAAGAGGAAAGCGGAGGTAGCACTGATGCTCGCCAGACGCACCTATGGAAAAACATGGGAGCTGAAACCAGACATGGTATATTGGCTATACACGATGGTGGTTAAACCCATGATAACTTACGCATCTCTGGTCTGGTGGCCAAAAATGAAGCAGGCGACCGCCATCAACAAACTAGGCAAGGTGCAAAGACTTGCATGTTTGGGAATGACGGGAGCAATGAGAACTACCCCAACAGCTGCATTGGAGACACTCCTGAAACTACCTCCTTTACACTTTGTGATAATGGGGGAGGCCAGGATGGGCCAATTCAGACTGGAAAACTCACCGAACTACAAAAGATCGGACCGAACAGAAATTTCGAAACAAGTGGAGGAGCACATATTGAGTATGTGCACGGACCACATGACACCGAAGTACACCTTTAACACAAACTTCACGGCCGTGAAGAGTGGAGACCATTAGTCATCCCCAAAACATGTTTGGAAAAACACTTGGTATACAGATGGATCGAAGACCAAACATGGAACGAGAGCTGGAATATACCGAGCGGGGAGAAATCTAAACTACAGCTATCCGCTAGGACTATACACATCCGTCTTTCAGGCGGAAGTGTATGCTATCTTGCAGTGTGCAAGGCTTATTAAATTGAGACCTCAAAGAAATGAGCGGATCAATACTTTTACAGATAGTAAGAGCGCACTAGGGGCTCTGACAAACCCGAAGGTGACATCAAAACTGGTCTAGGAATGTCATGAAAAACTGAATGAACTTGCAAACAGGAACAAATTGACTTTGTACTGGGTGCCAGGACATTCAGGAATCACAGGTAATGATAAAGCTGATGATGCGCTAGACGCGGATTATCAACTTCATATATAGGTCCTGAACCAGCTCTGGGGGCATCCCCCGAAACCAGATTAGGACATGGACCAATAAGAAACACACAGAGTATTGGACAAAAGTACCTGGCAACAAACACAGTAGAACCATTATTAGGGAACCGTCCGAGAAAAACACCGAAGAACTACTTCAATATAGTAGGGATCGGTTCAGAATAATTACAGGGTTACTAACCGGTCACTGTCCGCTTAGAGGACACCTAAATAAAATGGGGCTGTACAATGGAGACCTCAGCTGCAGATTATGCAACGAAGGGATAGAAACAGCTCTACACATCTTATGCGAACGTGAGGCACTGAATCACAGGAGGCAGGCAATATATGGACGTAGAAAATTACGCCCAGAAGAATATGACGAACATCCAACACGGAACCTGTACAAACTAGTACAGGGAACGAGACTGATGGAATGGGTGTCATGAGAAGATGGGAGAATAAACGCAATAAGCCCAAGAGGCTGCAGTGTTTTCTGGAGACTTGGACTGAATGGACAAGTCAGACAGCTCCCAAGGTACAAAAAAAATTGCGAAATATAAACCACCACAGATCCAATTAGCCAGTGATTTGTATTAATAAATTTTGCCCACAAATGAAATGGTCACTGTAAGTTATCACAATCTGCCCACCCCCAAGCGTAGACTGTCGGTTCACCGGTTCTGGTCTGGTATTTATGCCTCTGGACGAGTGACGAGTGGAGTGACGGACCGGTAGTTGGAGCGATGGTGGATTTGGTAGTGGGAATGGGATTGTGACTTGCAGAAACGAGGTATACAATGTTGTGATAGCGTGACCGTAACGATCTCCATGAGTGAGATAATCTTTGTGAATCATCTTGTTTGTTGAGACAGTTGTAAATCATGCTCTAAAGAAAAAACGCCGGCCGCCGCTGGTAGACATAAACCAATCGTCACGTAGCTAAGAGCGCGCGAATGTATGATGTTCGCTCCCGCCCTAGATGTAGCGAGAATAATGCTACCGATTTCGACGGAATTCCGGCGAAATTTCTACTGCATTCCATTATGATATATAAAGGCTAGCCACCAGCCAGCATATCGACACAGTCAAGTGGAAGTTACAGTGCGGTACGCGAAGCGATCCAGTAAGGCGATAGAGATTCAAATAATAGTTGAAGTTTTAGATGAAGTGTTTGTTGTATTTAAAGTGAAACAAAGTTAAGTTTGATTATTGTTCAGTGTAGTCAATTATTGGTCAACCCACGGGGAAAGCGTAACAATAAGTAAATCACTGAGTGTGTTGTTGGTTTTATGAATGACAAGGAATGGGGAATGTTCCTCAATTTGGGTTATTACAGCAAATAATGCAAGTTTGAACAAAATAAAGTTGAGTTTAATTCATGAGTTTTTCAAATTCACTTCGAAAAGTATTCAAATTGATGTTTCAAATGTTGGGTTTTGATTTTTAAAGGGATTTGTTTCTAATTCACATATTGGCAACCGCGCCTATATCAAGTTGAAATAATTTATACGTACCTAGATAGTCTACTTTATAAAAAGGAAAATTATCTTTATAATCAATATATAATCAATTTATAATCAACTGATCAACAATTGAGGCAAAATATAAATTATAGTTCAATACCACCTCCATAAGCCACATAAACAACAGTTGTTTTGTTATTTATTTATGTAGAGGAAGATAGGTTAGGTGCACAAAATGTCATTTGTCACAGAATGTCTCGGAACATAAGTAAACAGAACAGCACGCCTTTGAAATATGTCATCTTTGTTTGTCTCATTCAGGTAACAGATTAATTGTCCTTTATTAGCTATAACCGATATTGCCAAATGGTGAAATATAAACAAATCCCTTTTAATGTTGAATGCAGTATTTCATTCCTCTTTTTTAAGTATTTAAATTATTTTGTAATGAAAAATGTTGAAATGATAAGTTTAAAATGCGTTGTTTTAGAGCTCTTTTATGAAAACTACTTGATTTTCGTCAGGAGGAACATTCCCCATTATCTCTCAAGATAATTTAGGTTTCGAAAATGTGGGATAATCTGAATTTTTTTGAAAATGTTAACATTTGAAGCTGACACGAATCATAATTTTTACTAGTAATGAAAATAGATGACATAATCATTGGTGAACTACCTACCCAGTCTATGGATCCACCTTCCATATAGCCGTGTGTGATTAAATAAATAGGATTCTCAGCATCAAAGTCTGATACTTCGTTATAGTCCAAGTATTCGAATTCACCAATATCCAAGAGACGTGGTTTGACAGGGTTTTGTCTGGTATACAGGAAATACTTTGGTTCTATCTACAACATACAACTTCACGATAGACAAAACACACTCCTTTTATTAAACTATTCAAAATAGAGTAAATGCTTTTGAAATGTGAAAGAAATTATAACACTTGTGTTCGGAAACATTTATATCAAAGTTCCTTGCGAATTATTATCCTTCATGAACGTTTTGCTTGTCGAATGATCCTTCGAATATGGTATATATTGCAGGCCCTATCGAAAATCGGACAAATCAGATACGCGATGAGGTTGAAAGTGATAGTTGCAAATAAAGTAAGTGTAATAATTTATAAGGTAGGTGAAGTAGAACTCACATAAATTAGATTTATCTGTGTTGATATTTACCTCATGTAATTCTTCGGGAAACAGAGAAACCGGTCGATTTTCTGAGGTCCAAGGAGGTGATAATTGGTAACAACCATATGTTCCATAACATTTCGATGCATTTGATTCTTGAAAATTAAAAAGTTCATTACCAAAATGTCATAGTTAAGAGATTTGGTTATTTATGCCGTTTTTTCAGCTATTGCTATATCGGAAACGATAAAAATCTACAAGGTCGGTTACATTGGACAAAAAAAACTGTTTTAAAATCTCGTTTTCCGTTAACCAGCTGTCGCACCCCTACGAACGACAACCCTCAGAAGTCGAAACTTGTGCGAGCTAAGGATTAACGAGGTCTTACCTTTTAACGTGTGATTCCTAACACGGGTTGGGCGATAGCAAGTTAAAATCGATCGTTCAGACTGGGGCTTGAACCACCGACCAACACGGTAGTCAATTCGGGTGAGTGAACAAAGCACCCACGTCGAACCTCCTGGCTACCCATTTTGCGGAACTAGAACAATACCTTTTCAGATAGAGAATATCAGTGGTTGTTTTTGATTTTTTTCTGGTATATAAACCAATTTGCAATGTGAGGTTTGGTTCACTAAGATTTCATCCTCAACATTATTTTTTAAATTCGGACCCCTAGTTTTTTTCAACGATTTTTGTATCCACGTAATAACAAATTCAGCTACGTATCAAAATACATGTGTTTCCGATGTTTGTCTTCGAAAAAACATCATCAATATTTGTGTAGTCTGGAAAAGGTATTTACAAACCAATATCTTAGAACTCAAAGATACATATCAACTGCACACATCTTTTGAAAATTTACAAATACAGGTGAACGCCCATGCATTCCAGGGGTTTTCTATAACAATGGAAGAACTGTTCAAAAGCCAATTATTATAGAACATAAATGATTATTTGGTATTTTCCCTGACAAATAAAAATAGTGAAGAAATAATTCATGATTGCACGATTTTTACTATAAAGTGTTTTACAAAAACCGCAACACGTGTTTCACTATACAATAGCTTTCTCAAGCGTGAACAGTTTACGCTTGAGTCAGCTATTGTATAGCAAAACACGTGTCGCGGTTTTTGTAAAACCCTTTATAGTGAAAATCATACAACAAACTGTATTAATTAGTTTTAATATGGATTTTCATCAAGTATCGGCCAGTTCTATTCGACTTTAGTTCAGTTGTTAGAAGATTTGTCGTCGAATATTCTTTAAATATTCAACATGATAGAGCTCCACCACATCGCAGAACTATTTGCATATATTTTCTCAGGAAGGCTATGCCCTAGACTTCTCGCCAACATCTCGGTTGACGTCAGTAGTCAGCTGGTTTGAGGTCTGGGGAGTATAGTGGGTGAAGCAGAACTTTGACGCTGAATTCGTCTAATTTTCAGAGATTGAAACGTGCATTCTGTTGACCAGTTCCGGATGAAGCTGACACAATTTCCGGTACATTTCGTTGATTTCCTCACAATAGGATTATGCTTTGATGGTTTGGCTCAGTTGCAGAAAGTTATAGAGTGAATCATATCAGTCGCTGAACATCTTCATGTATTTTTAATTTTGTGAATAATTTAGAAAATTGGAAGGCCTCAGAATGGTTCTTTTTTGATAATAACTTCCTGATTTAAACATTGTGGTGACAAGCCCCCTGTATTCACAAAATGAGATAGAATTGATTATATAATAATTTGTTATTAACATTTTTCCAAGAAATTCGTCAATATCGTCAGGTTTATCCTCGACAAATTCAAAAGTTATCTGTTTACAGTGTCTATTGTTACAAACGGTAAAAGATAGTGAAAAAACGGTAATATCATTGTATGCAGTATATCTGAAAAAATAATAAAAGTGTCAGATTTTAATTAGTATCAATTTTCTAAAGTATGCTAATCGAATTGGTTTGACGATACAGCAGCCTTTATCTTTGGAAAGGAATTTTATTGACGTCACCAAAATAGAATTTTGTCAATACTGAAGACGTATTACGATTCCTATTTTTGTTAATAGTTTAAATCTGAAAAATATTTAGCCAAAAAAATACCTTCAACTACTTTGTTCATGTTGGAATAAATCAAAGTACAATAAAATAGCAAAAAACATGCTCTCGTATTCTCAATCATCATAATTAGCGATATTTACCTTTCCCAATTTGCATATAATAATAATTATAAGAACTCTCCTGCTGTATAATACTTTGGTTCACCATGAACACTATTGTTTGGAAAAAAACACTGGAATTATTGTCAAGACCGACCATATTGCAAAAAGAACTACCACTGCTTATCTTCTGGACATTCCTAGATTCCAATAAGCTTTAAGCCAACACAAAAATGACGGAATTCTCGATTTCTTATCGTTGTTCAAAGTACAGGGGTCAGTTGGATATACTCTCGATTCAGTAGCAATTCATTTCCAAAAAGAAAAATGGAGTTTTTCATTACGTGAAGTATGTAAACAATGAGAATGAGACTTTGAAGAATGTTTGTTGCAGACTGTTTATATTATCTTCATCTCAAAAGGCCAATGGATATAGTTTTTGAAGAATAAAAGTAGTGCTCATTACGGGAAAAATGAATTAAAGTCGATTCCATTAAGGTACGGGGGATGAAATGGTTAAGGTTCACGATGGAAAACGGTTTTTCATGATTCACCCTGAAACTAGATCTCCTATTGAAAATAGTTGTAGGAAATATAAACATCTACAACTTTGGAAAGATTGGAAAAACCGGTTCATTCGTTTTTGACATTTTTCTTCTACAAAAAAAAATTGTTTTTCACAATGGAAACTTACCTTTTTGCATTCCAAGTATCCTGTAATTTTTTTAAATCGAAGTAGGTACCTATTCAGCAATAACATCATATTTTGATGTTGATCTCAAAAAATTCTTTTCTCAGCCTAAAATACTTCTGAAAAAAGTTTTTTCAAATCAGCATCAGTTGTATTTTTTTTGGTTAAATCATCTTCTTCCTGGTGGTGTGAAAGAAAAATAACATCACAGTGGAAACATTTTTCAGAGAGTTCGAAAAAGTGTTTGAAATTTTTTATACCTACAAAAACTTTCATTTGATATTCCTAAAAAATGCTGAATGTAATACTACATTATTGAAACCATTTTCCACTAAAATTCAGTCCGATTCATCCCCCCAGCTTGAATCGATCTGTTATATGCCAATATATTATACCTTTTCTAATAATTTTCAAGCAGTTTCAAATTTTTCTCCTTTCTTGCATTTTTAACAATATTCGGCGATAATGGGCCCTTCAAGTGTTAATTTTTCGCTCTCACAATATTTAGGTTGACATCCAACTAGAAGAACAGTAAGAACTTGTATTTTTTCGTAATCATCCGTTTCTTCAAAATATATTTGAAAGTTTTTTTAAAGAAGAAAAAATTAAAAAAAACGAACAACGCTTTCTTTTTGTAAGTTGTTTTCATTACAAAATGAAAAAAATTAAATAAACAGACGTTTTCATTCCATAAATATTGAAGTGCTTCTATCAAGTTATTTTCAATTTCTTTTATTAGAAAACAGTTCATTTCCTCTAATACTTTACCGGCTGTTTCTAGATTTTTTTAAATCACATTTTCTTTCTCCCATCATACGTCCATTATACAAGGCCAAAATTGAAAGTGCGCCACATTTTTGACCTTGGTGGTGAATTGAATAAACTGCTCACAATAATATTATGGTATATATTTCTGAGAAATTTGTTGTTGTTTGTATGTGTATGTGTGAACAGAAAAGTAATTTGTATTCAAACATAAAAACAAGAATACATTCCAAATGAACATCAGTATAATTGAGAACTAAAAGAAAAATGTCAAACACTGGCAAAAGATTCACAATATTTTCTTATGCCTACAACCAAAAAAGTTTATAATTTTTTTTCAGTTATCTTACCTGTTTACTAATAATTACGTACAAAGGCAGAACTGAATACCAAAATTGTCAAGCATGGAGAACCTCAGGGATCCGTGCTTGGTCCCCTTTTATTTAGTGTCTATATAAATGATCATAATGCAGATGTTTTTTTATATGCTTTTATCATAAGTAACTAACAAGTGGGGAAGCTAGATCAGTTGTCATGTGAAACACTGACAAAATGCGAAACATACTTTAGCGCTAATGTTCTATGCTTGAACGCAAATAAAACTCAGAAAATAACTATCGCAAATAGATCCCAAATGTCTGGCGGTGACAAAGAGGTGCGTTCACTAGGATTCCACCTTGACAACAAATTAAATTGGAATGGACATACGACATCCTTATGTAAAAAGCTCTCAAGGTGTCCCTACGCATTGAGGGGACTAAGGAGTTTAGTTTCGAACGATGTGCTGAGAATTGCATATTTTGGCATGGCTCATTGTCACATAAACTATGGAATACTGATATGGCATGCTTCCTCACATGCAAGTAAAGTATTCATTATCCAAAAAAAAGATAATGAGAGATTTAGAAAAAGTTGATTCCAGAACCAATGCTAAACCAAACTTTATGAAATGGGTCATACTTACATTACCTTCCATGTATGTTCTAGAAGCAATATTTTTTGTCCATAAAAATAAGAATGATAGTGGCTCCAGGACTCACAATCATGATACAAAACGCAAAGACATCATCAAGCTACGGAAGATGCATTATCAGAACACAGCCAAACAAACGAAGTTTCTTTCCATAAAAATATATAACACTTTGTCTAGTGAGTGGAATGACCTTCATATAAAAGAATTGAAGTTCAAAGTAAAAAATTCACTAGTCACCCAAGCTTTCTATAAGGATTGATAAGCTATTCAATTGTCAGTGGTCCTAATATATGTATATGTGCGTATATATGTGGGTATGTGTGTATATATGTGTATTTATATTGTTAATATCCATATGTGAGTCATAACTATTGTATTGGGAAATTTTTCCTCATGTACTGAATGTATATTTTTTATATTTTCAGTATGACGTATATAAGCAAATTTTGTTATTGCAGATATTTTTCGAATGTAACAGAAATTGTAATTTGAGGTCAATAAAATTTCTTTCTTTCTTTCTTACAGTGTGATTGATCACGTATTTATAAGATAGTTTTTCGATTCAAATGAATTTTTAGCCAGTAGTATTTTCTAATAATTGAGCATTTGCTATTCTGATATCTTTTTCATAGTTATAAATATTGATAGGTGATTTGCAGCACATCTGGCAATAGTGATATTTTCGGTTTTGTTTCAATGTTGATGTTTGGATTTGAACTTCATTAGAAAAAACAAAGATTTCTGGCTGAAATGACTGTGTTTTCAAAACATAAAAATACAATCCACTTTTTTATTCCAAATGATCTGTATCTATCTTACAGAAGGATAAACTACTCTTGAAGAACGTAAATTAAAGGCCTTTGTGAAATGAAACAAATCGAAAGTAGCATCACCACCACTACACTCACAGGACATTTCATATGATGGACAGTGTATTTGTAATATCAATTATTTTTCAGAGCAAAGTGCAACATTATGAATTTGTGTCAACAACATATGCCATCAAGCCTGATTATTTATATCAAACATTACCGAAAATAACATTGACGTAGTCAAAACAATGATTGAAGCTAGAAAAACACAAATTTCGTAATAATAAATTTTATTTAATATAAACGTGTGTTACAAATCAACGTCATCAATGAAAACAGGTGTAGAAAAGAGGAATTACTAATTTTGTAACTTTTTAATATTAATTTTATTTTCAACACTATACGATTTTAGAATATTTAAAACGCTTTCGCTGTATCATTTATGTTCATTAGTTAGAGAGATAGACAAGAAGTTGGAATTTTAAAAGTTACAAAATTCACTTTTATGTAAGGAGAAGGAAGAAACAGTGACAGCACAGACTAACTACATTCAATGAATCAATGAAGGAAATATATAAAAATGAAGATTAATATTTTGAGGAGTTGAAATTAAAGAATTTTTGTAAACAATACGATTCAAATGAGCAACTAATCTGGGTACAATAAGGTTCTTTATAATTCATAAGTTTATTCAATGATATAGTCAGCATTAATAGTTAAGAAATCCTCAATGAAACGAATAGATTAGAAATGATCTAGCAGTATACAAGTTGGGTCCATTAGTTCACTATATAATAACATTTTTTTGTAAACCAGAAGTACAGATTTTCCACAACCACCCAAAATACTGGCTGCATGAGAATTACGTATCGAGGTGAACTGAAACAATAATTGTATTATTTGTGTGAATGAGTAATATTTCCACTTCAGTCCTATATTGTTTTGGACAAATGAATGGGTTTTATGACACAATGCTAAAAGTACCATGATATGTTGTAACATATCTTGAAACATTTTTAATAAAAGTTCATCTAAAAACAGTAATCGAATTAAATGAACAGCTTGAAGAATATATAAATTGCAAAATAAGTACAAACTAGAAGTTCCTTGTGTGACGATAGTCAGTTATCGTCACACATATTTATACATTTATTATTGTCTCATTACTTAATGTACCGTGTACCTAAATAACAGTTGGAATGTACAAAACCATTCTCAGTTATTTGAAGTTTTGAAACAAAACAGAGAACCAGCAAAAAAATTCCATATCTTGACAAGAGCTTCATAACCAATGTCTGAAAAATACTTGCTATGGCTACTTTGAAACACTTTTATAAAAAAATCTTTTTGACACAGCTTCCTGAAACCCTGCGTGAATGAAGACCACATATTTCTTTTTCAATACAAAACATGACTCGAGGTGTTCACTTTTTCTGGATGATACTAGAAAAAATAATGCACTACTCAAAACATCATATTTGATCCACAAGCACTGAAAAGCTGACATTTAACGATGGTTTCAGGATAAAGTAAAGATATTGAAGAAAATAAGGAACCTTACTTGGCTACCAATTATTGGTTATGCAGCCAGTTTTCTGGTGGCAACATTTGGCATCTCATATAGTTTTTCATAACAATTCGACAATCCACATAAGCAACTTTCGAAATACCTGCAAATTGTGGCAAAATATACTGTAGTAGCTTCTAATAGCGCAGAGTCGAAACTTTTGAGTACATTTTTTTCTCTACTTTTTCATTATTCTTTAATAACATACTTCGTTGCATAAATACAATATAAAGTCATCACAATAATTGCAGTTCATATAGTGAACACTATAAGCGTGAATTATAACAAATATATTTTCAACACGAACAATTTTCCTTTGCTGTAGCACCCATACTAAATTTTTTAAAATATTTTCTGTCGAAACCCATCACTTGGTAGGACAGTGGAGTCGAATATGACGGGAGGTGCTAAATTATATGGACGCAACACAAAATTAACATTAAATTTCAGAGATGAATCCATACATATGTGATTAAAAAGACGATCCTGCTAGCAGTCGTTTTTTATAACCAAGTATTGAAGTTTTGTAAATATTGGTAAAGCACTAGAAAATTCTGAGAATTCAAATATAACTTGCACAAAGATCAAACTAAAAACTGATCTGAATAAATACTGTAACACCCCTCCTCATCTTCGATACATCATTGAACTACCTACAGCAATAAATAATTTCATTTGAAAATCAACAGGGTGGTCCACTATACCAATAACAAAGCATCATTAATAACAAACAACGATACGAAATGTGAAGTTCTTCGACAGAATCATCCTTAAGAATAACAACTATGAATTATGTACTAGATCTATCATCGTAAACTACTATTATTGATATGCTATCCATGACATGGTAATGTTAAATTGAAAAAATGTCTTTTTGACGGAAATTAATGGACTGATCTTTTAGGAAGAGGCAAAAGACAGAAACTAAAATTACACAGTCTCTTTGAATGGTCATCATAAAAAAAAAGTTTTATTGTCCAAAACAGGTGTTATTGAAACATTTAGTTTGTAAATATTACTTGAAATATACCAAGAACCTAGAGATGACACCAAAACAACTGTTCCATGGTATGAAAAAAGTCAAACGTTGATGTGTCTTAGTAGAATGAAAACCTTATAATACGCCAAAGTCACAAAAAAGTTCGACATCCCAAAAAAAAAACAGAGAGAACCCCTAAAGGAACCTGAGTGGAGGTACTGCTAACAGGGCAGACAGCTGCAATTCGGTCAATGATGAATCAAAGGGTGATATTGAGGTTGGTCTGAAGAGGTGAAGAATGGTGAATAGATTGATTCTATACCGACTGAACCAGCTGTGGGGTACCAAAATCTATGGTATCGAACTAGATTAGGAAATGGGTCAAAGAGAAACGGAGATTACTGGAAAAATACACGTGGGAATCCAAACGGAAAAGTCTTCATAAAAAGACTGTCTGAGAAAATAAATGAAGATCTGGAGGTCTGGAAGGAAATGTCAGTGAGCTCCCAGGTATAGTCGAAGTAACTGATAAAGTAATCTTAAAGGTGTCGGCGACGTCAAAGGCCAAAAAAACCAATACAAAGGAATTATGCCGCAATGAATTAGTCCACGTGGACTGAAGAATTGGCGGTTCGTATTGGCTGAAGAGTTATAAAATTAAATTTGAAGTCATGTTACGGTGACCAACAGAATGTAGCGATGAGTATCGCCGTTGTGTGTGTTATTAAAGAGGAGCTGCTGGAAGGTAGGGGGCACTATATCTTTCACTTGAACTATACCAAAGAAACAGTACTATCCTACTGGAAAATATTTTTTTGTACTTCCACAATTGTGTTTTCTCTGTCGTAGTGTGCAAAATAAAATAAACTGAGAGCATTTGAAAATAGATGACAATATTTACTCCGTAAGGCTTAGACAACAGCAGGATAGTATAGATATTATGTGAACAACTTAATGAATATCCCAAAAACAAAAGGTTTAACCTGAAGAAGTGTGTAAATCTCTTTATACGGATATAGAAAGGTGGCAGATTCAAAAACCATTCCAACCCCCCCTAGAGTGTGGGTAAGAAAAAGATTCAAATAATACCAATACAGAAATAAGATCCATAAAGGGATCATTAGAAAAAGTTAGAGAAGACCTTCTATTACTAGATGTAAATAGGTCGAAAACTATCATAGGATTCACCTTGCTATTGAAGTATATCTGCATAAAATTGGACTATCTGCTGCAGTAATCACGTCTTGGTATTGTTTTTAAAAATATACTATAAAGACAATATATGCACACACCAGGTAGATATGCATGCTGGAGCAGGGTGTTTTTAACTCAGGAGTTTCAAAAATATTTCCTTATTGTGTCCAATTATTTTTAATTGATTCAGTTTTATGCAACTCGATTAAAGTTATTATCAAATATCATTCATTATAGTTATTTTGTTTCCTTCATGAAACACAATCTTACAGAAAAGGAAGTATTTTAGAAAATTTAAAAAACCACAGATCTAAATCAAGTCTTTAGAAATTTTTGAGTGGGGACTTATATTTTTTGAGATCTGTAAATTGTCTACAGTTTTCCTGCACCTTATAAAAATCCGTAAAAATATATTTTTTACTCAAAAACAGCTATTTTGTTGTTTCTTTTTTTATTTAGTACAAGATTTGATGAAAGTGACTTACCTAGTTTCGAAACTAGACACCTCATATGAGTAAACCACTGAAACATAGTTACTCAACATAATTTCACATCACCATTGAATTAATATCATATTCAATGGACTATCTGAATGAATAAACCATTTCGTTAATGCCAGTGCCAATACCTAAAAGGTCCTTGTACAACAAAGATATGGAATGTCGACGAAAAGAATACACTGTGTGTACCGAAAGCTGATGAAGTGTGAGTGATAATGAAACACAGTCGACTCCTAACAAATTGGAGCCGAGCAAGTGAAAACAGTGAGGTTATGTACAGGACGAAACACAGAATAGCTAATATTGTCCGCAAAGGGGCACTTCATCGAATAACAGTCAACAGAGGTGAACAATCGCCCGGGAGTCCCACTTGCCCGGCTATTTAAAGCTTGAATAACAAGTTCATACAAAGTACAATAGCTTACCTAACCTCAAATGTCTTCACAACTCCATAAGGTTGCAGATCGAAAAGGTTCTCATGTTCATTTCAATTAAAGTTTGAATTAATCTAGAACATTTTAGTGTGTATCATAAAGTATGTGCGGAAGGTTACATTCAAAATTTGAAGTTTGTTTGGAGAAAATATATTCATTATCTTGTTGACAAGGAATTGTCAGTTGTGCAAATAGTATGTCTAATGGCATGTTCGGATGGTATTTCATGGAAAAATTTTGATAATATAATCTTTCCCTCCTAATTTAACATTAGGCGGATGTTAACTCTTTGAAGCATGGCTGTACACGTCAAGTACCACATTTTTCTAGCATTTAAAGCATGGTGTTCCAAAATACAGAACACATATCAAGTGACTGATACCACTTCCCTGGCTAATACCACGTTGGATTATATCCGCAAGTTGTCAGTGCAGGATTCTTCACTGAAGTTATTCCTGCATATGCCGTTGGCGATACAACTGCCCAATCGATTTTCAATTATTGGAACACACTTGCAGACCGGTTTCGTGCTGTTTGGCCACTTGTCAGTGCAAAGTAGTGTCTATGTCTATCATCAACATAAAGTCGATGATTTCCGATAATAGAAAATCGGATTCCTTCAGAGCATCATTCCTCGAACTAAGGTGAAGTGAATGGCAACCAAAAATAAAATTACAGAGAGCAACATGTTGAAAACAACATAAATTTTGAATTATTTTATTTTATTGAAAAATGTATTCAAGTGAATAAAAATTATGGAATATCAATTACAAAATTTGTTTTCGCTTTCATATTTTGATCTATGGTATGTCGAGTTCAAGGGAAAAAGTCAAAATATTTTGACTATATATCAAATTTTTGCCAATAAGAAAAAGATTAGAATTTTTCTAAAATATATGACACTGAGAAGCGTTGTTATTGACAAATCAATGACTAATACCAACAAAAACTTGGCAAGCATGTCAAGTAATTTTACTGATGAACATTTTTAGTGTAATATTTACCTAAATCACTGATTGATATTTGACACATTCTGAACATGTAAGAAATATGGCACATAATTCATGATAACACCATATCAATCATAAAGTAAAACTTACTTCAAAAGAAATAATGAAATATGTAAATATTGAGAGAATGAAAAAAAAATGTCCTCCAAAATTTTGTTATATTGATATAGTAAAATATTTCAATTCAAGCAGAAAATTTTGTGAACGGATTTAACCTAATTATGGCACGAAATAGCAAGTTTTTTACAATTTTCTGAAGAACACAGAATATGATATTTAAAACAAGCACCACCATTATCTATGCATAACATATTTCATCTCAAAGAAAAGAAAATAATATTCGAGATCAGAGTCAATCTTTCTAACAAGCCTGAAAAAGAGGAAGAACAGAATGCATTCGAGATATTTGAATCCCAAGTGTAAATTTCAATGCTTCTAAATTATTACTTCGATGTTCTAGGTATCATATTACTATATCTGCATGCAAAAACATGAATGGCAACTCAAAAAACTGAATGAAATCCGATAACCGCTATCGATAAGCTCTAGGCTTCTTACATAACTACGCATTTATCTTTAGCCACTCGACTGTTGGTTTTACCTCCGACCTGGAGACTGACGTTGCGAGACTTTTCTAAATTGAGCAGTTCCTGGAACAACTGTTTGACATTGTGGTTGGTCTTGGCGGACGTTTCCATAAAACTAACTCCCCATTCCGCTGCCTGTGCTTGGCCCTCTGAGGTGCTCACCTGATAATTCAATGATAATGTTTTGATGAATTTTGGAGACTCAACTCTGAGAAATCGAGATTTTTACTGTTTATCAGATATGGTCTACGAGAAAAAAGTTTCAAAACATAGTAACTCAAATTGGTAAACTGGGATAAAAAAAATCGTCAAAGGTAAGAGTACCTGTTAACCATTGTAAATAACCACAATTGAAATATTAAAAGTTGGCACAACAAAATAGTACACATGCATCATCAATAATACATCTTAAATGCTATTATATAGAACCCTTTTCTTCTACAAGTGAATCACAAAGACAAAATAGTTAACATTTGCATTTAATCAGTGAAAGTTTGACAGTTTGATATTGTTATTGTGAAGATTTTGCGATTTGAAGACTTTATACTGCACTTTATACTATACGACTTTTATGCAATAGACCCAGAATCGTTAAATTGGGTTACTACTTAATAGGTTTCAAAAAAGCAATTTTTTGTCAGAAACTTAGATCTTTCAGAGCAGTAACCATGTCATATTTTTTTATTACTTCATCAAATTATATTGGATGGACAAATGGAAGGTACTCTTCTAGTAATTGAGAACGAAATTATGTGGTTTCAGATCTTAAAACTACTATCAAAATGTAGAAAGTTGGAAATAAAAGCTGACCAGTTTCTGAATGTTTGGAAAAGAGTTCAGTTTAAGTTTCACACTACATATATTGGGAAATAAGGTCTCACCTCTCTCAACTCGGCACTCTCATCACACTTGTTCCCTGTCAGCATGATGGGAATCTGACTCAGATCTGGCCCCTTGAGTTCACGAATGACATCAAAGATTGGTCGCAGTTCTTCAAGGCTCTGACGACTGCACACAGAGTATACCAAGATAAACGCATGGCCCTTGCTGATGGACAACCGTTGCATGGCTGGAAATTGGTGGGAACCAGTTGTGTCCGTAATTTGGAGAGTACATATATTTTTGTTGCAACTTATCACCTGAAATCATTCCGGTTCGTCTCAGGGCAATGAGTAGAGTATTTTGGTATGATAGTAATTTATGAAATGTGTAATGATGAAGCCCTAGGGAAGTCATCAGTACATTAGGTCTATTACAATGTAACTTAAATCGTAATTTAAAATCGTAATCTTTATTATTATAGGATACATCCTAATCTTACAAGACATAATAACTAATAAATAATTTAAATTTCCACAGTGCCAAAAATATTAATAAAATTCAAATATGTATATAGATAATAACAATAATGAAGATAAACTAAATAAGAAGATAATAATAAAAAATATACAATTTATAATACCCAATGTTGAAAACCAAAATTGATATAGTAACTATATATAATATACATATTTTCCAACTAACTAACGCTCTAGGTATTCCAATAATTTACTTTTAAACCCTCTTACAGTATTTTCCTCTTTAATGGCATTTGGTAAATTGTTAAATTCCCGTAGTCCCTTGTAGAATAAGTTTTTAGTTCTGCCACCAGTGTTGGTTCTATATATATGAAAATTATTATAAGATCTTGTCTCATGTTCATGTATTTGATTATTAAAAACCAAAAATTCATTAAAATATGTTGGTTGGAGACTTTTGGTTATTTTAAATATAAAAACCATTGTTAAAAAGAATAATCGATTTGAAATCGACAGCCATTGTAGTATATTTAACTTGTAAATATAATATTTCATTTCTTTACACAGATCTAATATTAACGAATTACATTATTTCTAGTTTTTCAAAAACACAAAAACGTTTGTGAATCATCGCCATGTGCTGTAACTAATTCATTTTGAAAGGTTTTCGAAACATTTATAGAAAACTAACTTATGTTCATATCTACAAATATTACTATGTTTTTTTATATTAATTCAAAATAAATCAAGTATAGTTTTGAACTTACGTAATATTAACAATTCAATATGAGATAAGAATTTTACTTGATTTGAAACAAGTTTTGATGTGTCACTTGATAAATTGTGGCATCAAAACAATCAAGACATATTTTTGAAAAGCCATTTCAAAAGTAAAACAACTTTGCAGAATACTCCAGAGATTGGCATTCAAACTTTTTCTAAGAATTCAAATCAAAAGGTGATTATATTTTCGTTCATGAAACAATGAAATGAAATAATGAAAACACTTGATACAAATAGAATTTTCATATTTAGAAAATTTTACCAAAACAGTTAATACAAATAAGCTAATAAAACTGATAAATATTTAGAGCTCTTCATATATATAGCAGGTGTCCAATGTGCACTGTTGGAATGTTTGTTGGATATAGCACACCATTTATTTCATAAAAAAATGTAAGGTGCCATTCGATAATGATGATTATAATGACGAGCAGCTTTATCTCTACGTTTTGTATTAGATCTTTTCATCTATTATACAATTACTTTTTTGATTGTCAAATAACAGATATATTGCTTGTGAAAGACATTGTAGGACCCTCTGTATAGTTAAAATTTCTATCAATGCAAAAAAAACGCCTGATTACATGAAAACAAGCCCTAACAAAAAATAAAAAAAGTTTTACTCACCCATAAGACAAACATCAAGCCAAAAAATATGCATACTAAGTAACAAAATCGAGCAACAAAAACTGAAAATAAAACTGGGCATTCACGAGCAAAACTTCTTTACAGATCTGCCTTACTTGTCGGTATGTGTCTTCTATGGTCGGTATGTAGCTTTCTCGAAAGGTACCTTTGACAAACCTCAATACCAGGGAGCTTTTGCCAACCCCTCCTGCCCCGAATACGACTACTCTGTAATCGTTACTTTGTTCAGGCATACTTGTTCCTTTAATATAGTTCTATTTGTGAAAACAGCCGATTCCAAAATAAAGAGGTTATATTACATCTTTTGAACACAAGAAAACTCTTTTTTGTGCATCCCTCGAAAGGTGTCTTAAAACAACTCGAACTCAAACGTAACCGGTTCAGATTTTTTAAATTTTTGTTTAATTGTAATGAAAGTTCATTGAAACAACATCGTTAAAAAACTGAAAAATTTGTATTGATTTTGCTTTCGGCCATCTATTGCAAGTTGATCGAAGTATAGGACAATGACACTAGAGAAAAATACGAAACCTATGTTACCTACTATTCAAAAGAAACACATCTTGAAATATCAGCATTGTATATAGACTATTTCTTCATATGGTTTATACAGCTCTAAATGAGCATGAACATGGTATGGAAAAATTCTTCATCTAGCTACGAGATCTGAGATCTGTAAGACATATTAGTACAAAGTTAAACGGTGAAACAAAAACCTGTCAGCTGTCGTTTACGTTTGCGAACATATTTGATTTTGACTATTCATCGGTTTTCCACAATAATCGAATAAAGAAAATTCATCATGAATTCACAATTGGAAAACTCAAAATACAGTAAACCCCAAAACAATGAACAAATATGTTTCGCGTTCAGCTGTACGGATAAGAGATTTACCATTTAATATCACCATGTCACAAAAGAACAAAGAATAAACTCTTTGGATTGGTATTTCCAACAGAAATTGTATTCAACTACGATTAATTATGAATTATGAGTTCTGTGGTATATGCTCAACAAAGCAACAGTTCTCTGAATGAAGCTTCGAAAGCAGGATGCATTGAAAACTGATGTTATCCAATTCGCTTTTGTTTTGTCAAAAACTCTGGACGCGAAGAATTAGATTGAACCAACTTTGTACACATTTGGTAGATGGTGCAAGAATCAAAATCTGCCTCAAAATCTTCCACCTGATATCAATTCATTCCCAAATGTAAACAACATTGAAAATTTAAGTGAACTTTTTTCCTGAAGTACGAAAAATCACTCACTAGCAGCGCTAGTAGTTCGGTAGGGACAAACACTGCCTAATCCTCATATAAACATATGGTAAAGTACAATTAAAAAAAATGTTTTTAACGTTCCTGGAGCAAAACTAAAATTTGCAACTGTAAAGGATAACAATGGTGTAATACTAAAACGTTGGCTTGCATGTCGTAATTCAAAAGAAACTGGAAAAAAGTGAATTATCAGACAGGTTAGTATACAGACTAGTAAACGAGTAGCAGTAGATTCAAACAAAAATAAAAGGAATTTAAAATAATTATGAATTTCAGACTTATTTCCTAGTGAAATATCAATTATAGATGGTGATGAAATAAATTTAATTAAATAAAATGAATATAATTTAATAAACGATTGAGGTTATATCTCATTCTAATCAATGGTAATTAACTATGAAAAATTTACTATTAATTTCATGTTTAGAGCATATATATGAATATTTATTTATTTTTTGCACTGTGGAATCCACTCTCCTCGAAGCTTGTATCCATTTCTCACATCTAACCTCATTGATATGAGGTTTTATGAATGGTATAAAAAACACGTTTTCTTACGGATATCGATTATCCGACGTACAATTCGCAAAACAGCAATGCTTTGTTGGCATTATACTAGCAAAAAAATTTTATATCAGATTTATATTTTTAAATAATGAATTAATATTTTATTAAAACAACGATAAAAATAAAATAAAAACAACAATAAAAATTAATTGGCGCTCCGGGGCGACTTCATTGATTCCAGTGGCGTAATATAATAATATAGTGAATTAATATTACGTAAATAACACTGTTTTACATGTGAATAGTTTATGTTTGTCCCTACTACTAGTGCTGCCTCTCGTGACAAGTTCGCTGTACTATTCTCAGAAAAAGGCTCGTTCCATTATGAACTCCAGTGACGTCATAACAAGGATGACCATTGAAGAGAGAACATTGACGCTATAACTAAAAATAGATGGAGATACGTCTTGGCATTTGCGTCACTTATACGCTTAACGCCGTACACGTCACGATGTTTTACGTGTTGCATATTTCCATTGGGAAAATTTTGGCATTAGTCTTTTCACAGTGCTGATATAGCAACAGCAGTGCAGTGGCTGTGAATAGCGGCTAAGATATTGTTATCCGCAGGTGGAATATATCTAGAACTGACGTCACTTCCAGCCCATATTATCATGTCTATGGTAGTAACCAAGAAATAAGGTGTTCAAAATATGAAAAATTCATTCCTACTTCCATACATACACCTCTTCAAGTATTTTTGTTCATTCCAGTCTTTCGAGGCGCTTTTAAAAAGATTTCTCCCAAATTTCATCAAAGAACTCTCTACAATAACCGACATAATGAATTCAATGGCATGGACATTCTTTACCACTGTTATAAGAGGGATTCAAAGAATGGAAAATTCGAAATTTTTGCCACTACCACAGGGGTGGATACAAAGTGAGTGTCTGCTTGTTCCTTCACTACACACTTCATTATGACTCGTACCTCTATTCAACTTCAACCAAATAAATCCAACTTCTTCATGAAGCAATTACTTTTTTGGTAGTGATCTTTCAGGTCAGCTGATAAAAGTGAAGCTCCACCAAATGCTGGAGACCGAATCCAGTCAGCTTATGTGGTCTACTACCAGAGCCTGAATATCCTATAATATGGCATATTATACAGAAAATGTTCCAGTTGAAAGGCCGATATTGAGGTAGTAGGATATTCAAGGTGCAACATTCCTACCTCAATGACCGCAGCAATCTTTCTATATGAAGGCATCTGTAAGACTCTATACATGACGACACATTTGATTCAGCCATGCAGGACTTTTTCGCCTCTAGGTTGGGTGGATCATTGGGTGTGAGCATTTGCTGGTCTGCTCCGGGGGAGTTTCTTTTCTAACATCCTGCTCTTGACGAGGCGAAATATCACTTTCTGCCTACCTAGCCTCCTAGGTTTAATAGTTGAAATTGGAACCTGTGGCGTGAAGTGAAACTATCAACACTTTTTCCACGCCAAACAAAGTACTGTCAGACGGAGACAGTATTTCGTTCTGGCGTGGGAAAAATGTAATCATTAATGCAAGTGTAGCATACTTTTGTTACTCACCGTATACTTACAACTACAGAAAGTATTCTGAGAATTGTTGTATCATACAACAACATGGGATGTTTGAAATAAATACTACATTTTTCACTTCTTGATTAACTCAAATAGAAGAGCCACTTGAAAATAATTTTTACTCAGCTGCTCAAGGAAATAAACTATAGGTATTTTTTAATAGAATCAAGAGTTGAAGAACTGAAAAGTTTTTGCTCTTGATCTGATCTTACAGGAAGGAAAATTGGAGTCACTAAGTCGACGTCTGTCTCCACAGTAGACTAGGGTCAATGAAGGGTCCCACGAGTAGCTAGGACGGGTTTCCAGATTATAAAAGGGCAAAAAAAGTGTGAAGGGATACAAACCTACAGAATTTCAGTACTGAATTTTCAGCTTCTGAATTAGAAACAAGAGTATTGCAGACACAGAATATGGAACCAACATGGAGTCTGGCTACTTGCACTTAACAATACACGACAGCCCAATTAACCCAACCAATAAGAACGGATCTACTCCTACCACTCATAGAATAAAACTGGAGACTTAACCCCTCAATAAAATTCCCAATTCTTAATCAATTGTTGACAATAATAAACAATCATAGATGAACAATTGATAAATAAAACATCTCTCGAAATATACAATTCACTTTATTGAGTAATCATAAATAAGTTATATCTCTCTTCTTACAAAATGTATCCCATTTTGTTTATAAACCTCTATTCAGTATCAAAAGTCATAAAAATATTGCCGTATATATAAGAGTCTAGACATATTCGAGATCACTTATACTAAATTTTGTGCGCAGTATTTTTTTTTCAAACTTGGGAAGGGAATGTCAACACGTAAACAGAATATTTAATAAAAATCGCATTGAGTGAACTATAAATACTTTCAATAGCATTAAATTAACTATATCCTCAACTAAAATTTGTATGTACAACTTAAATAATATATAAATCACAATTTATGCACGAATATATAAATACAGTATCCAAAGAGTATTCGACTAATGTACAAAGTGTGCTGGAAACAACTGAAATTACTGTTCTGACCTGTTGTTACTCTCAGTAAATATAAGACAGAGTATTACTTATTATTCAGACTATTACGCTCACCTAGTTGTGGTTTTAGAAATTTGGGAAATAAGTTTTCCTTAATTTTAAATTCTTTTGTTGGATATTCAATTAGTATGATGGCGTAATGGCGATAGTGTAAATTGACACGTTTTGAAACTTTCAATTGATAGCTTTATGTTAACCTCACTTTCTTCTATGATGTTATTAGGAAATTCTGACTTCGAACTCAAAATTTAGACGTTCCATTATTATAATCCAACTTAATCTCTTAATCTAACCTGACCTCTATTACATTCACAATATTTCTAATTTGGAGTAGGAACTTTCGAGTTAAATGTTGGAAAATCATGAATCAAAAAAATAATTACTATGGCCCTTTTATGCTTTCTTACGTTTCAAATAAGGTATGTGTATTGTCAGATTTGAAAAGTGTCATTTAACATAAAACACCCTTCAATCGCTCAATTGACAGATTTGAAAAGTGTCAATTAAACAGATAAACTATCAATTTACAAATTTTATTTCTATATTGACAGAATTGCTTGAAATCTGTCAATTGGAACTTTTTAGTTTGTCAATTGACAGATGTTAAAGGTGTCACTTAACAGATAACACTTTTCAATGGGTCAATCGACAGATTTGAAAAGCATCAGTCAACAGATACACCATCAAATTACAATTTTTATTTTTATATTGCCAGAATTGTTTGAAATCTATTAATTAGCACTTTTTAATCTTTCCATCGACATATTTGAGAAGTATCATTCAACAGATAACACCCTTCAAACGGTCAATTGACAAATGAAAATTAACAAATAACATTCGACAGATTTGAAAAGTGTCAATAACCAGATAAACTATCAATCAACAATTTTTATTTCTATATTGCCAGATTTTTTATTTTTTGCACTGGCATTATTACGTCATAGTGAATGAGATATGTATCTGTTCTATAGTACATCCATTTTCTAAATAAAGTCTTCAAGAAAGACGTAATTGTAAGATTTTTGCTTGACAGTTCTGCAAAAACTCAACACGTGTTTCGCTATACAAAAGCTTCTTCAGGTGTGTCAATGCTGTTTAGCGGGTATAGACACGCCTGATGAAGCTATTGTATAGCGTTTTGGTGAAACTGTTTAAAATCTCACAACGAAGTGTAGGGGGGTTGATGTAACTTTTACTACTCCACGAACTGACTAATTTATACGGCATGACAATATAAATGACCTGTTTGATGAAAGTCGTACAGGTGCTCAGCACCTTTTTAAAAAAAAGTTTTCTATTTTTCTGTCTCACTTTTTTTGTGTGGGATGATTGTAAAATGTTCCAGTTGTAATTAATATCAAAATTCATAAAAGCCACACAAGAACTTTTGGCAAATTAGCTCCCCTACTTGAGCTACTGCTTACATCCGAAACTCAATTTCAAGACTATAAAAATGATGAATTTTGAAAGGTATCATATAACCTCCCCCCCTAAAAATTCAGCACATGTCTAAGAGCTAAGTTATTCAAAAGCAGAATCAGTCTTTGTGTATACCAGTTTGAAATGATCATGAAAAATAAGTATTTACGCATTTGTCAATCACTCTGCAAAGTATTGTGAGTATGTGGTCTCATGATCGTTTTCGAACAGTTTGAGGAGTTTTTTTGTAAGTGAGAAAGTTTCACTACTTTGCTATTTTCAGAAATATTTTCAATAGTGTACAAAAATTCATGAAAAATCCTGATTAACTTGAATGAATTCATTAAATGAGTTTGTTATCTGTAAAACTGCATAATGAAATTGTACAGGTCAGTATTCGAGAAATGAAGAGATTTTTGAGAGCACTAAAATCACAGTTTTCGGGAAGATTTCGAATACAAAACATCAGAGTGTTTTCCAAAGGAATTCACGTGATCTAAATATTTACACTTCCAACTCCTCCAGAGTTTTGGATAACCTATTATTGTCGATCCTCCTCCTCTGACTCCTTCTGACGGCATCTGCTCTACGATAGGGCTCGCTCCTGAGCCCCAACAAAATGTCCTCCAAAGCACCATTGTACACTTCGTCTTGCTGAAGCAATTTCTTTTCCTGTACCATTCTTGTTTTTGTTTTAAGTTCATTTATCACAGCATCCTGTTACAATTTCATTTCGTAAATTTTTATCAAAAAGTACTAGATGTGTTTTTTCAAGTGCATTGTACATGGCAGCTAAAGAAAATTAGTCTTTTTTGTCGCTAAGAAGCATGATACAAGTGGGGTTAATTTTGATAAAAGTTATACTGTGATAAGTAGGCTAACCGCTCTTAGTCTTCGAGTATTTTAGCCAGAAAATTTGGCAATTTTGGTGGCTGAAAATATGAAATAACAAAGTGATTTTATTCTGTCTAAATGATAATGGAGGGCTATTCTCATGCCAATGGAAACAACACTTTAGTCACAGTACGCTGTTATTTGAGGTCAGATAGATATTGTTAGTCAAACAAATGTTATTATGACAGATTGGAGGGGTTGTAATTATGCCAAGATAAAACACAGTGTAAAAAAACATAAATGCTCAAATGGTTACAAAAGTTGTGTAGAGTTTTGACAAAAAAAGAAAAAACATATGCATACTTTTAACCATATAACAATTTTAAATTTCAGGAACATGCTTGTGGATTTTGAAAGCTAGAATAGAGATTTGGAGTCATCCGTTTAGATCATTAAAACTGTCAGTTGGTCTTGATGGTTTCAGAGAACAAAAAAATGGAAATTTTGAATAGAATTGGATTATTGGTAACACAACTCCACGCAAGATATATGCACCAGGTTTCTCAAGTTTTGAGAATTCATGCTGGCAAAAATTGTTTACGGAATGAAAACTTACAAATTTTTATGATTTATTAGTGAATACTTGCAACTCAATACTCATGATTAGTGTATGAATGACAAAACTAGAAATTTCTATTGAAATATGTTTGTGAATTTTGTAATGCGAATTTATAGTGTATTTCAGTTAAAACGAGCCATTCTAGGTGAAAATCATCACCTTGTCAGCCCCCTCCTCCCAATAATAGCTTTTATGTCAAAAATTCCAACGATAAGCAATGTCGAGAAAAAAAACACTTTTTCAAGTTTTTATCCAATTCCAAACAACATGATCTACATTTTTGCAAACAGTTTATTTCGAACTTAATTTCCTTTCTTCCAAATTTTATCACATTTTCTGTTTTTAAGATGGAAAAGCAGAAAGTCAAAACGCCCTTTTCCCAACAAAAACTGACATCTCTTAAACCGTGCCCCTTTTCCAATTTAAACAAAATTCAACAGCAGAAGTGAATCTTTCAGCTTGACAATTTATGTATTGTTTCAAAAAGATTTTTACCAAACATTCATGTCTTGCAGTACATTTTTATAGCCCACCCTGTATCACATGTGTTTCAACTTCCATTGTTTTTTGAATAGGTATACATGAATAATTGAATACTAAATGACTTTCTATATGACAGATTATGTTCCTTGGACTATAGAATTTTGAAATATTGTGTTTGTGAACAATTCACTATTATAATATGAACTTTCAGTTGTATTGGGAGAGAGTAGTAGTTACCAATTTGCCTTCACCAACCACCATCAGTCAGGAATCACCAATCCGAAATGTACCATAACATGCCAAATAACTTCAAGTTATATTTTTTGAAAATAAATTCGAAAATGACTAATAGTTTCAAAAATCATTATATTCTGTCCATCTAAGCAAAAGAGTGCCCCAAAACATTATCATGATCTCCCAGACAAGACTGCTTGTACAGAGTCGCACTAAGGAACGACCGAAACTTTATTATTATTTTTTTTATAATATGCGGCTGGGTATAGAAACAGTTTTTAGGTGTAATGAAGGGACACAAATTAGAAGTTTCTTCAACAGTATCAGTATTTGACATTTTAAAAATTTTAAACTCTAAATGGACGGAAGGACTTTGGTCGATAGCCACTTGAGCAAAATTGTAATTTTGTTCAATAAACTACAATTATTATTATTACAAATTCTAAAATACCGTAAATGTACGCACCACATGCGTTAAAAAGTAACTCACAACTCCGACCCTGTAGTGATATACTTGAATGAATTCCTCTAGCCGATTGCAGTTAAATCTGATTGGCCAGCATAAGGAGACTTATTTATTTTACCCAATAGATGAAAATGTGCGTGGTAATCATGCTTTGATCACGCATCTATCATCGTTTGGATTACTTTGTTGGATGGACAGTGTTTAGTTCTGAATAATTACTTATATATCTGTAGGTATGGACAATATTCACCGAGAACAATTGGAAAAAATAAAGTAGCAATAAGAGACTCCAGCATCGATTTTCGTTTAAAACACCTGACTTTTTCTAGGTTATAAAAAAAAATCATTCAAAACTTGACTCTGAAATCCACTGTGAGTTATCTTGGCAAGTTCAATGGTTAGCAAGTGAATTTTCTAGAAAAGCAGGATCTAATATTGAAAAGGATTTATTTACAAAATATATATTTACATTCGTATACTGCAATAGTCGTATACTGTAAATAAATAGAACTAACCTACTGAGTTATTCCTAAAATACAATTGGGAAAATAAAAAAAATTGTTCAACAACCTCTGCGAAAGAAACTAAAAGATTGACTAATCATGGAATTTTTACCGCTTATAGAGAATTGTGAACATAATTTATTATTTCCTTTTTTAAAAAAGCGAATCACAACAATAACATTCATAAAAGCAACTAAGAAGCGTAAGTGCACTACGGTGAAGCAGAAACTACGGATAATCACCACCTTGCGGACCCAGTTTTTCGCAAGACACAATCATCGTTAAGCGCGCTACTCAATTCACAGATGAGCATGCCTTGGATGGTACATACCTGCTGTTTCTTTTGGTTGATCTTGTTCTTTTTCGCCACTTCTTCGGGTGTTTTGTTGTTGGCGTTTAATGCAGCCAATTCTAACCTTCTTCTCTGTTCATTTTCTTGATCGGCCGTCTGAAAAAAAATCGAACATATTTGATAACAATCTGAAGTAAAAATTTACACTGCAAACATTAAAAAGTTCATTATGAGGATTTTTTTGTTAATTTTTTATGAATTCACTTGGCAATAGATCATAATTTTTCATGATTTAAAAAAAAAAAACAAAATTTTAATGAATTGGTATATGAGGAATTGGCGGTTCGTATGGGATGATTTCTACTATCCGAGTTTTATGATTGGCTGAAGAGTCATAAAATTAAATTTGAAGTCATGTTAAGGTGACGAATAGAATGCGAGGATGGCTATAGCGGTCGTGTTGTCAATGTTCAGTTCAGGAACTGATCGCGATTTGAGTGTTGAAATTCGAATTGGTGCAATAATAATTATTACTTAAAATTTTCGTTATCTGTTTAAAATGTGGCGTCCTTGGACAAGTATTATTAGTAATAACGAGTGTGTTAACAATGCACACTTTTTCCTGTGTAGTGATTCCAATAGCGATGGTGAACAATAATTAATTATTGTGGCAGGTCAAAATGGAAGAGGTCTAATCTCCACAATGAAAAAAAACGAAAAAGAATTTGAAGTACAATCAATTTTAAAACCAAATGCTTCAAATTTTGAATTAATTAATACTGCTATTGATAATTCCAAACATTTGAATCGAGAAGACATAGTCATTCTATGGCCGCAATCAGTAAATGAGCAATTAGTAGATCATTTTCTTATGAAAGTACGACACACACGTCCTCTTATAATTACACAACCCTATGATTTTACAAACCGAAAAGAACTAAATTATGCCAAATACGAAGGAAACCTATCCTTATTCAAAGAAATACATAGTAGAGGAATTGATAAAAAGTGTATCTTCGATTGTAACTACGTATTAAGGAGATCAAATTTCGGAAAAGATGGTTATTAATATAAACAAATCAGGTGTATTTCATGTAGGAAAAGGATTAGTGAATCATATAAATGACATATTTCAAGACTCTCAAGTAAGTCAAATTCAATCTTCAATTATTGCAATTCAGCCAGAAGCATCTGCTGAGGAAATATCCCCTCGGAACACTATTACACTGTACGATGAATTGTTGCAAAACTGTACTTTTGACGACGGAGTTTCTAAGAGTAATAGTAAGGAAACACAAAAGATAACTGATAATAATGAACATTTTTTATATCCAAGACTCTCTCAAATTACTCTGGACAATTAGCCGATGAAAAGCCCCAAATGAAGTCAATAAAAAAAGTAAAAATCTTACATCAGAATATACAAAGTATTAGGAACAAATTGAATTCACTTGAAATGGCTTTAAATGAACTACATATAGATATCGTCATGCTATCCGAACACTGGTTAAAGGAAGAAGAAGTTGCTTTTTATAATATAAATAACTATAAATTAGCTTGTTATTTTACTAGGAAAAATAAAATCCATGGTGGGGTTTGCATTTATATGAAAGGTGAGTATCTTTGGCAGCCATTTAATTTAACGAATCTCTGCATTGAAGAAGATTTTGAAATGAGTGTTTGCACTGTGTACGAGTTAAAATGTGTTGTGGCAGTGTTGTATCGAAATCCAGTAGGAAATTTAACAATTTTCAAAGATCATCTACATGATAGTCTTCAAAAAATTGAGGCAAATTTTTCTAAGTATCGAATAATAGTTGGAGGCGATTTTAACATTAATTTCATTGAGAAATCGACTATTTGTCGTGAGGTTGTTGATATTTTCTCAGCTTTTGGGTTGGAAAGGAATATTATAGAACCGACAAGAGGTCACTCCTGTATTGATAATATTTTTACAAATTTCGTTGTCGATAAAGCAGAAGTTAGAGATTTGCACCTATCCGATCACAAAGCACAATCGGTTGAATTCACAAATATTTTGGAAAGGGCGAATATCACTAGTAAATTAGTTTTCAACAAAAACAATGAAAATAAGCAATTATTTAAAAATTTCCTTTCTGCAGAAAATTGGGTTGCTTTAGATAAAATAACAGATTCCAATGAGTGCACTGATACATTTCTGAATATTTTTCAATATTACCACGAAATGAGCTTTCCGTTAATCAAGGTGAAGGGTGATAATTACCGGAGAAATAAAGAAACTATAGTCGATGTTAGCATTATAAAAGCCAAGACAGAAATTACCAACTTGAACCATTTAATAGAGTTGAAATTACCAAATAATGAAGAATTAAAAGAACAATTCAAATTAAAGAAATACGAGTATGAACAACTACTCATTAATAGGAAAAAGCAAGTGACGCTGAATAATATTCGCGAGTCGTCTAATAGACCAAAAGCTATCTGGGAGCACATCAACACCAATACAGGAAGGAAACCTAAAAAAAAAACAACTACGACGATATCTGCCGAAGAATTCAACAATTACTTTGTTAATATTGTAAATGAAATAATTAATGAAATCCCACCCTCGAAAGCTCATTTCTCGACATATCTAGGTAAATCCCCTACTACCGTAAATGGAAATTCACTTTTCATCTATCCTCCATCAGAAGAAGAAATAACTGATATAATAAAATCATTCAAGAATTCCAATTCAACTGACATCTACAACCACTCAGTGTGTATGTATAAAGAAAACTTAGATGCATTACTAAAGCCAATAACTCAGATAATAAATAATATATTAACAACTGGAATATTTCCGGATAAACTAAAAATAGCGAAAGTGATACCAATATTCAAATCAGGAGATACAACATCGATATCAAACCACAGACCAATTGCATTGGTCCCCATTTTGGGTAAAATTGCTGAAAAAATAATTGCAATACGAATAGCCTCATTTTTAGAACAAAATAATTTATTCACGAGTTCGCAGTTTGGATTTAGAAAGCGGAAAAGTACTGCTGGGGCAGTTTTTGAGCTAGCCAATTTCATAGGAGAGGGATTCGAAGACAAAGTATCAACTTTGGCCGTATTTGTTGATCTGAGTAAAGCTTTCGATTGTGTCTCAAAAAATATTTTACTCGAAAAACTGGAATACTATGGTCTCAGAGGTATATCTCTTGATTTGATGCGATCTTATATGACAAATCGAACACAATCTGTGTACCATGATAATAAATTCAGTAGACAATCCCCAATAGAATATGGAGTACCACAAGGCAGTATTCTTGGACCCTTGCTGTTTCTTATATATATAAACGATTTGCCCTCTTCAATTAATATGAAGACTATCTTATATGCCGACGACACAACATTTTATACGAGTGTAAGACAAGGAGAGGAAACCACCGTTATCCAGGACATAACTGAGTCAGCTAATGATTGGTTCAACGCAAATAAATTACAAATCAATAAAGCGAAAACAGCTTCTATGATATTCTCAAACCAACTCAATGATGCTCAGTCATTAAAGTTTTTAGGAATCCACTTGGACAGCAACTTGTCGTGGAAAACTCACACAGACAATCTTTCGAGTAGGTTATCTAAGGCCATTTATGCTATTAGACAAGTTAAAATTAATTTAGGTAGGGAAGCGGCTATCATGACATACCATTCACTATTTCATAATGTTATGACATATGGATTATTAAATTGGGGACACTCTATCTACTTACAGCCTATTTTTTTACTCCAAAAAAGAGCAATTAGAGCAATTGTAGGTTTAAACAGATTGGAAAGTTGTAAGCCGTGGTTTGTACAGCTAGGTATTTTGACGTTACCTTCATCAGTCATATATACTAACTTGGTATTCATAAAAAAAAATATCAGCAACTATCAGACACTTAGTGATAATCATAATTATAATACAAGAAATAGAGACAACCTGCTGATTCCACAACATAAATTAGCAAGTACTAGTCGCAATTATCTAGGAATGAGACTGTTCAATAAATTAACTATTGAAATGAAAGATACACACCTGGAAATATTCAAAAAGAAACTGAAGAGTATTCTGTTGAGGAAAGCCTACTACGAAGTAAATGATTTCGAATTGTCCTAAGTTAATTTGAATTACAGTTCCTGTTATTTTTTCATTCTTTTGGTTAAATTTGTTTCAAATTATTACATAATACTCCTAACTCTTATTTATAAATATGACTTACAGATTTGTTAATAATCTATATGGATCTTAATATGTTTATGTTTCACTTTTGAATTTGTTCATATGTCATGTGTTAGTAATCATGTTGTAATTTTACAATGTAAATGCTTTATAATTTACAATTTTATATATGTCATATATGTGTATTTTATGTGACTTGTCCAGACACCATGGTGTACTTGTGACCAATAAAAAAAAAAAAACAATGCGAAAAAGAGATACCAGTGAATAAGATTGGGATGCATTTGAATATTGAAATACATAGAGTATGTTTCAACGTATATAAGAATCAATATCTCAAGTTTGGTTTCGAGGAAAACAAACTATTACAAGCAACATCAGATTTGACCGAAATTCCTTTCTCAACTGTATGTGAAATAGTCAAAAACAGACCACGCAAGACGCGATGTGATACGGGATCATCAAAATCTTTAGATGTTACTCTAATAAAATCATTGAAAAAAACAATATACGACTGTTACAAAAGCAATGAGATTCCTACAACTGAAATCATAAGGAAGAAATTGAATACTTCCGGCCATAACGTGAGTTGCTGCGACAAAGCTTTTCAGAATTGGATAAAGAAACTAGGATTTAGATTTAAAACAATAAACAAACGTCAAGCAGTTATGGAAAGGAGAAGAATTGTGGAACTGCGTAACAAATACTTAGAACAAATAACTAAATATAGACGAGAACAACGGCAAATTTTCCATTTGGATGAAACTTGGTATGACACTCACGACATAGTTACGAAAAGGTGGACTGATGGTTCGAAAATGTGTACGCCTAACATGCCTGCATACAAAGGATCACGAGTAATTATTGTGCATTGCGGAGGAAGTGTAGGATGTGTTTCAAATTCTTTGAAAATATGTGGAAAAAACTTGAGGACTGATATGTTGACTATCATAAGAACAAGGAAGCTAATAATTTCAAGGAATGGGTTGAAAACACAGTTTAAATGTATGTTTTTAAAAATCATCTGAATGAGATGTCAAAAATGATATAGGAATTAAGTTCCAAGATACAGGAGGGTATGTTCTCATGTACCGGTCTACGGTCTTGAAATTGTCGATACACTACTAGGCAGATTGAAATAGTGGATTTGTACTACCAACATGGAAAAAAGTCTGTACCGGCAAACACGGTGGCAACGGTCGCCGCAGTATTAGACGAAACGTCAAGCTACCGTCAAAATGAAACGCTGGAGAACAAACAGCATATGCTTGACATATACCAATAAAATAGAACATAAAAAGAGCTCAGTAGTGAAAATGAAGCTGACAGATGCCAATTATTCTCGAATTTGATGAATCCAGGTCTGGCTGCGAAATTAGAGGTATTACAGAACATGCTTTTTTTTAAATTTTATTTCACACCAGATCTGATGCAAATAACAGCAGATCACACCAATAAATATTTCGAATTTTACGTAGTAACAATATTCCAGAATATTCACGTTTAATAAAGTGTAAATCTGTTGATGGCAAAGAGATTTTTCTGCCTACTATGGTACCATACTATAGTACCATGTTTCGAATACTAACATACCTAAACGATTTTTCAATCATGTGAACTGAAGAAATAATCGGTCAGTTTGAAAAAATATTTCATTTTGAGAATTACTGCGAAATATCTCTTTGGCTTATGCTGCTCCAGAACTATTCTAGCTCACAGCGGTTTTTAGACATTCACAGTGAAACGGTTAAGGAAAGAAGACTTGTACCAAAACTTTACTTGAAGGAGTGATGGCAAACTCATGCAATTTCTTATATGTTAAAAATGTTTCTGGCCAATATTTTGAGATACTTTATATATGGAACGTTTTAAGAATAGCTTTACTGTTATTCTTACTATGCCATTTTGGATGTCACACTCCACAGAATTATAAACTCATAGCTTGGACAGTAACTCTGTATACATAAGCTGGTTTTGCAAAAAAATATCACTCACCTTGAATGCTTTGACGAATCGTACCAACAAGGAGAAGAAAGTATTGGCATCAGTCGTTCGGGGAGATTCTGCAAAGAACTCGACGCATTCTCTGAAAGCGTCCTGTGCCATTTTCGCGTCGCTTTTCAACCTTCTTAGTTTATCCTCTGCGTTCGCAAGAAAATCTCTCACAACCAGACTGTGGCTTCCCCTTCCTCTGATCTCTGCTTCCTTCCGCACGGCGTCCATTCCCTTTTCGAGCTCGGCGACGTCGGTATTGATGTTTTCCAAAGAAACTGAAAAGAAATCGGTTTCTTGTTGACAATACTGAGTCTCGCCTTTACTCAATGTGTTGAATCTCGTAAAAATTCCCTTAAAACTTCTTAAATTGAGTTATTCCATACGAATTACTTGTTTATTTAGTACTTTGTTCATTTAGTATTTTACTATTAGGTTGTAGCCCATTTTCAAAAGTATATGAAAAATATGTTTCAAGCGCAATGATAACTTTTTTTAATAAATGGGGTCTATTTAATGTGAACCCGTTTGGTTTTCGCAAGGGATTGTCCACAAGTCAAGCGATTACACAGTTCCTCAACAACGTGTACAGGGAGTTGGATGAAGGTAAAAAGACGCTAGGGATCCTCATAGACTTAAGTAAGGCATTTGTTCTGGTAGATCACAAAATTCTCCTACCAAAGCTTGAAATGTATGGAATCAGGGGAATAACCCACAAATGGTTTGAAAGTTACTTAGAGGGTAGATACTATTATGTAGAGATTAATAGAAATAAATCAGAATCTAAAAATTGTTTCCTGGGGTTCCTCAGGCACTCTTATATATAATATATGTAAATGATTTTTATAGTGATCAGTTCGTTATGTATGCTGACGACACATCTTTATTGATAACTTAAGAAAATATTAAAGCCACAATTAATGAAGCATCTGATGAAATAAAAAGAACCCAAAAGTGGTTCTCAGACAATGGACTCTTGTTAAATGAAAGAAAAACTGTGCTTTTTCGTTTTAATCATTCAAAAACCACTCCAGATCACAGTTTACTAGTAACGTCAATTAATGAATCAATTCAACAAGAAAAGACCAGTTTTCCTACTCTTAATGGTAATAAGAATTATAATACTAGAAAATCCCTACAGTTGGAAGTGCCAACACACAATTTAGTTGTATCTGAATCATGTCCCAGGCTTATGGCCATTAAATTGTACAATAAACTTTCAAGTACAATAAAAAATCAGGCTCTAAAACAGTATAACTATCAAATCAAAGAGTTGCTTCTGGATAAATCCTATTATTCTCTCAAAGAATATATGACCCTGTACATGTGAAACATTTTAGAAATATTTTAAAAACGATGCTGTTACATAAATAACAGATTATTTTTGATTTAACTATTATATACATGTCCAACATTTTAGGCCGATTTTAATAACGAATAGCAGATTATTTTAGGCTTTGACTATTATATATTATATCATATTATCTATGTAAATTGTATATTGTGTCTCTAAGTGCACAAAGTTTGTTTTTGTACACGTTTTGACATACTCAATGTCATAATATTACTATTATATGAAACCAGAGCCCAAGATATCGATTTCCAAAGATTTGTTGAAATTCAGGAGTTAAGATTATTTATTTTGCTTTTTGCATATACTTCATCCCACATTTAGGTAACAATCGTTATTTTTTGTATGTAAGAAAAATTTAGCACAAATAATTATATTGATTTATTTTTGAAGATAGTGTCAGTAGTTGTATAACAGATACGATACACTCGAGTTCGTCAGTCAAAAATCATAATTATAATTACATTTGTTGACCATCGAAAAATAATACGAAAAGCTAAGTTAATACAATACAAAATATACTTTATTTCACTCAAGTCTAGTTATATAATAATAAACATTCAAACCTTTTATTCATTCACAAGTTTACACTTGCCCCACATCGTTTATATCAATAAAATTATTTGTCTAAACCTAAAATTCAGTTAAAAACAATGCTATGTAAAATCGATCGCTGACACCTTTCTTCAAAATTGTGAAGGACTTCTTCAATATCATTGTCTAGATCTTCAGCTTTCGCCATCTGTAAGAAAATGGGTTATTCGATATTTACATCAAACGAGTCACTTACCATAAGACACATATCGCTGATTAAAAAGGCTCCAATGGTGGCTTCTTCCAAGTTATCTTGAATATCAATATTGATAACATGAACTATTGAGTTGTCGATTGGCGTTTTATTTTCCATATATTCTAGAACTTGATCGTAAACCCGTTCCTCACATGTTATGAGGATGTCAAACTTTTCATCTGCCTCCTGAAATTTCTCAGGATGAGTTTTAATCCTCCGGTTCCTATCTAGGGTATGCAGTAAACCATTTTGGGTGTATCTGAATCATTGGATAGGAAAATGTCTTTAAATAATTGATTCTGAAAAAAAATAACAGTTCTATAGGATTCAATTTTGCAAATAATGCAACAAAAATACTGTGAAAAATTTGTTGATGCGAACTTTTATTTGTTAATTTTCACTTTCTAACTGTTACTTGCTAAACTTGCTTAATCAAAACTTGTAAAATACACATTTACATGATCAAAATAGTTTCTGGAATGAAAATGCACTTGTCTGAAATAGATATCCCAGCTGTAGAACATTTCGCCTTTTTTATTACAAATTCTTCATTAACCATCTTTCTTACTAACATCAACACTTGGTTCATAAACCTATTTTTGCTTTTTCAGAGAGTAATGATTATATTCCTCAGTATAAAAATGAAAATGGAAACACAAACTGCCAATTCCAATTTTAATCTCTGAATTGTGTTTTTAAGTTCCAATAAACGTTTATTATCATTACTTGTAAAATGTAACACATGTCAAAAATAGTGTCCTTAAAAAAACTAAAAATGTGTATAAACACTACTGTTTATTCTCATAGGGTCAATTTTTGTTGAAGTTGTAAGCAATTGGGTTTATGAACCAAATTTTTTTTGATTTCGTCTTTTACATTGGATGCTTTCGATATTTAACTTCTCTAATAAGCCCTACTAATGAATGCTTATAATTGTGTTATTTTTCAATTTGTTTTCAGATTATATTGTCTTAATTGTATTCTTTATTTTATTACAGGCGGTCAACGCATGCTTTGTTACAACATACCTGACAGAACTGTTCATTTTGATCCTCACACATATACTTTACCAGTTTAGCTTGAGAATATATCTCTGTATATGCCAATCTTTTAATCAAAATAAATAACTTTTACCTAGGTTTTCTCTTGAATGGTTGACTTTCCAAAGTGGCTTGCCAAGGAGAGAACATTCAAATTCATTGATTTATATCAAAAACATTGTTTTTTTTTCTAAAATGTTTACCCACTATCAAAGATTTTTCTAACACAATTTCAGTTTTAATAATTAACATGGTTATACAATAAACCAATTTTTTTCTGGAATGATTAGCCTGATACAAAACAGACTTATAGAAACTGCTATACAGTGACGAAATAATTGAAGTATCATTTGATTTAACATTAAACTTCTTGAGATTGAAGCAAGTTAGGGCATATTTTTTTAATAAAATGAAAAAATTGCAACATTATATTAAAATCTGCATTTATGATACAACTTGTATATTCCACGTGGTGGGAAATGAGAGACAATATGCTAACGTGAATGTTGTTGTCTGTAGCTGTTTATATCTTTGTTATGAAACTAGAGTGGAGTAAATATCGAACTTGTTCAAAGTTTTGAAAGGAACTATAAATTTGACAACATAAACAAATTGAACGACTGTCAATACTAAAGAAACGAATAGGAAACAACATATGTATCAACTTTGAAATATTTTGATTTCAACATGTGCATAAATAAAACTTGAGTCTGAAGAAACTCTCCCCATAAAAAAATACATCATTTTATTATTCTCATGACTCGAAAATTAGGCATAGAGGGTCTGATTGTAGTTTACAACTCGTAATTATATCTCGCGACTAGAACATGTTTTGAATATGGCGGATGGACAGATTGGGTGAATGCAGTGAACAAGAGGACATTGGCAGATCAAGATTTTCAGATAATGTGGTGCTGCAGCTTTTTCCAGGTTTTCCTGCAGCTGAAAAAGCAATGCGCCACTGGAATCAATGAAGTCACCCCGGAGCGCCAATTAATTTTTATTGTTTTATAATTTCATTAGATTGTTATTAATAAAATGATAACAATTATCGTTTCACTCATCGACATAACATACAACAGAAAAATATATTCTAATTGGTTCACTGTTCTTCACATGGATGAGAATTTTGGTTTCAAACTCATAATTCAGACGTTATCTCATATAACCCAAAATATATACATTGAAGTTATGACAGAAAATAAAAAGAAAAGCATAAATCATCGTGAATGAAGTATAACAAAATGAATTTCGTGTTTTTTCTCCAAAATATGGTAAGAGTCGAGTTTTAACTGATGCAAGAGCCGAGTTTCAACTGTGGTTGAAGCCGAGCTTCAACTGTTAGGAAAGCCGAGTTTCAACTGTAGCGAGAGCCAGGATTCTACTGTTCCGGGAGCCAAATTTCAACTGCAACAAGAGCCAAGTTCCAACTGTGACGTGAGCTGAATTCCAACTGTGAGAGCAGAGTTTCAACTATTACGCGAGCTGAGTTTCAACTGTGACAGGAATTCAGTTCCAACTGTTGCAGGAGTCGAGTTTAAACTGTTTCGGAAGCCTAGTTTCAACTGTTGCTAGAGCCGAGGTGCAGAGAAATTATTAATTACTATTGAGAAACGAATCAGTGTAGTGATAACGACCGAATAATCATGTTGTAACCTTTTTCGACCGCCAAAGAGAAACAATGGTCATTGTGGCATTTTCATTTCTGGGTAGAACGCATATCGTTCGAAAAAAGAAAAAACACATATGTAATTTCAAAATCTCCTCTTTGAACTCCACATACTTTATCTAGATCACTCTCTCGAGATGGTTATCCTGGTAACTGAAGTATTTAGTGAAATGATGATCAAACCGATTAATGTAAAAAGATCGTCAATATCCTTTGAAAATACAAATTCTTGCCAAATTAACACATTACGCAGCACGTTAAGAAGAGTAAGGAAAAAATAATAACATGCAAAAAGCCGTATATAGTGTTACGATCTTCATTCGGGTTGAAGGCCGTCAATGGTGAATAAACCTCTGAAGAAGACAGCCTCTTATGCTGGCAAAACATCAGGATACAAGGAATATAAAGCAAAAATCATTTCGAATTGATGTACAATAATGTAAACGTGATGAGTAAATTTCACCGAAGATCAATGGTAGGAGCTGAGTTTCAACTATGACGCGAGCCAGGGTTCTACTGTTCCGGGAGGTAAGTTTCAACTGTTGCAGGGGTCATATTTCAACTGTTGTGTGACCAGAGTTTCGACTGTGACAGGAGCCGAATTTCAACTGTGACGGAAGCCGAGTTTCAATTGATGGGAGAGAGAAATTAATAACACTTTCTATGAGAAAGTGTTATTAATTTCAATCAAGTTGAGCATCAATGTGATATGATAACGAATGGATAGGCCTGTTGTAGAGTCTTCTTTGACCGTCGAAGTGAGGCAATAGTCATTGTGACATTTTTCTTTCTGATCGAAAAAAGGAGAAAACTCAAGAAATATATAAACCTTCCCTTCGAACCAAGCAGACTCTGAATAGATCATTTTCTCGAAATGATAATTCTTATTATTGAAGTCTGGTGAAATGATAATCGAACCAGCTGATGTCAAAATATCGTTAGTTTCTACGAGCATACCAAAATACACACTCTTGCCAAATTTCAGGATATAATTTCGAGATATTTCCCAAGATACGGTTAACCTTAGACCATCGACATAACCTTTGCCTTAGATCTTGTCTAATCTTGTCTGAGCGGCTAATCGACGGTTGCCGTTCTCTACCCTGTTAGGAAAGATATCTGAACAGATAACACTGTTCTTAAGGAAAAACGAAAAAAGTCCAAAATATAGTGAATCTGTAGTGGGACCCAAGTTACAACTATGACACGAGCTGAGTTTCAACTGTGCTGAGAGCAGAGTTTCAACAGTTGCGAGAGCCAAATTTCAACTGTGAAGGGAGCCCAATTATCGACTGTTGCGAGAGGCGAGGTTCATAGAAAGTGTTACTAATTACTATCATCAGGTAACGAATCATTGTAATGATTCTCAATCTCCTTTGAAAATACACATTCTTGTCAATTTAAAACGTTACACGTGGAATGAAAACAGATTTTTCAATAGTTTTTCTTTTGGAGTTTGAATCGCGTTGCATTTTCTGTGGTTCAAGTGAATTCGAAAATACATAAGCACAATACCATTTCTATTTTTGCAAATAAATATATATAACCGTATATATTATTCCATCGAAAAGTAAATTACGAATAATAACAATTATTGTCTTCTCATTGACATAGCAAACAACAGAAAATACCATCTGAATTGATTCTCTTTTCTTTACTTCGATGAGAATAAAAGTCTCATTTTCATTTTGAAATTTTGACTTCAAACTCAGAATTAAGTCAAGAAACAGAGGCCCATATCGGAAAAATATAAATCCAAGATTGAGGTCATGACAGAAAATGAAATTGAAAGCAGAATTTATTTCGAATTTGATGAGTAATTTTCACCAAAGATCAGTGGTGAGAGTTTCAACTGTGGCGAGTGCCAGGATTCAACTGTTCCAGGAGCCAAATTTCAACTGCAGCAAGAGCCGAGTTTTAACTGATGCAAGAGCCGAGTTTCGACTGTGGTTGGAGCCGAGTTTCAGCTGTTAGGAAAGCCGAGTTTCAACTGTTGCTAGAGCCGAGGTTCACAGAACAATATTTCCATCAAGTATATGCAGGTTAAATTGTTGTCAACTGTCATTGTCAAAGAATTGATAGTACTTGAAGGTCAGAAATATAAATATTGTATTTTTAGTTTAATAATTAGAAATTCATATTTATCGTATCTATTATTCCGCGAATAATAAAATGAATTAATCCTCCATGCTATGTAAAATTGTAATTAATTTATAAAACTAGTACAGAAAAAAAAGATATGACTAAAATGAATGAAGAGAAATGTTTTTTCTGTTGCAAATTCATTACAGAGGATGATAATACAGTGGAAGATCTAGATCTGGTTCCACAAGGATGTAAAAGAATAATCGAATCAGCGGAGAAAAGAAACGATTTTATATCCATAAAAATTATGTCACTGAAAGATGAAATTATCAGAGAACCTGACAAATTCAGATTCCATTCTACATGTAAAAAGACCTATTTGAGTAATCATAGAATTAAAACGAAACGTAAAATGCTTTTCTGTGATAAGTTTGATGAACAGGCGTTCATTATTGAGAAGCATTGCTTCTTTTGTGGCAAAGATCAAGGAAAGAAGGGACAAAAATTTCATCAAATCAGTAAAAGCGCTTCATTGAAAATGAGGCAAAAAATTCTAAAAGCTGCCATAGAACGTGGAGATCAAATTATGCATAGTAGACTTCAAAGGTATACCAACTTGTCTGAAGTCGGTGCCAAATACCACAATGCCTGTTACCGCCTTTATACTAGTGCTGCTAGCATTGCTACATGCAAAAAACAGAACATTCAAATTGAGAAGAAACTAGCAGAAAGAAATCCTGTAAAAATTGCTTTCTCAGCTCTATGTGCCGAAGTCGAGAAAGACATACTGATAAACAAAAATTCTAGAACAGTGATAAGCCTTAGTAATAGACTCGATCAAATTTTAGACCAAATGAATGTACCAGAAGACATTGACCAAGGAACATATAGAATGCGGAAAAAACTAGAGATGTTTTTCGGACAGACCCTGTCGTTTGCGAGTTGGTCCGGTAAACCTAGCATAGTGTATTCAACAGATGCAGAATACGATATTTTGGCTTCTTCTGTGCAGCAGTGTTTCAAAAGACCTGAAGAGTCAAAGACTGACCCTGAAAAGGATATTGCTGTATTGCATAAGGCTACAGAAATTTTACGAGGAAAAATAGCTCAGAACTTCAAGAATGGTGGTAATCAAATTCCTGATGCTTTATACAGGTTCATATCATGGATTTTGGATGAAAAGAGTTTTCACGAACAGTCACCTGAACTTTCTGATGAAAACGTTACGGCAATATGTACGAGCATTCTTCAGTCTTGGAAAAAGAAGCCTGAAAGTCACAATATATTTCAAATGTGAATGTGCGAATCACTTGTTATTCGAAACTGTATTTGTTTCCTTTTGATTGCAGACTGTTCCTTTATTAAATCATCTCATTTCTTTTAGGTGTCCTATACACGTACTTGTAGCAAGTCGTTCTGAAATTATTCGGAACCGGCATTTGCTCTATTGAAGCAATTCTGAAGACTTCTCAAAAAGTTTTTTGGGTTTTTCCCAGCATTCTTTATGCTGACCGATTTGTTCAGAAGTTGAGTTGGAGTTGATGTAACTCGGTCAATCTATTCGTGTTTCTTCAGTTACACAACATTCACTTTCGGCTTGCACCACAACTACTCATTTTTGAATCACAATAAATGTATTTGCATTTCATACTTTATTAAGAGACGTGTTTAATATCAATACTGATTAGTATACAATGTCTGTCATTTTATATATATCTGATGGTTCTTAAATTGAGTTATATTTATACTACAAAAAATCTTTTCGAGCCCTGAAGAATTTAATTAAATTCGAAATGTTGGCAAGAAAACAATCAGTTTTTTATGAATAATTGATCCTGTTACCCTATTAACATTTCTGCAAATAAGGTATTGGATCACTAGACTTGTTAACTAATATTATCAAATAATTTCGTCATCAATTACGTCTGAAGAAGCTATTTTCTAGGCAAACGTGTTGCAAAGGAGAGTGCTGCAAGTAGCTTCATCGGACTGCTTTAGGTTTTGCCAAATAAAGATGAACGCCTGGATGGAAAGAAGATTTATGGACTTCTGGCAGAATCTTCCATGATTGGCTCACTCCAAAGCTCGTGATGCACTGTTTGGAAACTTTGATGTAGTAATGAATATTACTGGAGTTTTTTCCCAACATGAAACCGTTATTTTAACACCTCAACACGTGTTGGACTACAGTAGGGATGAACTACGATGTCAAACAGGCCTTCTCACAGGTCACTGTCATTTGAATCATCATTTGCAGCGACTCGGACTGTCGGAAGACAGTGTGTGTGTCGCCTCTGTTTGGAAAATGATGAAACGGCCGAGCATATACTTTGTGCCTGCCCCGCTGGGGACCTGAAAGACCACTCACAATACAAACGAATCGGCTTCGTTAAGAAGCTAGGTTTATTTGGTCGAGTTTGAATAGGTGTGGGCCACAATAAACCTTTGCGGGTTGCGGTGGAGCGTCGAATAGGCCCACCCACTTTTAACCTTACCTAGTCAAACGTGTTGCAGTTTTGTGAACTATTTAGTGAAAATCTTCCAATAAAGTGTATCAAATACGTTTATTACAGAATTTCAAGTAAGTATATTATATCACATATAAAAATTTCATTTTCAGTAAATGTTCTAAGTTCTATTATGTTAAATGATTTGGAAGTCAAGTTTTTATATAACAAAAATAACAGGTATTTCAGAAAAAGAGGAGTAAGCATTTTTTTCAATGACCTAATAACTGAGTGCCTGAAGATTTAAAAAATTGTGCCAATTCATAAGAAAGGGAAATGTGGTTCTGGTGTTGAATCTGGTCATTATTACGCCTTGGTCAAAGACGAAACGGACTGGTTTAAGTTTGACGATAGTCGTGTCACGAAGTTTTCTGGCGATGTATTGAATCTATTGGAGCCTCTGGAGACAACCTACATTTTGTTTTATGAGAGAGAGAAGACATTGGCAGACCTTCAGATGATGTGGTGCTGATATCACTGGAATCAATGAAGTCACCTTGGAGCGCCAATCAATTTTCATTGTTGTTTTATAATTTCAATAGATTGTTATTAATAAATTGATAACAATTATCGTCTTTACTCATCGACATAACATACAACAGAAAAATACATCCTAATTGATTCTCTTTTCTTCACTTGGATGAGAATAAAGTCTCACTTTTTATGACGAAATTTTGATTTCAAACTCATAATTCAGACGTTATCTCATATAACCCAAAAAATCTAATTATATTCATGATTGATATTGATCTCAAATTGTTTGAAGTTAGGAAACCAGAGGCCAATGTCGAAAAAATATAAATCTGAGATTGAAGTCATGACAGAAAATGGAAAGGAAAGCAGAAATCATTGTAAATGATGTATAACATTTCTCCAAAATGTGGTAAATTGGTGGCGAGAGATAAGTTCCAATTGTGACGCGAGCTGAATTCCAACTGTGAGAGTAGAGTTTCAACTGTTACGCGAGCTGAGTTTCAACTGTGCCATGAGCCTAGTTCCAACTGTGAATGGTGCCGAGTTTCAACTGATGCGAGAGCTTAGTTTCAACTGTTGACGGAGCCGAGTTTCAACTGATGCGAGAGCTAAGTTTTAACTGTTGACGGAGCCGAGTTTCAACTGATGCGAGAGCTAAGTTTCAACTGTTGACGGAGCCGAGTTTCAACTGATGCGAGAGCTAAGTTTCAACTGTTGTTGGAGCCGAGTTTCAACTAATGCGAGAGCTAAGTTTCAACTGTTGACGGAGCCGTGCGTTAACTGTGACACAGACACAAAATTTCAGACCTATTTCCCTCATTAGCCCATTCTCAAAAGTATATGAGAAATATATTTGAAGCCTAATGATAACTTTTTTTAATAAATGGGGTGTATTTAATGTGAACCAATTTGATTTTCGCAAGAGATTGTCAACAGGTCAAGCGATTACACAGTTCCTCAACAACGTGTACAGGGAGTTGGATGAAGGGGGATTTTCATAGACTTAAGTAAGGCATTTGATCTGGTAGATCACAAAATTCTCCTAACAATGCTTGAAAGGTATGGAATCAGGTGAATAACCCACAAATGGTTTGTAAGTTACTTAGAGGGTAGATACTACTATGTAGAGGTTAGCAGAAATTAATCAGAATCTAAAAATTGTACAATAAACTTTCAAGTACAATAAAAAATCAGGCTCTAAAACAGTATAACTATCAAATCAAAGAGTTGCTTCTGGATAAATCCTATTATTCTCTCAAAGAATATATGACCCTGTACATGTGAAACATTTTAGAAATATTTTAAAAACGATGCTGTTACATAAATAACAGATTATTTTTGATTTAACTATTATATACATGTCCAACATTTTAGGCCGATTTTAATAACGAATAGCAGATTATTTTAGGCTTTGACTATTATATATTATATCATATTATCTATGTAAATTGTATATTGTGTCTCTAAGTGCACAAAGTTTGTTTTTGTACACGTTTTGACATACTCAATGTCATAATATTACTATTATATGAAACCAGAGCCCAAGATATCGATTTCCAAAGATTTGTTGAAATTCAGGAGTTAAGATTATTTATTTTGCTTTTTGCATATACTTCATCCCACATTTAGGTAACAATCGTTATTTTTTGTATGTAAGAAAAATTTAGCACAAATAATTATATTGATTTATTTTTGAAGATAGTGTCAGTAGTTGTATAACAGATACGATACACTCGAGTTCGTCAGTCAAAAATCATAATTATAATTACATTTGTTGACCATCGAAAAATAATACGAAAAGCTAAGTTAATACAATACAAAATATACTTTATTTCACTCAAGTCTAGTTATATAATAATAAACATTCAAACCTTTTATTCATTCACAAGTTTACACTTGCCCCACATCGTTTATATCAATAAAATTATTTGTCTAAACCTAAAATTCAGTTAAAAACAATGCTATGTAAAATCGATCGCTGACACCTTTCTTCAAAATTGTGAAGGACTTCTTCAATATCATTGTCTAGATCTTCAGCTTTCGCCATCTGTAAGAAAATGGGTTATTCGATATTTACATCAAACGAGTCACTTACCATAAGACACATATCGCTGATTAAAAAGGCTCCAATGGTGGCTTCTTCCAAGTTATCTTGAATATCAATATTGATAACATGAACTATTGAGTTGTCGATTGGCGTTTTATTTTCCATATATTCTAGAACTTGATCGTAAACCCGTTCCTCACATGTTATGAGGATGTCAAACTTTTCATCTGCCTCCTGAAATTTCTCAGGATGAGTTTTAATCCTCCGGTTCCTATCTAGGGTATGCAGTAAACCATTTTGGGTGTATCTGAATCATTGGATAGGAAAATGTCTTTAAATAATTGATTCTGAAAAAAAATAACAGTTCTATAGGATTCAATTTTGCAAATACATCCATCTAACTCTTGACTCAAGATTTTGATGCTTTCTTGGATATCGAGGGCACGTTCAATAATGCGTCCTTAGAATCAATCATCCAAACGTTGCAGAGACGAATCAATTGTACGAGTTGCTAGTTGATGAACTGCATAACTAATCCCAGAAACATTGAAATGTTCTGCAAGATACTTTTGTAATGATAACAATAAGGAAATCCATTGAGTGTAACATGCCTATTTGAAAAGGATACAAAGATTTATCTTTTTGGAGTAGGTCCACATATATATCATCGTAAGAAGTGCCAAATTCGTACACGTTTGGCTTATCAGCTGCAGAACCAGGTATCTTCACTTTCTCGCCTGTTCCATAGGACTTAACGTCAAACCCTTTTTTGGATAGAAACGCATGGGCTTCCATGCTGCGATTCATGTTGCTAGAACATATCACCGCAATGCGTAAATCACTAACATAGCCCATTTGTGAACCTTTCAGAAGATTAGATGAATTAAGATGCAATTCCACTATGGCAAAGGACTTAGTAGTTTTGAAATTGTTTTGGGAGAAATTTTATTTAAAATATTATACTTGAGAGAGGAAACTAGGAGTATATTGAATTTTGAAAATAAAATTTTAAGGCTTGGCTTAATGTCGTAGTTTCTTGGAATATTCTAATGTGACATGTGCCAAATATTCACCAATTATTTTATTTTCTTCCATTTACCACTTTACCAGGGTTGCCAAAGTGATGCCTGTGATGATGAGACAATTCTAATTGAAAATAATCGATAGTTCGATTACCATTATAATTCGAGATATCGAGTCGATTATGAAGATTATCCAAATTATTAATCAGGCTCATTTGACCAAGATTTGGATTATTTCAACATTATTAGCATTGCAGAACTTGAATATTAACATGAAGCTGTTCCCAATTGCTTGTACCAGAATTACAACTAGTATTGTCAGGAGTGACCCAATCTGGAATAAGATTATTGTCAATAAAACACACCTAGTACCAAAACCAATTGAGAACAGTGGGCACTAATTTATCTCAAAAATTAATAGAATGAAATTCATTACTGTATGTATGTATGTATTCTACTTAGCATTGCGAGTGACTTATAACTGTGATAACAATTCGTTTAAAAAACGTTTCCTGTTGCCAACAGCTTGAAGTCACACAGTCGGAAACAAATGTGTTGGCGACATTGGTAGATTTTTTTCCATAGAACATAAATAATGTTTTGTGTTGTGTTATTTTAGTTTATTTTGAATGAAGAATGAGAGTTTATGAACAAAGTTTTTGATTCTTCATTAAAGGATCTTATTTTTACAAATAGGTCTTCATTTATAAAATTCGGATATGGAAAGAAATTGTATATTTTGTTCTGAACCTGTAACGGAAGCTGAAGATCTACAAAGGAAAACTGGTTCCAAAGGCTTTGCTTCAATATTAAATACTGCTGAAATAAAAAAGGATTACATTGCTGCTAAAATACTGGTTATTAAAGATGAACTCATCAACAATCCCCACAAATTCAAGTTTCACGGCAAATGTAGAAAAGATTTTATTCGTAAACGAGAAATTAATGCTCCTGAAAATAATTCAGTCTCTCACAGTGAACTCAATACAAACAAATTCGACATGAAAACAGACTGTTTAATTTGTGGCCAAAGAAGGAATTCAGACTTGGATGAAAAGAGTATGAAATGTATTTCAGCTGCATCATCCTCCAAAATCAAAAAGAAGTTAATTGATGCAGCCTCGGATCGAACAGATATTGATATGCAGAAAAGATTAGAAAGTTGTGCCGATTTGAGCAAAGCAAATGCAAAATATCATCCTAACTGTTTTACTACATATGTAAACCCTCGGAACATTGCATCGTGTAAGAAGAAACTGGAGATGGAAAGAATTGATGAAGCTCAAGTGAAACAAGCACTTTCAAAATTATTTTCAGAAGTTGAAAAAGATGTACTGATAGGTCAAAAGTCGACAACAATGAACTTTCTTAGTGATAGATTCGATGAAATTGTGGAAGAAATGAATTTTTCATGTAGTATGAGTCTCTCCAGGCTGAAGACAAAACTTGAAGTATTTTTCGGGCAAAAACTGTCTTTTGCTAGTCATCCTTATAAACCTACAATAGTATATCCAACTGAGGCCAAGTTTGATATAATATCGTCGTCTGTACACGGATACAAGCAAAATCCTGAGCAGAAGACACTAAAACTTGATGGGGAAACCAAAATACTGTTCCGAGCTTCAGAAATACTACGCAAGAAAATGAAGACGCACTTGAAGACTGAAGACGACTGTGAAACTGAAATACCTGATGAATTGTACAAGTTTGTGTCTTGGATTAGAGATGAAAAGAGTTTTAATGAAATGTCCACAGATGTTTTTGATGTGAATGTGGAAGCTACATGTTTAAGTATAGTGAATGCAGCTTGGAGGAGAAAAACGTGATGTAGATAGTACTGATGTTAATCATTTCAAACAACTATTATCTTAAGTCTCAAATAAAAACAGCATATATTGTTCCCTAATTTTTAGTTAGTAAGTAGATAAAGAGATTTTTCATTTATAGGTTATTTAAAATGTATTGAAAATATCTGATTAAATAAGAGTATCTCTTTTTACAATATATGGTTTGTAGTTTTAAATCTTGTAAATAAATTGATTTGTTGAAACATCTTTCCGATTGGTTTTTTAAATTTCAACTTTCTAATCCAACATTAAATCATTTTGAAAGTTTTGGTAGCAATCAAGCCTTTGTGGTTTAACAAATTATTTTTTATATAGTTTGGATTTTCCCTCTAATTTGGCAAGATGGGAGTAAAAGGTGCGTTTTTTTTTGGTACTTATTTTACTCCAAATTGTATTATTTCCTGCTCCATATTTGATAGAGTACATTATAGTTACTATAATATAATCTTTTTTTTTTCAACCTTGAACTTGGACCTTTTTATTATCCCGACATGCTATTATAGAACATTCTTGCTGTAAGATATCTTATCTGTTGAATATTAATGTGCCTAAAATTATTATAACTTCAAATTCATTTCTGAACAAAATTTCATGTGGAACACAACATAATGAGTTGCTTGCAGCAGGTTAGTTTTGATTTGCGTTCTAAAGACATGGAATTAAAATTCCAAATATTTTTCAGTTACCTCGGATACTTTGGAGAAAAGGGTCAAAACTCCTAGCTTCTCATCAAAGTAACTATTCTTCAAGTTCATCAGAAGGAGGATATAATTTCGGTGAGAAATAAATAACTAAAATTGTGTCTGAGTGATACATTTTAACTTTTATTAAACGAGAAACTAGACATTCTAGGCTGGTTAAGAAAATGCAGTAAAGTTTCATTTAATTCACGCCGTTTGGTATTCGAAAGCAAGAACTAATCTTTAATTTTTTCCTCTCTTACAAACCACCTCTATATACTTTTTATTTACAAAAAAAATAAGATATGAGAAAATTCGGATTTTACACACTCAAGGATTTTACACACTCAAGCCGTGGTTATTATGACGGTGACGGGAACAAACATTCCCACACAAGACTAGATTGTATCTATAATTCTGAATATTTCACATCAGTCCATATGAAGGTCTATAATGAATATTTCTTTCAGCTTTAAATGATACCCAGAAGGAATTTCAAGAGCTTACCAGGAAGTTCGCGAGAGAGGAAATTATGCCAGTTGCCGCAGAGCATGACAGAGAGGGAAAATTTCCTTGGGAAATTGTAAAGAAGGCCCATTCTTTGGGGTTGATGCATGGACACATCCCAGAAGAGTTAGGTAATGGTTTTCAGTTCGTAATTCAAAACAAAAGTTATGGTGGATCGATTTTAAGCAGCACTTTTTGAAGGGCGTTTTTTGCCTTTGGTTTAGGTGAATCATCGTTTGACCCAAGAGTTTGTTTCCCCTTCTGATCCAGATTCTGCTTCTGCTGCTCAAAGATATGGCGCAAGGCGGATTCATGAGATATTCTTCTCTTCTGTAAGAGTCGGTCGGATTCATTGGTTACTTCATGGTCCATAAAGTGTCCAAAGAGTAGCTAGGCAGATCCCGGCATTACCGTGACAAGGCAGGAGAAGGTGCTTGGTATCTCAAAGGTTCTGTTAGTGACATTGAGTGAGCTCAAAGGGTCATACATCCTTTTGGCATGGCTACACACACCTTAGGAATGGGCGACTCTTCCCGGCAAAGATTTTCTAAAGCCTCCGCTGTAGGGGGTGGTAAAGGGTAACTTAAAAGGGAAACGATTCACCAATGAAAAATATCCCAAAACCTTCTAATTAAAAAAATCATTGCAAATCATTTTCTTTGCAGGAGGAATGAGCTTTGGCGTTTTTGACTCGTGTATCGTGTCAGAAGAATTATCCTATGGCTGTGCTGGAATAATGAGTGTTTTCGAATCTAGTAAATTGGGGGTGGGTATTCCATGACCACTGGCATCGGCACCGGAAATATAACCTTAAATATTCGCTTATTACTATTTATTTCAGCAAACTCCTGTGATAGTGGCTGGCACCGACGAACAGAAAAAAAAGTACCTTGGCAGACTCATGGACGAGCCACTTGTAGTTGCCTACGCCGCCACTGAGCCCGGTGCTGGATCGGATACCAACGCCATCAAAACAAGAGCTGAAAAAAAGGGAGACGAATGGATTCTGAACGGTCAGAAAATGTGGATCAGTAACTGTGGGGTGGCCAACTGGTAAAAACTTGAAATAAAGGCTTTGGCACTTTGCCGTTTTCATCAGAGTTTAACTTTTACCAGGTATTTTGTACTAGCTCGAACGAACCCAGATCCAAAGGCTTCCGCTAGCAAAGCTTTCACCGGCTTCATCGTGGAGAGAGATTGGGAAGGAGTTGTGCCCGGTAGAAAGGTTAGTGGTGATAACTTTTTCTATGAAATCAGAAGACATATCGTTTTTCAGAAGATGAAGGTGACCAATTCCTCTGTGTAAACCTCCTCTACGTAATATGTAAACATATCGAACAGGGTACACTTTTTCATTCAACACATATCAATGATTTCTGAGATTAAACTTGCCAGGAAATTTCCTTGTGGGAGTTCGTGATCATTTTCAACGAAGTGATTCAAATAAATGTAACCAATGGGCTGTTTGGACTAAGGGTATTAGGACCTTTGTCACTTCGTGGTTCTCATGTCACACAAAATTTTAGATTATTAGATCTGTCGATATGTAATCGATTAAGGATGAAATTTCCTCTTCTATTGATGAAACTTATAATTTACTTTTCTCCCATTTTTAAAGGAAATAAACATGGGTCAGAAAGCAGCTGATACGAGAGGCTTAACTTTCGAAGACGTTCGTATACCTAAAGAAAACGTTTTGAGAGGCGAAGGTGAAGGATTCAAAATAGCCATGGAAACTATGGACATAACCAGAACACCGGTAAAATAATTTTTCGTTATATACTTGACTCATCATAGTTATGCTTACCTACACCTCATTGCCAATTTTATCTATGCAATGAAAAAAATGACTTCGCGGCTCAAAATTCCATAATCTCATCGTAAAAGCGCAAAAGTTGAATTCATAATTAATCCCTCTACCACCAACTTCCTTTTTTGAAGGTCGCTGCAGGGGCCGTAGGCCTGGCCCAACGCTGCCTGGACGAGGCCTCCAAGTACGCAATCGAACGAAGGACCTTCGGGGTCCCCATCGCTCAACACCAAGCCGTAGCCTTCATGCTGGCCGACATGGCCATAGGTGTCGACACGTCGCGGTTGGCCTGGATGAAGTCCGCCTGGCAATACGACAATGGGGTTAGGAACACTCTGGCCGCCTCCATAGCCAAATGCTACGCCGCCGACGTGGCGAACAAGTGCGCCACTGACGCCGTCCAAGTGTTCGGGGGCAACGGCTTCAACAGCGAGTATCCCGTCGAGAAGCTGATGAGGGACGCGAAGATCTTCCAGATCTACGAGGGAACGGCGCAGATCCAGAGGGTCATCATTGCCAAGAATATCATTGAGAAGGCGAAGAGTTTGTGAAGTTCTGAATAAATGGGGTTATGAATGGCAATGCTTTTTATTTGAATTTACTTTCACTCATTCATCATTTTAAAGTAATGTTTCACAGCTTGACTCATACCTCCAATAGTCAACTACGACCTGCTTTATACAGTTCTAATCTCAAGAAGAGCTGATTAGAACCTGCAAGAGGACAGGATCTGATAGCTATTAGTCCACAGATAGATCAAAAACAACTCCTAGGTCCTGTAAAGGTGTATATAGTTGCAAACTCCGGACGGAGATATCAATCTGTCTAGTGGCCTACGCCATTGTTTTATGTGTGAACATATTGGCGGAATCCACTCCCACATAAATCAATAAAAATATTCTCGGATAGAGAAGCGGCTCTGGAAGAACTTGGCCCTTCCCGAGCAACGTTCAAGTGGGTAGTTAACTGTCAAAAAAGACTCCTCGGTGAAATTCCTTAACAAATTAATAGACTAGATTTCTGCCTGAAATATGGGACTTCCCTAAAAATATTGATATCTCCGTCCTGCAACTACACCAACACCAGATACTTATCATATTTTTGATCCATCTCTGAACCAACAGTTATCTACTTCTAGTATTTGCTCCTCTCTGAGGTAGTCATAATTGACTGTAAACGTCTGTTTTCCGTTAACCAGCTGTCACTCCCTTAGGAATGACAACTCCCAGAAGTCGATGCGTAAGTTTGGAAGTAATTCCCAGAATGTTCTGTCTTTCAGTATAAGCCAGTATAATATGCTCCGCATCTATCTCTCTCCCAAGAATGATGAGAGCAGGCAGGTCTGGAATAATTTTTGTAGCCGCTGCAGAAGGTGTTGAGAGATGGCTAGGTCTATCTATCTCTACTGACCAGAGAGCTCTGTATGGGCGTTTGCTTCAGAGTTTTTGGCCACCCGACACATGCCTTGAACGTGTCATTGGTCTGACAATTATTACATATATCCGATTTGTTTGGATTCTGACCCTAAGATTTTTGACAAATCCTGTTTTGACATATCCATAGGCTGTGTGTCAAGCCTTTTCCAAGTGAGCATTCCAAGGGAATTTTTTTATCGAGGATATGTCAGATATGCATATGATAGTTATCTGCAAAAGCTTGCAGATCTACCTCTTTTCTTTCAAGGACTACCTATCCAAATAAGCCGGAGACCATCTCATCTACTTCCAGGTCCCAATACCTTGGACTCATCTTGAAAAGTCGTATCTGTTCTGTTCATACTGATGAATGTGAACATGCCTAAGGAAGCCATTGTATGGCGAAACACGTGATCAGATTTTGTGAATTGTTTAATACAAATCTCACACTAAATAAGTGTCATTTGTATATATTATTATGTATACATTTTGTTGTTTCATGAGAAGTTCTAACACATCTATTTTCAGTTCGTCATATCTTTTCAGAATGTCCTGGAGTATAAGGTATAAAGTTAGTTGTGAAAGAAATCGGTGGTTGTTGAGTTGGTAATTGTTGAATTGGTGTTGCTTTTTGTTAGAGTGAGTTGGTTTTTAATTAACTGTATATTTTCTATTGCCATTATTGTTAAATCTACGAAGGAATCTGGATAAGACTTCCCTTTCGGAGTAGATTTTATCAATTATACTTCCTTATTATTATGCCTTCCTGAACATTCGCATGATGGTTTAATGTGGTGGCGGCATCTATTAGTATGTATGGAAGATGAAAATTCCCAGAAAAGTCGATAAAAAACTAGAAATAATCACTACCATGTAAAACAACTTCCATTTTTCTAGCAACCCCGTATAATACCTCATAAACCTAGAACATTAGCAGAAAAATGTTTCCATTAGCATATCAATCGCATTAATGAAGAAAATACGCCAACGATCAGAAAAGCTATTCCAAGAAATTCAAGGTCAGAGACGTTCGTTGATAGTCATCTCTGACATTTTCGCATTTTCTCTATAAGAATCCATTAAGTTTGTGCCCCATACTTATCACGAATCATGAATAAATATATGGCTAGTTAGCTTCCAAGGTCATCTGATGGAAGGAAACTCTAGTCTAGGTTCGTTAAACCCTGTGCAAACATACGGGTGTTCTCAAGTAAATGGGAATTTTGGCCTCGTTCAATATATTTTTCGGAATTTTTGTCTCTTGGTCAAAACGTTATTATCTTAGGTACCCACAACTTTGTAATATACCGCGCGTGAGCCGCTGGTGCAGAAGAAATTGAATGTACACGTTTGAATTCAAAAACCGTGTTTTCAGTGCAGTTCTGGAACGGCATATCTGATATCACGCTACATTGTCAATGGTGGTTGACAAACTTGTTGAAAGATCTTTTTGTGTTAACCCCCAGACCAGTTTTCATTGCATTTGTTGTTTCTAATATTGTTGTTCCTTGTGTCACTGTTGTGACACCATTTGGTTCTCTCCTAGGCTTCTAATGCACACGCATAATATCTGGTTAAGGCTGTTGGTGCGTCCTCCGAATATTACAAAGCTTGGGGTAATGTTCTGTAAATCCTTTGTAGGTAAAATAATAAGGAAAATTTTTAATCATCAACCAAACAAAACAGACCGTAAAAGATGCAGAAATACAGAATATTATTGTAATGAACTTCGAAAATATAGTGTCCCCTTTATAATGAATGGCCTATCAAGTGATCAAATTTGCAGATGTCAGTCCAGGTTTGATCTTTTCCTTTTTGGAAGAACAAGCCGTTCTGATCATGACCTATTACAAATACTAACGATTTATTGATTTGTATAGCGTTCTCATTTCTGGCGGCGACACTTTTATTACCTATTTACCTATTCAGGCTATTATTGGATTGAACCTATTAGATAAACCGTTAGGAAATATGTCGTTGTTCAATAGACGTGTCATGTGTCATTCTATGGCGAACTATCACTATACTGGAGTCTAATAAGCAGGGTTTAGCAATGAATGTCATAAACTCTTCGATATTACACATAATAATAATGATATGATCCTGTAAAAAGGATTTGTTTGGGAGTATATTATAGAAAATATTTTTACAGTTGACTTTTCGATTCATAGGCAATAGAGAACATAATTCAATAAATATTATTTTAATTTTTTACTCGCTTTTGATTCGAACAACAAATTTTCAGAAAGGAGACATCTTGTAGGCATTACATAATAATATTATCTTTCCTTTTCGTTTTATGTACATGGCATTCGGGCTGTACAGAGTCTAGCCAAAATGAATATAGGATTTTTTTTTTGTTGATACCCTGTTTACTGACTTGAAGTACGTCACAGTGTCTTTGAATCCAACTTCCAAAAACACGCTTGTTTCTATGGCAACATCAACAAACCAAGAAACGTGCTCAAAGGTCAACTTTTCAATTAATGATCTGACAAATGTTTGACGATAGTCAAACACTAGTCACTAAGTGTTCTGGCGATGTATTGAACTTATTGGAGCCTCTGAAGACACCCTACATTTTGTTTTATGAGGGAGAGGATATTGCCAGATCAAGATCTTCGTATGATGTGGTGCTGCAGGTTTTTCCGGGTTTTCTTGAGCGATCATCTATATGACTTTCGGAAACTACGGAGGTACATCTTCACCGGCAGCAGGAGATTAAATATCTTCATGAGGATCTAGAAGTGATTTTGAATTGGGGTAAAAGTATCCAGGTTCAATTCAATGCCACAAAAACCCAGGCATCGGTTTCCTCTAAGAAGATAAATTTCTCCGAACCGGACGTAATAATGTCAGGTCAGACACTTCCGTTTTCTGCTTCGATAAGTTTGTTGTGGGTTGAAATGGACATCAATATGTTTTGGTACAGTCCTGTCGCAGAAATTGCAAAGGCTGCTTCACAAAAGCTTGGAACACTGTTAAGAACCAGAAAACTGTACACATCTCAGCAGCTTCTGATGCTTTATAAAGCTCAGATTAGACCGTCTTTGAATTATTGTTCTCATGAAGGGAGCTCTGCCTCCAAACATACCCTGGAGTTGCTGGATTAAATCCAGAAAAGATTCCACCAAGAGCGGCACATATCAGAAATACGCGACGGACTGTTGCTGCTTATCGTTTTGACGTTCAACTCAGTACACCTAAAACTTCAGTCTTCAAGAACTTTTTCATCTGGAGAACTACGTTTATGTGAAACAAACTTCCTGAGAACAATTGGTGAAATGTATGCTTCAATTCCTTTCTTAAATTCCCTGTACAAATCCATGGTAATCATTATCCTGTCACTATTGAAATTTTTCATTATTCCAAGGATGGTGACTTTGCAGTCACAAAAATAATCGATATCTCTAGAAAATATACGTCTCTCACACGTCCGCCGTAAAATTCGAACAATTCCACTCGAGGGACATGCGCTAAAATAGCCGTTACTAACCTCTAGTGGACAGCGGTCAGTCTGAGTATTCCGTCTATAGCGTCGCGGCGCCTTTCATCCGTCACTTTTTCGTCGATTCAACTTTCTCGTGCGGAAATTTCTAGGTCCTTTGAGCGTAGCGATTCCATGTAGAATTCAGGTATGAAGAAAATCAGTGAAAAATTAAAATTCACCCTTGAAATGTCCTTGAACTTGTCTCCAATGTCATCTCAACCCTAAATTGGGGGTGAAAGTACTCTTGAAAAATTGATGAGTCGATGTGTTGTTCTATAAATTTCCGTTATAGTGAGGGGGTAATGGGGGCGGGAACGAGCGGGTTCATTGACAGGAATTTAGGAAGTTTTATACAGTCACATCAAATTGGATCAAAATTAAAAGAAACGCTTGTTGTTTCTTGAACAGAGTTTAGGAGTTTTCACCTGAGTTGGATTTTTTAAACGGTGTCATTGTTTCGCAAGTCTCTGGACCATCGACACGATTATTGAATATTTTGTACAACATTTATATATCCGATATTTTTCTGCTATCTGTAAGAAATAACAGGGAATATTTTTTTAAAACTGGACGAACATTTCGATTGATTATAGAAATGTCTGTTTTACGGGCTACTTGTTTGACGAATTTATTTTGAACACTTTCAATTCCCTGTTGATAAATCGTATATTGCGGACTCCAAACGACAGATGCAAAGTTCAAACGACCATATATATTCTCGTAAGAGTAATAAAGATTTAGCAGAGTTTTTGCGTTCTGATAATGAATTCCAATGAACGAATACACATATCAACGTTTTTTTCTATGTGAGACTTAGAAAGCTTTTTGGAAACCAATATTACTCTTAAATCGCGCACTTCTTCTACTGTTTCAATTGTATAATTTCCTATTTGGTATTGAAAATCAATGGGATTTCTATTTGTAGCAAAAGTTATATGAGGCATTTATCGTATCTATTGCCACAGATTTCTGCAAATGCATCAAGGTCATTTTGCTATCTCTAACAGTCCTAGATTTCTTCGATGGTTCGATGAATCTTTAGGCCCTTCAACAATATTCTTAATATAAATTATAGAGAATAATGGTTCCAAGTGACTTCCGTGTGGTACACCTGATGTAACCATAAAAAGTTCAGACTGGTAACATCCACAACTTGATGCCTCTCAGCTTGAGACTACTTGACGTTATGTTGATAATTTTCTGATTGATTCGGCCGTTAGTTGATGAAGATCCATAGTAATTTCACAAACTACACCTAAACGATTTGATCTCCACCAACTTTTGTTGGTGGAGATCGGGGCTTCTTGTGGGCTTATTCAATGGCCAGAGTTTCAAACCATATATATATTGGCTATAACCGGTGAAAGTGGCGATCCCATTGGCAGTCCCGTAAATAATTCGTACTTCAGTTAGACGTAGCAGTTTCGTACACAGCATCCTAGTAATTCCATGATTACTTGTATCGGTAAGTTTGATCTATCTATCACGTCCCCATTTTCGGATAGCTTCCTCTGTATGATTTGAAGTGATTCTTCGACAGGGACGTTGGTGTAGAGGCTTTCCACGCCGAAACTGATCAGTTGATCCTGCTTTGACTTCGATTGCCCCAAGTAGTTCAACAAAATGCATTGAATTTTCCACAAAGGATGATGTTTTTCCTTGCTTCTGAGTGGCTGAATCTCTGGAGCTAATAATCTTAAACTAGTTTCGTTTTTTTTCAGCTTGTGCGTGTTTTTTTTAGTTTTTTGAACTATCATTTATCTAACACGCTTTTATTAGCTTCACTTGTATGTTTGAATATACTTTCTCCGGTGTTTGCAGACTGATCGTCTAAATATACTGATAGAGGTATATTTTTACAGGCAACTCATAATTATTCCTCATGAGGAATCCTCTCCAACAAGCACTTTCAACCCCATATGGTCAACTTTAAAATCCACATCCTAATGACCAACATAGAAATGCCTACAGCTCCACCAGTTTCATCTGGCGATCCAGAGGAAGACGTCGCTTTCAAGGTTCTCAACCAGGACAATCTTCCTATTTCAGTGATTGGAGAACCCATTCTCAAACCCTTCGACAAGGACAGTCAGAAGCTCAAGCCTAACGTCATAGTCCACCCCACGAGGAGGGTGGTAACGAATCTCGAGGAGAACAAACGGAAGCCTTTTGCGAAGTCGAGTGGTCACTTGAGTAATAATGATAAGAATAAGAGGAAGAATATAAGTAGTTCGTATGGGAATTTGTACCACAATGGGGGTGTCAAATTGAAGATCGAGGATTTGAATGAGGATGTGAATAAGTTCACGAAAACTTTAGGTAAATGTTTATTAATTCCATTCCATTGATTCATTTCTCTCTAGTCTCTGCCTATGTTTTCAATCATTGTTTCTTAAAAGGTGGATGTCCAAGAATCCAACGTACAACGATACGACAGTTTTCAGACCAGAGATGGACCAGGACACAATAACAAACAAAGAAAATCTGTTCCAATCAAATTATTAAATTCCAGGGTTCAAAAATAAGTGTTATAAAGGCAAACTCACGAAATACTGAGTGATTGATAGAAAAAAATTCACTTTTAGAAATGTTACATTAAAGATATGCAAAAAAAATAAATATACCATCAGATGGTATCATACTGAATATTCTCATTACTGAAATGTTCATGCTAGCATATTTCTTAGCTTCTTTATGCTCTTCGTGATTTAGGTTTAGTTGATTCATGATCAATTTTTTGTTTTAATTGGAGATGATTTTCTCAATTGAGTTGGCTGGTATATGTTCTTAAGTAACATCCTGTATATCCATCATATTTCCAGACTGGAAACTGAAAAGACTGGAAAAAGAGGAGAACAAACAAAACAAGAAACCGACCCCAGAAACGACAACGTTAAAGAAGCCGTTCGTTACAACAGTAAAAAAAGGACAGTTCTTAGAGCCACCCCCGGAAATAGCATCCCTCATCGGTATAAAGGTAGAAGATCAACCCTACAGAAAAAAACCGAAAGAAACGAAGCAACTGTACGCGTTTGCAAGTCGACCAAGAGTTCTTAGTAGAACTCCGCCTAAAAGTCTACACCAGACCAGGTGAGTCAAGATATTATTCAATAATAATAATGTATGAGCCTCTGAAGAAGGTGGCCACTCAAGCCAGCGAAACGTCAGGAAGAAATTTCAAATGACGGCCTTCAAACCCGAATAAAAATAGTGGTACTGAAAAATTCTGCCACGAAAGCCTCAACCCTAGCATTTGTCAATAATAATTATGTACAGCCTGTTCAAAGGCAATGAATAATCTTTACAAGATACATTTAGAACAATATCAATTTTCTTTCATTTAATGCTCAATGCATCGTTTTCCACACAGACAAAGTGAATTTTCTCTAACTTAATATCCGGTAGGAAAGTAGTTATTTCAGATGCGCCCTTTCTTTAGTAAAAATTCAAAAAGGGCTATTCAATACTTTGATTTTGGTGCTAACGTCTTTATAGTTTATTGAAATTTTGGGTTAGCGTTAAAAATTGTAATTAATTTACAGAGAACTGAGTTCATTTACGAGTCACCATAAATCAATTGAAAATTTATGAACCAAACTGACAATGACAATATTTAAAATAACTTTCTTTTTTGAATGTAGATGTGATGCCGCAGCTAAGACTCATGTCAAAATTATTGGATCGATAGTTGGGCTGAGTGACATAGATGAGACATCGAACAAGACCAGGTACGTTTTTTCGAGTCACTAACTTTCTCTGATTTCTTTGTTTTCTTTCTATCTAAATAGTGGCGGTAACCTCATTCGACATAACTATAATAATAATAAGATTTGTTTTTTGAAGGTGTCGTTCGTATAGGGTCGATAGCTGCTCAAACCTAACCCAATATCAATCGACTTTTCTCCATATACAGGGTACACCAAAAGATCAAAAAGATCAGATATCTTAGATAACTGTCTAATCGTTAAAATAATAAATTCGGTAGTTCTACTACAAATAAGTGATTATTTTTTCAATTCTTTCAAACACTGCTCTTCTAGATTTGAAGATTATTTCTCACTTCGTATTTGAAAATAATAAATATAGAGAGTGCTCACATAAAACTGTGGAAACTGATGACTAATCTGAAAGTACCAAATAACTGACAATTTGATTACCGATGAATGCAAACAAAGGATGTATTTGACCGTTGCCTGACTTTTGGCGTATACTGTATGTATCCTCTATGCAGTAGATCACTGTACCGATTGTATTTATTCATTACCCTATATTTATATATCACAAAATCGATATTCAACTTCCAATAATAGAAAAACTTTATCTAACCAACTAATTTTAGTCAATCTACCGTAACCCAAATAAAAAAAATATTTATATTCTTCTAATGTGGAACTTTTATGGATTGAAACTGAATGTTTACCAACAGTGGAAAGCATATTCACTTATCTGTCAAATAAAACAGATAATTAAGTTTTTCGGGATTGTTTGGATGTTTCTCAACATTTCGTCATTTGAGAGTGGCTGACATTTTTTTTCGCCCTGAGATTATATTCATATCCATGCTGATGACTCCCGCGGTATGGCTGAAAATACATACTACATTCAATAAATCTTAACTAAAAAGAAATGAAGGTGATTTCGCAACTGCCAATCCCTCCCTGAACGTCTTTTTAGGAGTCTGCAGTGCTGAATTTGTTTAGGTGATACATTTGTGAGATCTTACCCGAGGAAGTGCACCCAAAAAAGCTTTCTAACCTCTCGTTTTCATGTAATCCCAGGTTTTTGTTCTTGAATTATCTATTAAGACTTGGTGTTCCTTTCAGAGTTTTTTATAGACTTAACATACGCAGAAATGGTTTTCGACTATCTCCTGTTGCCTCCTCCTGAGTCTCCGGTAGATTTTATTAAGGCTTTGTTGAGTTGAATATTAATTCTGTTTACTGGTCTTTTGAAATAGTAAAAAATAATATGTGAAAAACATGGTGAAGAGAAAATAAATATCGACTCTTTTGTTTTTGTTGTCAGCATATGCATTGAGATATCAAATAATCCGTATTAATTTGGAAAGTCGTTAATATTTCAAGTTGCATGATGCCGGAGCTTTTAAAATAACCAAGTGGTGTATGTAAAAAAACTAACAAGCGCTACTGTGACTATCGTCCTCGACCAAGGTCAACATAACATGAAACTACTTGATTGATGTCATCACGCAAGTAATTTAAAATGATAAACAATACCAATTATACATGAATTAAAATCTCAAAATACAACTTAGTGTTTTCTTTATACGATTGTACTAAGATTGTAGATTCTGTAACAAATCACTACTCGTATCGATCATAATCAGAACCAAATTCATTCTTCTTAGATAAATGAAAAAGCAATGCCCATGAATAACATAAAACATTCTCGGAACATCCGAAGTACATTAAAAAACCATTTTCTTGAATTGTATTGCACGTGTATTGTTCGAGCTATTGAGGATTAACGAAATTTCACTTTCAACGTGCCAATAAATACATTTAATAAGAATTTATCGAGATATTAGGTACAGTTGAAAGTAGACTCATAAAAACGGAGAGAACATTTGAAACAACCTCATATATTGTATGTCATGGACTAACGACGAGCTTATTTTCAGGCATTTACATACCATAGAAAAAAGGTCAACCGATTTCACATCGCATAATGAACAAGTAAGTGAATCTTTCAAAGCATGTTATTAGATAATGGAAGTCCGAACTAATGAAATTAATCATCAAACATTGTCAATCACCTTCAAACAGATAGTTTTGAACTATTTTGTACCTTGTTAATTTTAATTATGACTACTGTACCATGTACAGATTCATGTGCAGTGAACAGAATTGTGCCCTGTATACTTATTCATGTCTTACTTGCAGAAAATGTGATATATTGTTTTTGAACCAAGCAAATTGTCTACAGGAACTAACGATAGTTGATTTGATCCAGGAAACATATTTTCATTTTGTAGAAATCACATATGTTATATGATCGACAAGGGGAAGAACATTACAATTTGATATCTGCTATGCACAAGTCGATCAGAGGGTCTGATCCGAATGCTGCCTTGTATTGGACCACCAGAATGATTGTGAGTGGCGAAGATCCAAGGTATATAGCTCGTAGATTAGTAAGAGCAGCAAGTGAGGATATCGGTAAATTTTTTTAATAGTTATATATAGATTCAGTGAAATTAGTTTCTATTTTTCTTTTCAAGGTAATGCTGATCCTAAAGCTCTACAGCTAGCAGTGACGACAATGGAGGGATGTCAGTTATTGGGAATGCCAGAAGCAGACGTATTGCTGGCTCAGTGCGTAATATACCTAGCTAGGGCCCCGAAATCAAGGGAGGTGGACAAAGCATTGGGAAGAGCCAAAGCTCTGATATTGAATCACAAAGGGATTCAACCTGCAGTGCCCATGCATATTAGAAATGCTCCCACTACTCTGATGAAGAAATTAGGTATGTCTGCTGTTAGATTATTGCATTTACCCAATGTTGAAATCACAAAAATCGTTAATATTTCAAGTTGCATGATGCCGGAGCTTTTAAAATAACCAAGTGGTGTATGTAAAAAAACTAACAAGCGCTACTGTGACTATCGTCCACGACCAAGGTCAACATAACATGAAACTACTTGATTGATGTCATCACGCAAGTAATTTAAAATGATAAACAATACCAATTGTACATGAATTAAAATCTGAAAATACAACTTATTGTTTTCTTCATGCAATTGTACTAAGATTGTAGATTCTTTAACAAATCACTACTCGTATCGATCATAATCAGAACCAAATTCATTCTTGTTAGATAAATGAAAAATCAATGCCCATGAATAACATAAAACATTCTCGGAACATCCGAAGTACATTAAAAAACCATTTTCTTGAATTCTATTGCACGTGAACAACTGGACGCTTTCGTATTTTATAATATTTTCTTGGAAGGAAACCAGTAAAAATTGTTTCTGAAATAAAACTGAATGCCATTGCAATTCTCAAGACCTTTCGCTCTTGCGAAGAAAATCATCCTTTTTTGTATTTACAGAACATATTTTGATTTTATGGGGCTGAAGCAGATATCAACGACAACCTTTAGAAGTATACATTTGTTCGATCTATTACGGATTAACGAAAGTTCACTTTCAACTTGTCAATAAATACATTTAATAAGAATTTATCGAGATATTAGGTACAATTGAAAGTAGACTCATAAAAACTGAGAAAACATTTGAAACAACCTCATATATTGTATGTCATGGACTAACGACGAGCTTGTTTTCAGGCATTTACATACCATAGAAAAAAGGTCAACCGATTTCACATCGCATAATGAACAAGTAAGTGAATCTTTCAAAGCATGTTTAAAACTTGAAACTATATATCCATAAAGTAATTCCTCCTATAGTATAATTCACTAATACAAGCCTTGCTGTATTCATTTAGCCCCTCTTTACTTTTAAGTTAATAAGAATTCACATATTCTTTTGGTCTCAATTCAGAGAATATTTCGAGGATATGGCATGAAGAATGAGAGAAATTGACTTTATGGGCTCATTATAGATTATTATTTTTCTTAATTAATATTACCAGCAGACGAATCGGCTCATTTTTCATTTCTAAATTTGATCAATAGAATATAAATTTTGTATTGAGGATTTGGCTAATTTTTTAATACGTATATTTGGCAGCCTAAGTGGAACCCACATTTTGCCTATGCTAAACTTCTATCACAAAACGAGGTATGTACTTACTTCCGCTTTACACCCACTCCACTATGAATCACTCATTCATTCATTCATGAACCCATTTTTCATGCTTGCTTATCGGAATTCATTTGATTATTTATTAATAATTCACTTTAAATACAACAAACACTTCAACTAAACCTTCAACAATTATTTGAATGTATATCGCCTTAATAAATCACTTCACGTACCGCACTGTACTGGTTTCTGGTTAGCAGTGGCGGCCGACGTTATTTTCTTTAGGGCATGATTTACAACATATTAAGACATTGACTACAAACGAAAATATGCCCAAAAAATAACGCAAATTTTGCAGTTTTGAGACAATTGGCCTTCATGTCTCGAATCAGTTTCAATGCAATAATTCGAAAATTATTTCAGTTTTATAAGCAGGTCATGTTGAAAATTAGAAGAAAGAACATAATAACATTGGTTTCTGTTGCATTCAATATGATATAGTAGAAACAGGCGTAAAAATGGCATTGATATTTCTTGGTTCAAGCTTCTTTGTGAAAGTTCTCACTATATTAGTAGCCTATGAACTTACTGCATCATCGAATTATATTTTTACGGCCCTGAGTATTGTAAACGAGTGGCAGATACACTTACGAGTATTGAAGGGTCCTATTTGCCCCATTTTCAATGGCAATATGTTATATTATGATGTTAGATATTTAAAATCGGACAGAAATTTAAAACAAACTCAATCAGAAAACAAAAAATGTGCCGATTCGTAACTCTCCATATTTCTTTCAGTAGCACATCTTATTTTTAAATTAATTTGTATTCCCACAACTGAATATACCTCTAGAATACGTCTGAATTCATTAAACTACGTCCAAAACTCACTCGAAGGGACAACGAATCTAAGAAATGTATGTTTTCAATTGCATGGTTCTTCCACCTTAGAAAAACATCAAAAGATATACTTTTCGCCACAGGTAAAAGAGGAACCAGCAGCCTCCAGAGTAGCGGAAGTACGACGGAGAGCCCTGGCAAGAAAGAGAGCCAAGAACCAGCAGATAAGATCTTCTCAGCTAACCACAGCATTGTCTCAGTTATTCCAAGAGAAGGACGAGAAGCAAATTTTAAAACTTCAAGAGTTGTTTGCTAACCGAGAACTCAGTGATGCTTGTACTCAAACTGAAGATAATAACGAACCTGTTTCTCACCCTAACATCCATGACGTACGTTCAAGTGACGTTCAGACTCAGATTTATCCCGGAGATGTAAGTTCTAAGAAAAAAATCACTGACAGGGAATTAATAAGTCAGTTACCATACTTAGTTTTAGGGTAGAGGTTTTTTGTGTCACAATGAACAATTTAATTTTTCATATGATGGGCTTAAAGTAGCAAGGCTCACCAGTAGTGGTTCTTTTTGAGGTTAGGATATTGGCGGAACATTTTTCGGCGTAGCCATAATTAACCCCCAAATGCATAGTTCAAACCACTTAGTTTTAGACTTGCGGTGATGGGGCCATCAAATTCAATTCATTTGATGGCCCCAGGCAGCAAAGCTCACCAGTAAGAGGTCTTTTTACAAGTCAGGATATAAGAGGAACATTATTGATTTGCAAGCATTTTTCCGCATAGCCATAACCTCCAAGTGTATTTATACAGGTATTCAAATGCCATTTTTGCATCAATGGCTAGCTTTGAGATTTTCTCTGGAAGAAGGAATCAATGTTATATTTTACTTGAGGTGAGCTTTTTTCAGAATCTATGTGAGTTATTACCAAGGGTAAGGCAAGTAACTTATAGACAAAAAGCATTGCGTTTGGTACTTTTTCTAGTGACTATTTTCCAGCTGTCACTGTTTTCTTTGCTAGTAGGTGTATCCCCAGATGGAAACGATGATTCAATGTTTTTCTTAATAGCCAATATATAATCATGTTTCAACTGAATATTTCTCTTCATTGAAGAATGTGCATCGCCAGGAGCACTTATGGCCTCACTTTGGTTAGATTTCAAGCAGTATATTCTCAAATTTATCATGCTCATTTTCGTCCCATTATTTGTTTCGGTTTTCATACCGTTTGTCTTGAAGTTATTCATTTGAACTTTCTTCATTCAATCTGAATTTTTTGCAGGAACTACTTCCGCACTAGATCCATGCTATTCAAAAATTTGGGTGAAGTAACAATATTTGTTATAACTAAACATCTTCTCTTCAATTTTTCTGAGACTAGTTTTATATCTGACATCTCATAGTCTATATTTTAGCTAGCATATCAATTATTGTCTTTCATTTTCAGCTTTTCGACTTTGACAAAGAAGTTCAACCAGTAATCGAGATACTAGTTGGTAAAACCATCGAACAAGCACTCATAGAAGTTCTTGAAGAGGAAGAATTAGCTTCGCTGAAAGAGCAGCAAAGAAAATTCCTGGAATTCATGTCTGCGGAGACAGCGGAGAATTTAAGATTGGAGAAAGAGAAGAAATTACTAAAAGAACTCGCCGAACATGGAGGGTCCAACTTGATAACCAGTGCCTGAATGCCAAAAAGGAAAGCTCGTTCCTTTTCTGGAGTTCATAAGGGCATGTGGTCCAAGTGAAGCACACGTTACTTTCACTTCAATTTCATTGTATAGATTGAAAAAGAGACTTGGTGAATGTCAGAAAATACTATCTATTATGACCGCCGAGTCATAGACAGACTATTTCTGAATAACTAGGTTAAAAAACCTCGAGTTTTTTTACTAAATAGGTTCTTACAGAAATAAATGAGTAACATGAAAGTGCAATTACTCTGTAAAATTTAATAGATTACTTACTACTATCAGTGGGGGTATCAAAAGTACACTTAGATGATAGCCTAGAAGGTTTTTGTTAAATATTTCAATTAAACGGTGAATCAATGAGTTCATTAATTTACCACTTCCATTTGACATTCCAAATTTTATGTATCATGGTCCCATGTCAGATAACAAATCCGGATGATAATGTTCAAAAGCAACAGTTGGTGGTAGAGAAAAACGCATTATGAACCTTTTTGCAATGAGAAATGTCTATCATATAATTAATCTCGTCCTCAGGTCTCGATGCTACTGTTCGGAGCATATGTTATGAATGCCACCATTTTGAATACGTCTTCAAGTCATATGTTTATGAATTCTGTGATTTTTATTGATTGTACCCCAAATGACAATAAATAATAATTTTTCCTGATATGTAGATGAACCGAGGTACCAGTATTAGTTAAAATAAAGGAATCTCATTATATAAGGTTAGACAAACAATTTATGTCAATACAGAAGTGCTGTCAATGACATCGACAAAATATTTTACATTGGGAATGGGTTAAAGTCATCATACCAGGGACGTGTTATGAATCTTGGTGACATCTTATAATATGACAAGAGAAATGTAATTGCGTTCGATAATACGCAAAACAAATCACAGCTGAATTCGGCAATTACCGTCCCGCACCGCTTTGGTCGGTTAAGCAGCTAAATCACTGGAAACTTGATAATGTAGGCATAGATTTGTTTTTATTACGTTGTTAATTAACGAATTAGGACAATGATTTTCGTCGAGGCCTTAAAATCACAAAAAAAAGTAATGCAAAGGCGCAAACCCTTAACTCTAAGGTTTTTTAGTGAGCTTCAAATCAATAATAATATTAGTACCACAACCTGAGAACTCTTTCTTGGAGAACATTCATAACGAACGCCTCCTTCTCAAGCTTAGGACAATAACTGGTTTTCTGGGAATTGAATTGGGAAGGATGTAAATGAAAAAAATGTATGTTACCAGTTGTCCATAACTTTTTTAATTGTATACAGTCATAAAAATTGCCTTTATTATTATTATCTGATGTCGTATATACACGTACAGGAACGCATATTGTTCATCAACGGCCTCCACAACTAAAATCCAATTCAGATTCTTACGTAATCCATCGAATTACTTAATCCATAGTGTCTTATTTGTTTTGGACCACAATGATAGCTTAGACCGTTATTCATGTGCATCAGTTTCAATTATCCAGGTCAGTTATCTTCATACACAAAATTTTCCTATCAAATCATCAACGAAGGCTAGTCTATACTCTATGAAACTTCCCATAAGCTCAGCTATCTCACTAGTAGACTCAAAAAGTCTGAAATTTGCCCGGTCTCTCTCGAAGATACAGCGTTTGTAGTGTAGAAGATTCTTAAAAGCTTCCGTGAGGCTATTGTCAAAATCACTTGAGTATGTATCTGCAAATATCACAGTACCATAATTTTTAGTCTTTCCATCAGAAGCTACGTACAGCAAAGCTTTGAGATTATAAGACAAGCCATCCAGTCCAATGTACAAGTCGTTGAAAAATCCGTGTTGTGTAAGGAACTTGTATTCTTGCTGGTTGAAATCGATCTTGAGCAGACTGAGGATTTCCTCCAGCTGAAACCCCACCGTGTCATAAATATTTCCAGGAATAAAGAAACCATACTCCGTGAGAAGTTTGACATTATCATGAGATCCGTAACTGATGAAAAGCTGCTCATGCTTTTTATATGTCGTTAAGGTTTTCAGTTGATAAACTAAGCCACATCCTTCCCGTTTCAATACCGTTGCCTCGGTATTAGCTAGAAAGTGGTGATTGAACATGTCGAGAAAAGGACAAAGGGCTATCGAAGGCTCATCTAGCAATAACTCCTGAAATGAGTCACTGCTTTCGAGGTTAGGGTCAACATATACCGCCCTGGTATTTACCATTATATACGCCCATTTGAATAAATTTTCGTCTTGCACGCAATCCAAAGGTTTCCTTATCGATTTCTTGACCCTATCAAAGCTTTTCTGAAAATGTTCCTGCATTGTTTTGCTAATTACCCGCAGATCTGGGGGAAATGATTTCATTTCTTCTGAAGTAGCTTGCCACGGAAGGTGGGGGGGAGTCACAGGCAAACTATTGATGTAAGTCCGCCAGAAAGATTCCCCTTTTCTATTCTTTTCGAATGCTAAGAACAGAGAAAGCAGCTCGTGCATTGTGAGTTTACCGTCGATGCATGCTAGGAGTTTCTCTGAATGCGTTTTCAATGTGGCATAAGTCACCATCAGATCGTGAGGGACTGTTATCAGAATGTCATTGGTTTTTATTGGCAATCTTGATGAAAGGCCTCTTCCTGTTCCGGGAAAATATTTCAGTGCCAATTTCGTGTTATTTTTCCACCCGTTTCTCGCAAGCCATTTCTGTAAACATATTATCGATTGGTAGTTTGCGGTTGATGAAAGCTCATGCGAGACCTTCTTCGACCTTCTTCTTTTAGTCCTACCCATTCCTGTGAACAAGTTGGACGATAAGATTGATAATATCGTGCGTTTTATTTTACTGTGAAAGTGAAAGCCAATATAATTAAAAAAAAACATCGATCCGTTCATGGACACATCAATAATTGTATAAGTGCTTACCTTTACCCTGGTGAAATGTCGGTAATATTAACAATAAAAGTGAAAATGTAGATATGTATGACCTCTGGAGAAGACAATTTTTAAAAAAAACACAAATGTTTATGAATGTCGTTCTCAAATTGCATCAAATATATTGCACTACGGCAGAAATAACGTCCAGTCAAGCTGTTGGAAAATAATTCCATGAAAATCAAAAGGTACATAGATGAGTTCTATTCTGATCATTCCCACATTGATTTCAATTCAAGATCCACCGGTAGACAGCTGTTTCAGCCTATCGGGCATCGTCAGTACCGGGCAGGCGGTCCTAGATTGAAGACAAGATGCGAATAACAAAGAAAAGTACTTAATAAAAATAACTGCGTAAACACAAGGGAATAAAAAAATAGTTTTCGAACTGCCAGAAACGAAGCTGGATTCGTATTAAATGTGAAAAAAGCTCATTTTCTGAAGAATTTCAAATTTGGAAACAGAAACTATTTGCAAACGTTCGCTAACTATGCATGCAGGTAGTTAGAGAATACAATCTGATGAAAAATCGTTATTTTATCTATTTGATAGGGTACGGAGCATCCGGGATCATAGACACCACAAATCACGTATTTGATGTTCTATGATACACACTTCTCTATGGTTTTTTAGTCCGAGGTCAAATATGTTTATGAAAATTAACTCTTGAAATTTAATTCTCCACTGTGTAGGTGTTTTTCGAAACCAATTCTTATAGTTACAGACTTACCTGTACAGAATTATAGAGTGAAATACTGAGAATGTTACACAAATTCACAAAAGTCCCATGCTCATGCTAGGTTAGGTTATGTTTATTCCTAACTAGTACTACCATAGACATAATAATATATAGACTGGACGTGACGTCACTTTTATATATTCTACCTTCGCATCACACGACATCTTGGCCACTGCGTCATAGCATCATATGACAAATCAAATCCAAACATTTTCACATGGAAATATGTAACACGTAAGACATCGTGACTATGTATCAGACGTTAAGTGAATGACTGACGTAAATGTCAGGAGTGAATCTCTTCATTTCTTTTTTGTAATTAGAGTCGATGCAAGTGGTAAATGGGCAAGTGGTGAATTGGCGCTGTGGTAGTATGACGACTCCACTAATGGTAAATATACAGAGTAGCCAACTCAGAAAAATGCATGAGCTCCAAATGAAGTTCCTAATCGATATGCTCAATATCTATTCAATTCAAAATGATATCACAAGAGCTTAGTAGCTGTATTTACGCAAGAAACTAAAAATTAATTCCTGAAGTAATATTTGTATGTAGTTAAGGCACTATCTTATTTCGAACTGAATTATACCCGCCAAAAAGAAAAGTGGAAGGTGCGTTTTGTTTGCATTAATTTTATTTCAGATCTGTGAATTTTGCCAAAAGTTATTAGCTTTCTCTCTCTTTTTGCTTGATCAAAAAAAACGAGTAAATATACAGAAGTACCACATATTTCTATAATTTTTTTTGTAAAATTGAGCCTTCAAAACTCGAAATTTCGAGCTTGAAGTCAAAATTTCAAGGTCAAAGTCGAAATTTCGCTATTAGAGTAGAAATTTTGACATCAATCTCAAAGTTTAGACTTACATTACTTTATAAACCCCAGGACCAAATCATGAAAATATGTGGCCCTGATGCGATTCCGCGAACTTAACACTGCTTGGAATGTCCCACTCTGGAATTAAAGTAGTTCCGTGTGCCAGTAAAACAATTAATGATAATTGACATGTGTCAACCTCAGTGACGTCATCCCAAAGTTAACCTTCATTTTAAATTTATGTCGGTTATTTATTTTATCATTTATAATTTTCGTACCTATTCAAAATACACCGAATGACAACCCTGATTAAGCTTGGATTACAATTCATTTGAATGTTTTTCCAAAGATGAGCGACAAGAAAAAAGAAACTAATTGTCCAATTTGCAATAAAAACTTTCCATTCAATGATATAGAGCAACATGCTAATAGGTGTATATTTTTAAACTGTCCCGATGAAGACGAACAACATAAAAGGAAAAGATCTCCCTCACCCAACTTAAATCAACAAAGCAACCAAAAAACATCTTTTGGTCAAAAGTCACCAAGAATTGCATATACAGTGGCCTCCAAATCTACTCATCATGAAAACTCTGTTATTAATTCCTCCCAAAATCAACCGAGCCCTAGTGCAAGCTCTAAAATACTGGAGAAGCCACCAGATATGTCCTTTGTTGTTCCTTTGGCGAAAAAAGTTCAACCAAAGACATTTGAAGAATTTTTGGGGCAACCCAAAGTCTTAGGGAAGTCCACTGTTCTGCGATCACTCCTAGAAAAAGGAGAAATACCAAATATGATTTTGTGGGGCCCACCAGGCTGTGGAAAGACGTCTCTATCCGGAATATTGAGAGAAATATGCAGTAAAAATCCCACCAAATTGAAATTCTCAACGGTATGTGCTGCAGTCTGTGGAGTAAAAGAAGTACAAAATCTCATAACCATTTCTAAAAACGAATTGAAATTCGGCCGAAAGACTGTTTTGTTCATGGATGAAATCCATGCTTTTAATAAGAAACAACAAGATACCATGCTTCTTAGCGTAGAGAAGGGTGAGATAATTTTAGTTGGTGCTACAACGGAGAACCCTTCGTTTTCCATAAATTCCGCTCTGTTGAGCAGGTGCAGGGTGGTAGTAATGGAGAAACTGGATTGTGATATACTGTTGTCGATACTGAAAAGAGCTGCTCTGACTTATAAAATTAAAATAGTTGATGATATCACCACGGCCAGTGAAGATAGTTCTTGGTAAATCTTATCTTGATCATTATGTATTTATTTATTTATTTGCAAATATCATAATTTTTTGAGTGTATTATTCCAAGTAGAGGTTCAAAAACCCTCACATAACACTCTAATAAAGGTAGCAATAAACTGTCCTGATTCACTAGGCCCTATATTATGTAATTAAACCTGATCATATGAAAAAATGTGACACATTATCACACTACTTCTATGCTAACACTATTTTTATATGAATTATTTGAATAACATTTTTCAGTTGAGGATAAGAAATATAAAAAAAAATCATTTGATACTATTGCAATATAATTTATTGAAAAACANTTAGTTTCTATTTTTCTTTTCAAGGTAATGCTGATCCTAAAGCTCTACAGCTAGCAGTGACGACAATGGAGGGATGTCAGTTATTGGGAATGCCAGAAGCAGACGTATTGCTGGCTCAGTGCGTAATATACCTAGCTAGGGCCCCGAAATCAAGGGAGGTGGACAAAGCATTGGGAAGAGCCAAAGCTCTGATATTGAATCACAAAGGGATTCAACCTGCAGTGCCCATGCATATTAGAAATGCTCCCACTACTCTGATGAAGAAATTAGGTATGTCTGCTGTTAGATTATTGCATTTACCCAATGTTGAAATCACAAAAGAGGTTAAAGAATGTCAAGAATTTTTATCATTTCTCGAAATAGAAAACAAATCGAACTATTTCAAATTATTCTCTTTATTTTTTAGGTTACGGCAAGCTACAAGACGGTGGAGATTTCGTTTTCATGCCGCCTGAATTGAAAGATGTAAATTTTTTTGATTGAGTAAAATATGTTCCTCATGATCTGCCCGATTTGTTTGAGTCTCAGCTCATCTGTTGATTATTTCATTCAAATTGTCTAGGTCAAATTATTTTTGGGGTCTTCTATATAACGAGGACCAGTAGACATTGATGAACTAATAATGTAAGGCAGAGACATTTTTTTAAGTATTGAAATATATTTTTAGACGAGTCTGTGACATATTCTGAAATACTGCCTTTTAACATTCTCTGCCAAAATACTACATTTCTAATGACTATTATGATCTCATGCTTTTCTGTATATTTCAAGAAAGATAGTTCTAAGGTCCTTAACACTATCAGTCATGAAATTCTTCGTAGATCATACTAGTCGTACGCTAGTCATTGTGTGGAGACTTTAACATAATTTCTTGGATGAATCATCTTTTGTAAGATTCAGTTATGTCCCAAAAGGTTATGATTATAGCTTTTTCAAGTCATCAGATGGTTTTAAGAGCAAGTTAAATCCTTGGGACTACTCATTGCCTCTATCAACTCAATGAAATTGTGGACAAATATCTGTTAATCATGTATTACAATTTCATAGCACTTCAGTTTGTGGAGACTTCAACATAATCTTTTGGATGGATCTTCTTTTGTAAGATTAGACAAATATCTGTTAATCATGTATTATAATTCCCTAGCGTGTCAGCTTGGAATTGATCTATTCATGTGCAAAGGGTGTTGATCTTACAAAAGAAATCTGTTAGAAATATTTTTAGATTAGGGAGACACACAAACTATAAAGAACTATGACAGTCTTAAAATTTCAACTTTATCTTTTATTTATATTCACTAGCTGCTGATCTTTGTGGAATCAAACAATTATTTGCTTCATTGAACAAAAGGTATAATAAAATAAATTCTACTTTACTGGAAATATCAATTCACAGAACAACCAGGTCCAAATCAAGTCCTATTCGTAAGAGTATCAAACTATTTAATAAGTTGTCAACCCATGTTGGAGAAAAGCCGCTGAGAGACTTAAAACAGTGAAAAAAATGTTTAATTGATGAAGCCTATTACTCTCTTGATGAGTATTTGGAAGACTCAATATCTGTTAATCAGCTGTCGCCCCCTACGAACGACAACCTTCAAAAGTAGTAACTTGTGCGAGGAGCTAAGGATTAACGAGGTCGTATCGCACGTAATGTAATATAGCGGTTAATGTCTATATGGGTTTAACAAGAACAAATATTATTATTGATGTTAATTTTGTCGGTAATCAAATGATTCGCAGAATGTCCTTTTTTTCAATTTTTGAGCAGTCAAACTTCAAAGTTGTAATGAGAAATTAATAACACATGTAGGCTACAAATCATGCTCGGTTTTACCCAAGCAGAGTACCCTCTGAGTGGATATACTTGAAGAAAATAAAAATATTATGTACACTAGCTTTTTTAATTAGCTTAAATCATCTTCATTCGTTAATATAGTTTCTAAAAAATGCTTGTAGATAAATTAGAGTTACAAAAAAATACAAGTTAACAAGATAAAATAGTTAATCCTTAGCTCGCACAAGTTTCGACTTCTGAGGGTTGTCGTTCGTAGGGGTGCGACAGCTGGTTAACGGAAAAACAGACAGACAGACAGATCCTTGTGAGCAACTTTATTCATCAAGTTTTGTTGAACAAGAAGCAGATTTTCATAGACAATAACCGAGTATAGGGTCATTATTTTAAGTTTTGCAAATATTGGTCGACACTTTTCATCATAATTGGCAGAGATTATGCTTCTTACTGCAGGTTTTTGAATGACAAATATTCTATTAAGATGTACCTTTGATGCATTACTCCAATTGATTATACCATATCTAAGGACTGAATGAAAAAGCGAATGATATGTTGCAAGTGCCGCACTTTGATTTACTATTTTTTTAATTCTTCTGATGGCAAAAACTGTCTTGCTAAGTTTACTACACATTTTATTTATATGGTCTATCCATTTCAGGTTGGAATCTATTTGTACTCTCAAGAATTTGGTAGAATTTTTGTTACCTCGATTTAAGCAAATTGTTTCAAAAGTTAAGAGTTTCTGTTCATTGAGAATCAAGTCATTTGCTGTGAACCATGATCGAGCTTTATCTAATATGTCAGTTACGGATCATTTTACATAATTCTTTGCTCAAGGTTGCATCATCTGCATACAATATAGTTTCTATGTCTGACGAGTTCATCACGTGAGGCAGGTCGTTGATATAGATTAGAAACAGAAGTGGCCCCAATATTGACCCTTGTGGCACTCCTCTTAACATTTTTTTTTTCACTTTTGGTATTTCCTAGATCTACAATTTGATATCTTTCGTTAAGGTATGACTTGAGGCTGCTGACTCCCTTGCAAAGGAGGGTGCTGCAAGTAGCTTCATCAGACCAGAACCTGTCATTGGCATTGCCCAGCAAAGATACCTGGATGGCAAGATTTATGGACTTCTGGCAGAATTTTCCAGGATTGTCTTACTCCAAGGAGGTTGATATCAAACAGTTGTTGGACTACAGTAGGGATGAATTACGATGTCTAACAGGCCTTTTTACAGGTCACTGTCATTTGCATCATCATATGCAGAGGCTCGAACTGTCGGAAGACAGTGTGTGTCGCCTCTGTCTGGAAAATGGTGAAACAGCAGAGCATATACTTTGTGGCTGCCCCGCTGGGAACCGAAGCAGGTTCTTAGAGTTCGACAGAGCCATTCTCTTACCATCCGACCTGAAAGAACACTCACCATACAAACTAATCGGCTTCGTTAAGAAGCTGGGTTTATTTGGCAGAGTGTGAATAGGTGTGAGCCACAATAAACCCTTAAGGGTTGCGGTGGAGGGTCGAATAGACTCGTGTCACTTTTGACCTAATCTAGATCATGTCCTGATGATGTCAACTTGAGTGGGAGTGTTATCTGTGGATGAACAGTTTACTTTTTCAGTTCAAAGAACCAATCAATCAAGAGGAACTTTATTTTTTGAAATAAAAACACCGTTTGCCATAGTTTTCATTTAATAAAATCTGTAATATACAGATTGAATACTACAACTCTGTCTGGACAACAGCAAACTAAAAATTGGTCATTACACATAAAATAATAATCTATTCCCCCACTCGCACTTTCGTAAGTAGAAATACAAATAATAACAATTCAATCATAATCGAAAATTTACTCAATTGATACTATTTATTTGTACAGAGATATTTCATATCTTGCGCACATTCACAATACGGAAATAGTCGTTCACTTAAATAAAACTTTAAACATCACTATCAATAATTTAATCTTAAAAATATGAAGGGATCCAATTGATTTAAAGCGTCACTCGATTCTTTCCAAGGAAGTGGGTGGATGTGCCGAATTATTCGGAGCAAATTAAAAATATATATATTTGTACAGTCAATGTTAGTAAAAGTTTCGTGATATGTTTGGTGTTTCTTAAAGAAAAATTCTAGATGTCACACAACTGATTCGAGTAATTCATTTGAAAATTAATTTATCCAAAATGATGCCTAGTCAGTGAAGTATTTTTATGTTTCGCTGAGTGGCAGTCAAGTCAACTTTTTCAAAGATTTAAAAATTGATTATCTCTCCAGAATTACTAGAAATATAATGAATAGTCTTTGAAAAATCAATTACAATTATTTTCATTTCATCTAACGAGTTTTTTCAGCTTTTCTATGTATCCTGAAATCAATAAACTCAACAAATAAGTCTGTTTCTAACAAATTACAATAATAAATTGATACATCCAAACAAAATGTTCCCAACCAGCCGGGAGCAGTCAAAAGCCCCACGTCAGATGTTTATTTTTTGTCAATTCTGTTTTCAACAATTATCTTTCAGTGTTTTTTCTCCATCTCTCCCTACTTCAAAATTACTGCTTTTTTCCTTGTACCGGTCATACAATCTATTCATCACATCAAATATTTACTGTGCTCTGAAATTTTTCCCCCTCATATTGTATGCTCCCCAATTTATTACAGAGCATTAACTTTGCCCTATTTTCATGAACTTGCATTCCTTTCTTGAGTGCTCTTTTTACATTTTATGCGCTTTCCTGACTCAATATTTTGTCACATCTCACCCTTTGACAAATTTTGTCTTTTATTCGATTCATCTTATCGCGCTCTCCCGTATTTTTATGCGCTTTGAACCTTTACATATTCTACTCAACTTTCTCATGAGATTTCATCAAGTTTTCTTCCTATTTTACCATCACTTTTCTCATTTGAGTGATTAATTTTACGACCTTCTTTCCGTGTTTTAGGTACTGACCTTCGAAAGGTCTTTCCCCTTATTTTTTTCTCATTTCTCAAGCACTCTAAGTGTACTTTTGGTTGACCGTCTCCTGCACGATCTTATGTTTCATATTTCATAATAAAAGACAACAAATAACGTTTGAACATTTTACATTTTGAAAACTTCACCCGCAGAGACGATTGTACCATCGTTGCTCTCCCAAGAAAAACGTGAATAAAAAAATGTATTTAAATTCAACTAATCAAAATTGAAACTACATTCTCAACTTTGAAATGCCATTCAGTGAATTCACAAACTTTCCCCTCCGTTCTGCAGCAAAATTGGGAAAAATCCACCCACGGTTTTGATGAGCAATTAGCTAACGATGCAACACAGTTTTCTGATGATCTTTCAAAATCTTTACTCAATGACAGTGAAGTTCTGAAATAAAAAAAAAATTGGAACTGCAAAAAAAATCCATTTTCCTAAAACAACTTTCAAACTCCTCTTTCCAATAATTTTTATGCTATCTCTCAACAGTCATCCACCGACTTCCGTGACACCTTTGAAATCTGTCCAATTTGTTCAGCCTGTATATTTAAATGAAGTCCGTCTGATTAAATAATGTTTTTAAAAAAATAAAAATCTACCTATCTAGAATCGATAATCAGGCCCGGCCATATCGATGGCCCACCTGAATTTATCACGTTGAGTCTTGTTGTAGATTTTGTCCAGGGGCACGTCGTATTTCTTGCACCACGCCACGCTGATTCTCGGGTCAAGGTAGTTCAGCTTGGACGTTCCGAGGGCAATTGTCTTGTTCTCGTCTCTGTCCGTTTCCTGGATCTCGAGTTTGCCAAGCTGCTCCTTGAGGCGCTGTAGGAGCTTCTTCTTTTTGTCAGCTACCACTTTTTCCTTGACGCTGCCGTGCTTGGCGTCACGAACGGCGTCCTTGACTTGTCTCTCGGCATCTTTGATGGCTTCCCTTTTCGCATCGATTTTCTCCTTCAGTTTTTCCATGGACTTCTCGTGACCTGCAACATTCATACATGAATAATAATAATACATGAGGTGTCAGCCTGGACACGATGAAGTCATACTTCAACGAAACATCAAATTGTTGATCTAGGAAATACCAAAAGTTATAGGCAGTGATCCCAATAAATTTAGGGAAATGGCTAATGCATCTATAAGTAAACGTCACTTGCACCCTGAAAACATCAATGAATTCAGAACAAGACTAGGCTCAATTGATTGGACCTCACTATATTTCACTGATATGAATTGTGGATTTTCTTATTTTTCTGAACAAATTTCCTGGTGTTATGATGTTTCTTGTCCTTTTAAAAGAACTAGGCCTAGGGAAAATAAATCAAACTTATGGATCTCAAATGATTCANCTATTTAATACAACAAACTGTTATAATAACTTGCCGGCATCTATTAGGAAAATCGAGTCAGATAAACTTTTTAAAATTGAGGTGAAGAAACTTCTCTTACAGAAGTGTTACTACAGTCTTGAGGAATTCTTGCACGACACTTTTTCATGACATTTTGAGAGTATTTGCTAGAGCTTCTCCGATTTTTTATATAATACTTCTATGTTGTGAAAGTTTGTGGACGTGAACCATATTTATTGTTTTTGTATTGTTCAACTTCTGTAGTTTTATTTTTGTTTTTTAATTATGACGTAGCACATGTACTCAATGTACCAAAGTGTCAAATAAATAAATAAATTAAGAGGAGTGCCACAAGGGTCAATGTTGGGGCCACTTCTGTTTCTAGAATCGATCGTAAGAAAATTAAAGATATAATACTCACTTTTCGGCACAGACCGTTGATGGTTACACAAAATGGCTACCGCTCTGTTCGCCCGATTGTAAGCCAGGATCTTCTCGGCTACCGTATCGTCCTCGTTCGTCAGCAGATCCAACTGTTGCTGCAGCGTCCACGAGGCGTTGTACGTACGGAACACTTTGGCGGTCAGCCCCTCCATCAACTCATTCAAGTGCTTGTTCAAGATTGCCGTGTTCAAGCGGTCAAAGAGATCGTCGCCATTCTTCTTGTTCTCCATGAAGAGCTGAAGATTCTTGAAGACCCTCTTCTCGACAGGCACCTCATTGTAGTACCTAATGGAATCTTTACCGGGGAAATCGAATACCACCACATACTCCTTGTCGTCTCTCTTCTCGTGCAGCTCTATGTGCTCGACTCGGAGAGAGCAGCAGCCCACTGTATCAGCTTGATCTTCGTCTTTTTCATTACCCGCTCTCAGGGCCAGCTTGTCAATGAAGTACAGAGCCACCGCCCTCTGTCTTATCTTCATTTCCTTCGACTTCCAGTCTCTCTGGTATTCGTTTCTGATTTTATCGATGGACTTGTGCAACCGCCTGGCCGTCTCATACTTTTGCCAATCCTTCTCGCCCTTGAGTTTCGAGCTAGGATTCAACATGATGTATTTTACTTGGTTTTGAACGTTTTCTGTCCAGGAAGCCAGCCACGTCACCGTATTGACATGTCGTACTTCCTTCCATCTGTGCCCCTCGGGCGGTTCGGGGATGACAGAGTCCTTACTACAGTTGATTATAATGTCTTCCGCTTCCAGTCGCTTTTTCAGCTTGCCCATCTTGGGATGTTCGCCTCTGCCTGAAATAAATAAAAATCAACACTGAAGTTTCTGAGCCCACAAAACTTTGGAGCCTCCAAATTATGCTACAAGGCGGAAGGCCTTACAGCCTCTTTTGAACAAACTCAATTCAATTTAGAATGATCTTTACACTTCAAATCTTCTATAAATTGGAAAATTATGAACTTGAGACTACATATAATTTTTTTAATTAAAATTGGATACCAATAATTTGAACTTTCACTTTCAATACACATTTTCAACAAACAGTTCCTAAACTATAGCATTTTCAGGGAGTTTCTTGAATAATGTATTGCACTTTTTTTGAGATGAACAAAACTGGAACGAATATTTTAGTTATTCTTAGCTTTTCGAAGATAAAATCTAAGTCAAAGGTTGTCGATTTCACATTGTCAGCTATTGTTGGACTACTCCCTAAAGTCTTATTACAATGAAGCCTACCTCTGAACAATCCGGGAGGTTCTATCCTGAAGTTTCCGATTTTCTCCTTATGCCCGTCAATCGTACAGTACCCGTACTCCTTCATGAGGGCCTCGTTCTTTTCCTTGAGCTGTTGTTTCTCCTCCTTCGTTCTGTTTTTGTTCTTCTCTGACTGATCCATGAAGTACGCGTGCATCTTTCTGAAATTACACTTCTTCAAGATTTCACGTTATCAGCTATTCCCCTACATTATGCATAGATCAATTATTCCCATGACTTAATATTCCCACAATAAAAACTTAACAAGTGCAGTTCTGGTGTTGCTGAAAATGAATTGAAAAATAGGCCGACAGACACATTTTAGGCGACTCCAAATCATAACTTGTTAGAATTTCAAATTGATATTTTGTTTTGTCAGGTAATCTCGACATTTGCAGATAACATGTCGGAACTAACCACGGTGCAGAACATAAACTACTCCCTAAAGTATTACTACAATCAAGCCTACCTCTGAACAAACCGGGAGGTTCTATCCTGAAGTTTCCGATTTTCTCCTTGTGTCCGTCAATCGTACAGTACCCGTACTCCTTCATGAGGGCCTCGTTCTTTTCCTTGAGCTGTTGTTTCTCCTCCTTCGTTCTGTTTTTGTTCTTCTCTGACTGATCCATGAAGTACGCGTGCATCTTTCTGAAATTACACTTCTTCAAGTCCGTGATCAATTCCCTTTCTTTCTCAGTCATAACTTTCCGCCAGTCTTTGAAGAAATTTTTGTTGAATACCTCTTTGGTGGTGTAATCATGTTCGAGCATTTTCGCATAGAAGCCAGCTACCTCTTCGGCGTCTTGGGAAAGCTGTACTTCTTTACCGTCGTAATAAAACTTGACATCTTTGGGTAGGGGTTCGTAAGGCGGAGCGAAAACGGGACCTTTGTGCTCCAGGAATTTCCACTTGACGCCATCATCTTTCTTCTCTTCCTCCCACCTAAGAAAATACACATTTCTTCAATACAATAATAAAAAAGTTTCAAAAATACTCAACATACACAACATAAAATTTAACATCGAAACAGTGACAGAGAAACAAACTTCCATTACAATTTTTTTCAGATTGCGACAGGTGAAAACACATATAGAGGTCGAAAAAAGTCGGTATTTCATCAAATTTATGAAACCGTAATTGAATTTTTTCACACTGATGCACATACAGCCACAGTCAAAATAGCGAGCATGTCGACCCACCTTAAGCAGAAACTCTACCTTTTCAGAACTTTTCGAACCCTTTGAAAATCATTATTCAGCAGTTCATGTGTTTCTTCATCATTAGGATTTCTGTACACTGATTCACACAACTCAATTGAACTTTTTGGTAGATATGCACCCTCCAACCTAACCTTATAATATAATTCATTGCTAAGCATCAAAGGTGAAAGATATTTGTTATAAAAACCGGCATTTTTTTTCACATAATCCTATTGTTCATTTGCATAATTCCTGGTATTTGTGATTTAGAGATAAAACATTTCTATTCATGAATATGGAAATTACACATTTTCAAAGGGATTGACTAACTGAACTTTCCAAATTTTCAAATATAAGCGGCATGTCAATCTTTTTATTAACGATATATTTATGATCACCAAATATTTTAACCCTCTATTAATTGTTGAGTGACATCAACAATTACACTTATTGACTTTTCCGATACATCTGTAAAAAGTTCTCAATTTTTTATTAGATTGTGGATGGTTAAAATACCTAAAAAGGTTGATAAAGATGGGAAAGTAGAAACATCCCTTTCAATTCTTAAACTCAGTCCCGTTATTGGGATTTTAATATTTTTCTTAATATTTTTAAAGATACCAAAATGACACTGTATAAATAGTTTCAATAAATTCATTGATATTTGTAAAAAGTGGATTTACTTTTTAAACATTTCAACTTGAGATCAATTTCCTAATTTTTTTGCCTTTTAGAAAGCAATCTCATTAAAAAAAATGGATTATATTGATAGTTACAATTTATGAGGTCTAGATTCCCTCTATATGTATCTATACTTCTAATAATTAAAAAAGTTCAATATTAATCAGCAGTCAATTTGTTTTAAAATAAGGACACATTAGTTTACGTCACATTTTGTTTTGTACTAAAATTATTATCTGATATGGAGGGCGAACCATTCAAATTGAAAAAAATACCATCAATGTCTCTATTACACAGATAGTTGCCATCCCAATATTAATTTCTGTTCATCTGATCTGTATAAAGTATATTTGACCAAGGTTAAACCTTTAGGTATCATTTAACTTTATTAAAATGTTCCTCTAAACAGTAGGTGTGCCAGGAATAAGGGTTAACCAGAATAAATGTTCATCTCACTAAAATTTCATCAATTACTATGACTCTTCATAGTAACTGCAGAATCAATCAGGAAATCAAATTAAAATTATGAATACTCAACCATAATCCTCAACTTTAACAAAAGGTGGATGTATATTAAATGTGATATAGTTTTATACTTAGCCATGATCCTCAATTTTAACAAAGGGTGGAGGTATATTGAATGTGATATAGTTTTATACTTAGCCATGATCCTCAATTTTAACAAAGGGTGGAGATACATAAAATGTAAACGTTTTAGGACCATACTCAAAACTATTCCCGAGATAACAAAAAAAAACTAAAAATGCTAATAAAATCAAAGTAACCAAAGAATTCCTTAATTAAAAATTGAAACGGTCAATGTTCCAGATAGATAAACATGCAAAACTTCATTCAAAATGATTGGATTCCAATATCATAAACTCCCTTACGTTTTAATAAGAGAAAATCATTCAAAAGAATAACATAACGATAACTATCTATCACACAACAAAATGTAAAGAAGCCACCTACCAATAGACTTCTGCTGATATTCTGAAATGATTACAACAAAGCCACAATCATTAAAATAATATTCAGGAGAGAACAATAATGATAACTAATCAGCCATCTGTTAAAATCTGTTAATGACTACCTATAGATGTGTTAAGTAATCAATGAAACAGAAAAAATAGTGTGATAATGGAATTAGGTGTGTAATTGGTATGAGGAAAAATATAAAATAAAATTGTTTATAAATCATCTTGCAGAAAATTGGGTTTAGATTGATAATTTGTTGAATTGTCTCTCTTTGTGTTTATCTAAACTACTAGATTTTGGAAATTTCTTAGTGGGAAGGTTTTCATTGATAAATTGACTGGTATGGCAGTCAATTCATCAATGTATATTGTATATATCAATGTATATTTAGAAAGTATCAGGCCTATTTTCTTTTCTGGACAGTGAAAATCCCACTACTTGTTACTTGAAAAATTATGGAGTTTCTTCAAATATTAGCCAATTATATCAAATGATTTTATGATTATTTCCTTCAATTGTGTTGTAACATATTTTGCTTCAATAGATGAATAAAAATATTTCTATTCTATTCTATAAAAGAAGCCAGATGATACCAATTTCAGTAGAGACTGAAATGCAAATATTTTAGCCTCTCAAAACAACCTTCATACTTACCAGAGGTATATCCTCATCACTATCCGGTTCTTCTTTTGGCTCGACTTTCACGTCCTCCTCTAATTGATCTTCCCCTTCCGAAAATTGAGATTCTTCTTTCTTAAACTGCGACAAGTTATAGTCGCAGCTACTAGCGGCAGAAATGTTGACGTCCCCTGCGTCGTCTGCTTCGTCCTGGCTACCAGGTTCATCCTTGATAACCAATTTGTATTCATCGTCGTCTGTGCTTTCTTCCTTAGTAGGATTATCTAGTGCTTCTGATTCTTCTTTTATATCCGATTTTATTTTATGACTGTCATCTGAATAAGATTTTATTGAGTAGGGTTTATTCATTTTTAGGTTTTTATTATTTCAATTTCTTTCATGAACTTTTAGAAACCCATAAATACCTAAAGAGCTGTTCACGAGTTTCATTTTTTCATTGCAACAGTACATTTTCTATGATATAATTTTAGATAGGTACATGAAAACTGTAAATTTAGTGCAAATTTCACAACTGATGTGAGTGACTCAAATGACATTGTGTCACTATAATTCTATAATACTGGGTGAATGTTAAAAGTCATGTCATATCAAGAAAATTGTGAAACTAATTTAGAAAAATCTACAGTGTAATCGTTTGAAATTAAAGTGTCTTTTATAAAACATATATTTTTCAATCAATTGGAATGAATTGTTTTTCAGAACACCAAGTTTCGTGAATGAGTCTTTGCTTTTAAGGTCAATCGACAGTACCACTAGTTTCACATTGTTGAAATGGTTTTTGTGGAAATTGAATGTCTACCCAATGAACATAGTTAATATTGGTTTCACCTGATGTTAATTATATGGTAACCTGAAATTTGTTTGTGGATTTTTGCATAGCATACATATTTTTTCATAAAATTTCCTTCACTTCCTAAAACTAGACACATTTTCCTAAAAAAAACTTTTTTTTCAAATTTTCTCACAAGCAAGAAAGTGATATTTTTTCAACAAACCAATTTTCACTCCATTATACCCAAATTTCATAGCTATGTTGAATTATATTGCAACATTCAACATTTGCCTTTCCTTTGCGATTTTCAATGGTACAAAACAGAAAACATGTAGGTAAGTTAATATCACGCACCAAGTGCAAGTTATAAAAATTACATAATAAATTATTATCCATCTACAGTTATTTTTACCTGAAGTTTTCTCTTTTTCCGTTTTTCTTTCCTTATCCTTTCGGTCTTTATCCTTTGAGCTTGAGTGGTGCTTATCCCTTTCCTTGTCCTTATCTCTGTGCTTGTCTTTCGAACTACTGTGTCTCTCCTTATCCTTATCCCGAGAGGAACTGTGTTTGCTCTTGTCCCTGTCTTTCTCTTTATCCTTGTCACGTCGTTCTTTATCCTTCTCCCTGTCTTTATCTCGCGAACTAGATTTATGATCCTTGTCCAGGGAACTTTTATGATCCCTGTCCTTGTCTTTGGATGATTTTTTCTCATCTCTGTGGCGGTCCTTATCCTTATCACGATTTTTGTCACGGTCACTACGATCCTTATCACGATCACTACGATCCTTATCCCGGTCACTGCGGTCCTTATCTTTGCTGGAAGATTTGTGGGAACTGCTGTGACGATCCTTTTCCTTAGAACTGGAATGGTGCCTGTCCTTTTCCCTGTCTTTGTCCCTACTGCTCTTGTGGTCTCTGCTTTTACTTCTGTCCTTATCTCGGTCTTTATCTTTGTGCCTGTCTTTGTGGTCAGACTTGTGACTTTTATGCTTCTCAGAGAAACCATTCAACCCATTCACATGGTTTGTATCAGTTTCTTTGGCCTTATTGCTCTGTTAAATAAAAAAGTATTAATAAAATTTTACAATCCTGCGAATTACAAAGAAACTCGAAAAATAGTTCACATTCATAAATATCCACTCACAATCATTACCTGATACCAATACGTGGGACTTAGTTTCTGACGCCATTTTAGGACTTAGAATAATTTCGCTTTGTATCTTACCACGTATAAACTGGCTTTAATTTGAAGAATCCGATAATTTTATGAAGGTACGTTTGAAGCTATCGAAAAAATACAATAAAATATGTACTTACTGGACTCGAATTACCCTCAAATACAGAGTTATCCTCTTCCATAACTACACAGATTGCACTTTGAAATTAACTTTGCCGATTCTATAACGAGGCTTGATTCGTATCTACCTCGTCAAAGAGAATGGAGAGAAAGCAACAAGCAACGCTACTCCGTCTAAGTTCAGATTTTCAGTAATGCGCAAACTCGATAAAAGGCAATAACCTTTAGAGCGGTATATTCAAATACTTAATTGGAAATGTAGGTAACTGAATTATAGTCACAGGTATAGTATTTGAAATGCACACTCAATTTCTCAGACTCGGTTCTCAATTAAGTACATTTCTTGTAAAACATTCATTTTTGAACATCATTGTTTTGATTTTCATACTATGTTACTTGAAACATTTGTACCCCTAATACACAGCTATGTTATAAATATTATATAAAATAAAAATATTTTTCAACATCATTATACGTTACAATACGATGCAACTTTAGTTGCACATGTTCTCTGTCTCTCTCTCTCTCTTTTTTGCTGGCTATTGCTTTCGGGCAGACGCAATTAGCCAGTTCTCTTGTTAGATGGCATTCTTTTTTTTTTTCAAGGATAGGGATACCTTTTTCCTTTTCTATTATTTTTATTTGGTTGTGTAACATAAATCGTGTTATTTCTTTGATAAATTTTAGATTCTCAGCTAGTGTAAACGTGTCGAATGGAGTAAAAATTATATGTCTCATAGTTTATTCTTAATATTAATAGGTCATTTTATCAGATGAACAGTGTTAAAAATAACGAATGATTTTTTATCCATAGGAAATAGGAACGCTCATTATCTATATACGATGTCTGTCAAAAATGTTAGAAATAAAAAACAAAACATTGAACATTGAAAAAAAAAACAAAGTCACGAGTGTGCTTTTACAAATCGTTATGATTTTCATTAGCGGAAGTTATTCATTTCAACAATTCATCAGTATGGAACACGTATAACATCTTGACGTCGAAACTAACGTTCAACGGTATAAATGACGTAATGCCAAAACATAAAAATCTATCTATATTATTCTTGTTTGTTTGAAGGTGGTTCACAATGTTGCGTAGCGTATTTCATCAGTTCGGACTTCCATTGTCTAATATAATATAAATTGATTTGAAAACCCTGAAAAAACAATTGAAAAATTATTAAGATTAACCGAAAATAACAATTTTATTAAACCAAGAACTGAAATTACAAAGAAATAACATACAAGCAACAACCAAACAAATAAAAATTGAAATATTAATAGAAGCTGAAAAATAAAAATTAAAAATTATTATTAACAAAACCAAGTTATGTCACGACGTTTCGATTGTTAGTATCCACAATAGTCTTCGGGTGATAACTATTTTTAATTTTTATTTTTCAGCTTTCATTATTATTTCAATTTTTATTTGTTTGGTTGTTGCTTGTATGTTATTTCTTTGTAATTTCAGTTTTTCGATCAATGTTTTTTCAGGGTTTTCAAATCAATTTATATTATATTAGACAATGGAAGTCCGAACTGATGAAATAAAAATAAAGATTGTTTGAATGAAAGCAGATTCTTGAATTGGTAACGTATTTCATGAAGGTTTTTAGTAGAAAACACTAAAAATGTCAATGCGGTTTTCGGTGGTTCAAAACGAACCATGATTTGAACTATCGACAGAAATTGTCACGTTTTGAGGTCTGTTCTTCTTTAATTTTGCGCAACCAAAACGACCTTTTTCTGGATCGGATCGTCACGTGTGATAAAAAATGGATTCTATACGACAACAGTAGACAGTAGGCAGTAGGATCACCCTGGGCGACCCTGGAAAGCTGGCGCAGAAAAAAAGGCTTAGCCTCCCCATCAAATTAGAGGCTATTCATCGCAATAAATTAAAAGATATTGACAAATAATTATGATTATTTTTATCTATAAATGCTTGGGTATCATAACTTTACCATTAATTTTTAATATAAATACATAATATGCCCGAGAAAACACTATTACTCACTACGTAGTACGTACCACATTGTATCCTGTATCAACAAAACTCAAACGCACCGCCCATGAACGGATAACGAATAAACCATTAACCCGAAATAAAAATTGCCATACACTGCAAGGGAGCCAAGCCTCCGACTGCTTTAAAAAACACAGGCTCCACGAGACCGATCCAACCAGCGACATACGTCCCGATTTGTAATTTCAGTTGCAGAAATTATGGCGTCAGAGGAGGCTAGCCTCCAGTTGGTCTCTGTTAGTGTATGACTGCGTTTGTTTTTTATTTAATTATTCGGACGGGATGCCGTGACGGACCGGGACTGAAAAATATTTCGATAAATCGTTTTAGTGTTTCTTGATAATATTTGTATACACTTCTTACTGACTTGTTTTGTCATCATGTTTGATGATTTTGCTAATGACAAGTATTGAATGGGTTGTAAAAAAGATGTATGTCACATCCTGTATAAGGTTGACAAAAATTTAGAACGGCACCAAAGTTGAAAAAAAACAGTTTATATATATAGCCGGGTTCTTATTTTTCCAGGTGATTCACAGCAGATTACCGAAAATGAAACAGTTACTTGGGAAACCGACCAAGAAATTACAAATACCGGTAATACTTATGATAAAACTAATGGTGTACAAGATTTGCAAACTGAACAAGATGTGGATATTACCCTGGATATAAAACCTTTCAAGCTTATTCCAGGTAATATAATTATTCATTTAATTCATGTGACTTTTTGTTGGTCAAGAGTGTGAAATTGATTTTTCATTTTGTGTTCTGATGGTTTGCCTATTTCTCAAATTATTTCAGTAAAAAAAAAGTTAACTAGTTTAGTGATCTAATAATTTTTCCAATTCCATTCCATTTCCAATTCTGAATTCCATAAAAAAATCTCCAATTAATGGAGAATCACCTAATAAAAAATAATTTTCCTAGAGCCCTTATTAGAAAAATAATTAAAGAAAGAAGGTTCTCCTCCCAAAATACAAGGGTGAAACCCCTGTATTTTGGGAGGAGAACCCCAGACGAAATACATAATTTTTGTTGTTGTTTCAATCAGTATTCTTTTTTCAACTTTCAGTCCAGTCCATATTGAGACGTCACTGTCACAGAATAGTATATTCTGTGCCACAGATTAGGTACTTGTTCTGTGTCTGTGTGTCTGTGCAAAGAGTAACTTTCTGGTTCTGTGTCACTGTTTCCATGTTGTGTGGTTGTGGTTATAGTCATAGTGGAAAGTGTCTTATTTAGCTTTCTACTATTATATTTGTTAAAATATTGTGTGGAAACTAGTAGAAATTGAAAGAATTCATAATGGTATTCGGCGTTGATGGTACAGAAAAAAAAAATGACAAATATGACTTCAATAGGGCTTTCCAAACATTTATACAAAAAAGTAATAAACCACAATTTATTGTCACCAGTATATCAGGTAATTTGGAGCATCTGAAATTTTCTGAATAATTTTATGTAGCAAAACAAATAAAATTTGATTTAAAACATCTCAAACTCATCCGAGACGAAGTATTTCTACAAAAATGTAGTATCTAGTAAGTGCTACAAACCTATTCCTCAACTTCTGGTGACATGATATAGTAAAAGTTTGTATATGAAGCAGTTTCGAATTACAATATCTACTATAATCCTTTGAATAAACTATTAGGAATGTCCCACAAAAATTTGTGTTTGTGACAAACGCTGACTATAGCAATTGTTTATTACAAAATTCCTAGAAAGAGACACTATTTCACAAGTGAGGTCCAATTAATGAAAAATAGGTAGTTTTTCCTAGAAATGAATGGTCAATAAGCCTATATATGAGTATATCAGCCGATGCCTAAAATAAATAATGCATGTGAACGTGTCGAAGCATGTTTAGGACTGTGAGAAAAAGAATGCAGATAATATTTTTGATAAATATTTTTTAAGAGCTGAACTCAGTTTATTAAAATGAAGTTCTCAACTTTTTCAGGTTATACATTACCGCAGACTATACCTACCAACAAAGAATGCAGTAATATGTGTGTTGATGCACATAATCATGTAAACCACCCACAGTCTGACTTAGGAGAAAAACAGTTCCAGTGTAGCATGTGCCCAAAACGGTACAAATATAAAGATTCTTTGAATAAACATTATATTACTCATGGGAAAAAACCATACAACTGCGTAATCTGTTCTGAATCATTCACTCGCAGGAGTAATTTCATTGAACACAATATGATTATTCATACAGGCGAAAAAAAATTTGTTTGTAAAGTTTGCTCCAAATCTTTCTATGTGTTGGGAAGGCTGAGACAGCATGAGAAAGAAACCCCTGTATTTTGGGAGGAGAACCCCTGTATTATTGCTTGATCTATTCGCGGGCAGATGGCGCTGCACATAACTACCGACATTATTGCTTGATCTATTCGCGCGCAGATGGCGTTGTATGTAACTTTCTTGATATATGTATTTCTTCATGTGAAAAAAGTATTTTTTTTGTTATTGTTCGTTATTGTTTTAAGCTTTTTTTTTTCAATTTTTGAGTTTGATGTCCTTTAAAAGCGTGTTTTTTGAACTATATTTATTTCGAATTAATTTAAAGAGTTATTTATTGATTCAAAAGTTATGCACCCTCTGATGTGCCGGTTTATGTGTACAATGTTGATGATCAATAATTTTTTCAAGACTCTCCCAATATATTGAATCATCTCAGTTTTTGTTTGTTTTGGTTTCAATTTATTTATTTTTTTGTTTGTACTTGATTGTTTTTTGATTTTTTTCTCATACTATACATGCAAGAAAATGCATCGTTATTATTATCATTATTATTTGTTGAAGAACTCTACTAAAAACTATATTCACAAATTCACAAACTATAAATTGGAGATTTCTGAATCTCTATACTGAAGCTATAAATGTAAATGTGTTTAATTTCTTCTATTTGCAACTAAGTTTTTGAAATATTTATTTTTTTGGGAAAGTTTGATGAAGGGTTCTTGCCATTTCAGGGTTAAATTCACAGCAGATTACTGAAATAGACAAAACTATATCCGAGGACAAAAACAAAAAGGTGCATACAGAAGAAATGCTATTTAGCGAAATTTCAGAAGAAATACCGTTCAATTCTAAAATGTATTCAGATACGTTCAATACTGAAAAGAAACTGAAAAAATGTGAGAATAATATTCAACCACAAGAAAACCAGTTTTTCAACGATTTGTCAACAAATTGCTTTGAAGCTGTACTGAACAAAACTTCAGATGAGGATGAATCTAATCTTGTAGATGTCAAGAATGACTCAAATGTCGAAGATAACATTGATATTCATGAAGAAAATATAAAAGTCGACTTCACTAACAGAGATGCAAGAGGTGAGGATATTACACTAGATATAAAACCTTCTCCTGTCATTTTCAGGGGTAACACATTCAAATATTTGAACCAATTTTGTTTCGTTTTTGAATTCCCATTTAAAAGAGCTAAATTCAATCTATCGTATTTCCTCCTGGTAGACTTGTTGAAGGTGCTCGCCACCATACCTGGCCTCCAAAGGTGATACAATTTCTGCTTATTCGCTGGAATTTTTTGCAGAATTTCAGAGGTCTTTGCTCCCAGGGCTGTTGCTTTCATCCCATTTTTCCACTTATCATTTTCTGCAACGGTCTCAAATTGTTCGCGATAAATTTACCATGTAGATTCGCTGTCGATGGTTGGAGTTTTAATAAAAATACTGCTAGAAGGTAGAGGTGTTTCCACAGCGATCCTTTTCGGCTCCGGTGATACTTTTTGAAGTTCGTACAGGGAAAGCAACTTTTCTCTGTAGAATCTGTTCTAAATCATTCCGTACCAATGAAGTTTTGGTTAGTTCATGAGAAGGTTCCTACAGGAATAAAACCTTTTGTTTGTAAAATCTGCTTGTGCTGATAATGATTAGAATACCTCCTTCAAACCAATCTGAGTCTCTCGAGTGTTTGTTAAATCCTGATCAAAGCTACATAAAATAAAAATATACTATTACATTTATGAAATATTTCAGTCGAAACTATTTAATTATATTGTTGTTCTTACTTTTTCAGATATTGAATTGCAACAGGTGGCAGAAGTAGATATTGCAACACTATCCAAAGAAATAGAAGCAGTAGTTACGTCTACCAACATTTCTAATGATACCAACTATTTAAACAAAGAATGTAGTGAAAATTTGGTTGCTGATAATAATTGTGTGCAACCTGGGAAGACTGACGAAAGGGAAAAACAGTTCCATTGCAGAATATGTTCGAAAAATTATAAAAGTAAAGCTTTATTGCAAAAGCATGGAAAGATTCATTCGCAAACAAAACAATTTCACTGCAAAATTTGTTTCAAATCATTCCGTAACAACAATCAGTTAGTTGGTCATGAAAGGGTTCATACAGGAGAAAGACCCTTTGTTTGTAAAATCTGCCCTCACTCTTTCAAACAACTATCACATTTGAAAACTCATCAACAGGTTCATTCAGGAGAAAAACCATTTGTTTGTAAAATCTGCTCAAAAGCATTTGCTGATAAGTTTTATTTGAGAGATCATGAAAGGATTCATACAGAAAAACGATTTTCTTGCCAATATTGCCCCAAAACTTTCCATCTATCGAAATCTTTCAAAAAACATTTGAAGATTCACTTAGAAAAAAAATTATATTTTTGCGAGATATGCACCAAACTTTTTTTTTCCATGAATGGTTTCAAAAAACACCAGAAAACTATTCATAAAGATGAAAAACTATTTTCCATGGATCCATCAACAAATCAATGTAAACCAATATTAGTTGAGAATTTGGATGAAAAATATTTTAATATTTATGAAGAGGTTATCGAGGATGACTTGAATATTCATGAAAAAGATGTCAAGGATGATTCGAATGTNAGTTGACTACGAACATATTCAGAATGACATTACATCTTTTACTGAATGGTGTGTAGACAATGATATGGACGTGAATGTGTCTAAATGCAAAAGTATGTCTTTTTCTAGATCACTTACTCATTACAACAATATGTATACTATAGCAGGCAAACTATTAGAATCGGTGAAATCCATACGAGATCTTGGTGTAGTGGTGGATGTCAAAATGGATTTTCACCTGCAGTATGAACAGATCTCTAGCAAAGCAATGAAAATGTTAGGCTTTCTATGCAGGACTACAAAAGACTTCACCAACATTAATTCTATCAAGTTATTGTATTTCGCTTTGGTTAGATCGATTACAGAATATTGTAGCTGTGTTTGGTCACCAACTTATGAAATTCATAAGTACACTATAGAAAAAGTACAAAACAAATTTATAAAATATATTGCCTTTAAGTTGTCTATACCTCTCAGTGATCACTCTTTTTCAGAAATTCGGTCTGTAACTGGTTTACCGAAACTTAGTTTACGCAGAGAACATATAGATATTATATTCCTTCATAAATTGCTTAATTTTAGAATTAATTGCTCAACTCTTCTTGCCCAAGTAAATCTTCATGTTCCCTCTAGAAAAACACGAAATAATCTAACCTTTGCAATAGATTACCATAGGTGTAACTATGGAATGCATTCTCCTTTATCAAGAATAGTCATAAACGGGAATAATACAAAATTCGATCTCTTTCATATTTCCGAGGATATTCTTAGAAATAAGTTGAGATATACTTATTCTTAAATTGCTTGTATCTGTCATTTACTTTTATTCTCGCTTCATTTCGATTGTCTACTATGACTGTTTAAATTGTTATTACTTATAATTAAGTTAGATAAGATTTGTGTTAACAATCTGATATTTGTATAACTTATATTAAATGGGAGTTACCCGTGAATAAATAAATAAAAAAAAAAATATTTCAATCGAAACTATTTTATTATATTGTTGTTCTTACCTTTTTCAGATATTGAATTGCAACAGGTGGCAGAAGTAGATATTGCAACACTATCCAAAGAAATAGAAGCAGTAGTTACGTCTACCAACATTTCTAATGATACCAACTATTTAAACAA